GCGTACCTAGACAATTGTCAATTGTGGTGCGGTTCAACTGGCAGCAAAAAGAGAGCAGAAAAATCGACAAAGGGTTGCTTGATGGGAAGCCGGCCGCCGGGTTGGCGTCTTGGCAATCCGGCAGTGCAACTGCACGGAGGTGGGGTTCCCGGTGGCCTGCCTTGAGGTTTTCTTGTTGGTTGAGACGGCACGCAACGGGGTTTTCTTACTCTTCTTCAGCTCCCTACGGATAGAACTCGGAAGGTTTGGAAGAAGGGGTCGGGAAATCGGGACCGGTTCCTCGTCCTATTCTCGAACTTGTACAAGAATGTTGCCCGCATATGTGTTGTCCGTATGAAGTTGCGGATACCCGGGATAGGTGATAGGTAGGTATCCCGCCGGAACAAGCGCCCGCGCGCACGCGCGCTTGTCTGCGCAGTACATACGTACACCAAGCGGGAGGTTGAAATTGACTTGATGTGATGGAGAACGGCTGGGTGGACGGAATTGACGACGCAATCCCGTTCAACCACGTGATGATTAAAAAGAAAAAAAAGGGGAGATAGGCCTCGTGGTGGTGTCCTTATTTGGACACAAATTGAACGAGCTTGTCGGACTTTTTGGGTTGTCCGCACGGGTGAACCACACAGTTGGTGAACGAAAGTCGGACATGGACCGCGTTGTGGACCGTGAGGTTTCGATGATCAATGAGCAACAGCATAGAAACACTGGAGACGGAGAAGAGAAACACGGAAAGGTTGATGCCAAGAGCAAATCACAGCAGAGGAAAAGGGGAGAGAGCCGAGAGAGAGAGATTCGGCTGCTCAGCTGCTGGCAGCATGTGCCTTGTTCCGTTGTCGTCGGCGGATGGGCACAGGGGTTCGTGGTGACGAGGACTTGGGTCGGAATGTGGGGGGGGGAAGGGAAGCATAAAGGTTGCTGTCGTACGTACGGAGTACCGGTACCGACTCGGACAAGGCGCGCCGGCGGGAATGGGGAACTAAAAGAATTTAAGATGAAGGGGTGAACTTCTTGAGACGGGATGGTGTGGATTGGTGGTTGCAATGTTGCAGTAGGCAGACGTTGGTGTTGTATAGATATTAAAATAATGACCGTACAGGAGTTGGAGTAGGGTGATAGGGTGATAGGGCCATGGTACGGGAGGTATGGGGCTAGTCCGATGGAGGTGATTGGGTGTGTTAATACGAGATACGAGGAGCAAGCGAAGGGCTGATGCTTCAGCCTTGAGGAGTGTGGGTTATAAGGAAGTCAGGTGACGAAAGGGGTAAGTAAATTGCTTCCGAGATGCTGGATTTGGGAGCATCGGAGATGGGGTTTGCTTACGAATTGGGATGTTGATCATTTGATATCTGGGGTATCAACGGGTTGTGCTCAATGAAGCTTTATGGGGAAATCCCATGATACTAAAATGGTGTAGTAAGTTTATGGAGAATGAATCCACGACGGCTGTTGTTTTCTCATAGAGAACAATAGGTCGACCTCTTGTTGTTCAATGCGCTCTTTTTCGACGTCTTTGATCCGGACAAAGCTTTGAAATGAGATCGAGAACCGAATTTCATTCACGAAGTTTGCACTATTTTCCTTAGTTGATATACCCGGTTGATTTTCAGTCTTCACATCCCAAAAGTATGTTCATGCTTTTCCTTTTATGAGTATCTACGGGATAAAGACATGAATTTCAACATCTCATACGATCATGAGAGGCAGAAGAGCCCTCGTAATGAACCGTCATCTCTCATACTTGGTATTTTGAAATGGCCTTGTTATTCAATCTTTTTCTTGTCATTTGAGAATACTTGTTACTTAAATATATCTTTTCCAAATCGTTAGGGTTTACTTATAAACTTGTCACAAGCTCTATACATCTGGAGTGTCGAAGACAAGTGGTGTTAAAATTAGCCACTTAAAAGGCTGGCTGTGTCTTGATTGCGAACCTTAGTGATTTCTGATCTTCTAAATGCCTTGGACAGAATATGTCTTCGGAGCTGCTATCCCTATACATCCGTCAGATTGAAGCCACCCAGCAGAATGCGGTATGAATAAAAAGAGGCCCTGCATGATGTGCTGATGAATTGAAATTTGAATAACAAGAAAAGTCATAACTATGAGAGTGGAGAGTGTGGCTCCAATGATGATTTAACTTTCGATGACACTGACTTGTATAGTACCTTACGTGTCATGATGATTCTATCGGCCGCCGTAGCACAAAGACACCGCGAACACTCTTATTTCCTTTGAGGGTTTGCGAATGCGAGGTGCTCGGGTCAGAGATCTCGCCTCAACGAAAGGACGTGATGGCATCTTAAATCATCAGTCGCGGCAGCTTCGCGCTTGTTTGATACGCCGTCTCCGCTTACAAACTCTGTCCAACCGCGGACTTTGAGCTGGCTGTCCGGGGAGATAGGACGACTGGACGAGCTGGACCAATAGCAGCCGTTCTAATTAGCATAGCCAAGTCCGCATCAGCCAAAGAGGATCCAATCTCAACATCACAATCGACAATTTGGCGCCATTCTTGTTTCCGAATGATCAATAATCCACGATCATGCTTCTGTGCCAGCGGGAAGCATCACGGGAGGAAAGATACTTGTCGTCAGGGTGCAGCCCGGGGTAAGTGGGGCACCCGGCTCGCAAATGGCGGGGACATTAGCTATCCGCTTGCGGGGTAGTTCAAACTTGATACCAATCCCTCGTGGTCATCGTCTCAAATGATGAAAGAGGACAAAGATTTAAATATCGCCTCTCTGCATCGTGGCAAAACAGGTTTTGGTCTCTTGCGATCTCAGTATCCCAATAGCAGCCCAGCTTGACAGTTCATAAAGACGGTCTGTTCGTTCACCTATCCTGCACGCGCCACCACCACCAAAAACCCGCAACCGCACCCGAAGCACCACCACCCGTCAGCTCAGATCGCACAATGGCGGGCCACTTCCGCGCCTCGCTCGCAGACCCACCCGCCAAATCCTTCTCGGACCGGCCCCAGTTCTCGGCCTTTATGAAGCCGTGCCGCTTCGAGGGCGAGGTCCGGAATCTGGAGGTCGTCGGCACCGTCCCCGCCGAGCTGGACGGCGCATTTTTCCGAGTGATGCCGGATCCGCAGTTCCCGCCGTTTATTGAAAATGACCCTGTATGTAACTGCGTTGCCATGCCTCGTTTTCCCTGATGACCACTTTCTGCAATCCCGAGGAGTATCTTTGTTTGTTTTAAACTACCGGAAAATTATCTAATCTGGAAAAAAGTGGTTTAATGGCGACGGCAATGTTTCTGCTTTCCGCTTCCACAATGGCAATGTCGATTTTCAGCAGAGATACGTGCGGACAGAGAAGTTTGTTCGAGAACGAGAAGCGAATCGAGCTCTAGCAGGTTCGTCATCCTAAACTCTTACTTCTCCTTGACCAGAAGCTAGGATTTCCCCAAGACTGACGTGATATTTCATTACAAACCACTAGGCGCATACCGAAACAAGTACACAGACGCAGTCGAATTCAAAGTCCGCACCACCGCCAACACAAACATCTTCTACTTCAACAAGTCCCTCCTCGCCATTAAGGAAGATGCGCCGCCGTATCTCATGGATCCGATCACGCTCGAGACCAAGGGGCTCTGCGACTTTGACGGCCAGCTACCGAGCTGCACCTTCACCGCGCACCCTAAGCTAGACCCCGCCACGGGCGAGCTCGTGTGTTTTGGCTACGAGGCCAAGGGTGACGGGACGCCTGATGTTTGCTATTTTAGCATCGCCCCCAACGGCAAGTTTCTCGAGACTGTGTGGCTTGTGGCGCCTGTTGTTGGCATGATTCATGATTGTGCTGTGACGGATAACTGGGTATGTGTTGCGGGAAAAGTAGGAGACTTTATGTCTGCTTGTTTGCTGACCTTACTTAGGTGTTGTTTCCTATGATCCCACAGATATGCGACATTGATCGATTGAAAGCGGGAGGGGAGCACTGGCAATGGGATCCCAACGTGCCCTTCTATCTGGGTGTTCTACCAAGACGCGGCGCGAAAGGAACCGACGTGAGGGTAAAGCACACATTTCTCCTTGCAATGTTCCGAGTATCAAACTGACCACATCTTCCCCTCCTGAAAGTGGTTCCGCGCTCCAAATGCCTTCCCAGGCCACACCACAAACGCCTACGAGACCCCTTCAGGCAATATCGTCTTCGACCTGCCCCTAACAAACAAGAACGTCTTCTTCTGGTGGCCCGATGCCGAGGGCAACGCCCCGGACCCGCAAGACATCCGCGCCGAGTACGTCCGCTTCGAATTCGACCCGCGCGCCACATCGGACTCGGCCCTCGACCTCCCCGCGCCGACGCCCATCCTCCGCCACGACATGGAGTTCCCGCGCATCGATGAGCGCGTGCTCTCCAAGCCGCACCGGCACAGCTTCTTCGACATGATGGACCCGTCGCTGGGGACTGACTTTGCGGCCATCATGCCCGTGCTCGGTGGCGGTCACCCGTTATATAACTCGCTGGGACATCTTGATCATGAAACTGGGAAGTTGGAGGTGTATTATCCTGGGTCCCGGCATATGGTTCAGGAGCCTGTGTTTGTGCCGAGGGGGGAGGATGCGGCGGAGGGGGATGGGTTCCTGATTGGGCTTGTGAATAATTATGCGACCATGTCGAGTGAGCTGCATGTTATTGATACCAAGAAGTTTACGGAGCCTGCGGCGGTGGTGAAAGTGCCTATGAGGTTGAGGGCTGGGCTGCATGGTAATTGGGTTGATGGGAAGGAGTTGCGGCTGTGTCAATGATGCCCCTGACTTGCAGGGAAATAGTATATCACTTGTATGGTCGATGAGAGCTATTCAGAGAAGATACCTATGCTAAGAAATAAACGAGAGCATATGATGGAGACAAACCATCGGTATCCCAGTCCCTCAGCGTAATATTGAAATCTGGAAGGAGAAGTGCAGAGTGTGTCCATCGGACCAAATTCCATGTCCGGTGTTGTCGAAATCAAATGCTATCTAACCACTTCTCGATCCCAAGCTACAATGTTGTCCCAATAGGTCCAAACCGAATGTTGGACCACGCAACTTTGCTATCGGAATGTCAGCTACCATCGAAGCCTCTAGTTCTAGCTCCTCCATAGACTTACGCATTGGGATAGTATCTCTCAACCTCTTGAGGTTCGGGACCATTACCGTTTGAAGGACATGGTCCTCTTTCCGCTCCCGGAAGACCCGCACGGTCCGGCGGGAACGTGGAATCAAGCCAAAGATTGTTGGCCCAGTGCTGCATGGCAAAGTTAGCCCGCTTTAGAGAAGGGGAGCGCGCTTGTGACTGGTGATATATAGACTTACATCATTCGAGATGGACATTGTCAGGACCATGGGGAGTTGTAGGGTTTCGTTGTGACGCGCGTAGCCGCCGACTTTGGCAAAATACTCGGGGTCTTGAAAGTTCGTGGGCAGAGCTTCGCAGTAGTCGGGACTCAGTCCGCTGGTGTCTGGGAACCCGGGGTAAGATGCCGCGGGTGTTTCGGTTTTCTTCCCATCTTGGACGAAGAATTGCTTGACACTGTCTTCAGAGAATTGGGTGACTACACTGTTCAAGTAAGTCGTGTTAGCAACCGCTCAAAGATCTTATGTGGTGACTAAAAGAAGTTGAAACTCGGCGTTATCGCCAGGGCTCTTACGTGAATTTTCTACTCGTATCCACCGTCTTTCCCTTACCGTAGAACTCCTTATCGCCAAGTCTGTATGGACTGTAATCGCATCCGAGCCTATCACACAGAACTTGACCGGAACCCCCCGTGTTGGCGACATCACAGTCCGGAGCCTGACAGACCTGATAGCCTGTATCAACGCAAGGTTTTGAGATCATGTAGTATGAGTGAGCATTGGAGTTCCTGAAAGTTTCGGAGCATGCTGTCAGTCCTCTCGTCAGATAGGAGTGCCCCAAGATTCTTACCAGACGTCAAATTGGGCACAGCAAGCGCCGTACTTCCCCGTTCCGCGGACCTGATCAGTGTCTGAAGGTACCCAGCCCTCGACGTTTGCCTACACCAGCGAGTTCAGTCAATTGAGAACGCACTTAGTGACAGATATCAAGTAAACACGGTGGCGTAGAGACTCACCTTTCCCCCGACAAACCGATTACTCCTAGGGCAACTCGCATCACAATACCCAGTCCCATACCTCGCCCCAGCCTCGTTGGTAGGGTACCTAGCCATGCCACCATCGTCCTCCATAGCCACAAAGTACAACGCACTGTTAATAGCACACTCAACAGACGACAGCTCAACATCAAAAGCAAGCTCATTCCCCATCAGCACAAAAGTCTGATACCGATCCGCCCCACCCGGCTCCAACAAGAAGACGCGCGAGTTGACATTTGAAGAAAAGGCATTCAACGTCACGAATTTCTGCGACAGGGTGTTGCCACCGGTGGTGGTGATGCCGTACCCATCCTTGTAGCTCTGCGCGTCTGCCCCCTCGAGAGCACAAGTTGATGTGCAGGAGTCGGTTGTGTTGCACTGTGCGAGGTCCCATTGGTTGCCGGTGTAGCAGTTGCTGATGCTGTTTGCGTTGCGGATCCAGCGCCATTCTGCGTCGAGGACGACTTCTGCGTCGATTGTGGAGCAGGAGTTGGTTCCGCTGGGGGATTTGCTGCAGTTTTGCCAAGAGAGTTTGGGGTGTTCTTCTGGGACTAGGTTGCCTGCTTTTTGAGCAGCGACTATGGTTGCGAGGGTGAGTGGGAGGATTGATAGAGAACGCATGTTTTCTGGTTGATGTTATCAATAGTGAAATTTTGGTGGTCCAATAGCACAACAACCAGATGCTAGCGGGGAGAAAGGGACTTATAGTTGGTGATACTGGGCATCATTTCATTCAGTATCTGGGTGTTTTGTTTCGGAAGACATCTCCCTGTTGTAGAGGCATACAAGGAACTATGTTCAATATAATCACGCCAATGACACACATATGGTCAGACTATTGAAGTATGTATGAGGGAGGATCAGTGCAGCTCGTACATGTGAGGAGCCGGCACGTATTGCTCCTTGCGGCCGGCACCATCGAAAATACGTTCTCGGCAAACCCCAATCTGATCAAAGAGTGTGTCAAATGCTGACATAGGATCCGGTTGAATGTAAGGAGTAGTTGCTACTGACGCACCATGATCTTGTAGACGGGAAGAACCATAATCATCGGGCGATGCCGCCTGCAGGTCATCCTACTACACAGGAGATGGCAAGATGCTCGTCGAGAAAAACTCCTAAATCGTCGAGACAAGTGGGTTTCCAGGAACAAATTAAAATAATATCGAGGAATGGTAGCCAAAATCTTTGAAATTGTTATTGGATTGCTCCGTTGCCAACAAACAGCCCGTTGTTGGGGGGACGATCCTGATCCAGGCATTCCGGGCAATGCCGGCCGGAAAGGTGGACTTCATCATCGAGTTCAACCGGGCCCCGACAAAGTGGAGTATGGGACCGGCGAGCCGGATCGTAGCCAAGGCTGGAAGATGCGTACCGTTTTTGCGTTGCAGAAAGCGAGGTATCTCCCAATCGACTGGTCTGCCAAAGTGTCTGGCAAGCGTTGGATTCATCGCTATCATCATCACTGAATTTACCTCGAGAGTGCGCCTGCTTCCGAGTCATTTTTGGGAGTCGAAGTCAGTGCACCAGAGTTTGAGTTGTCTGTTCAACTGGAGCATGTACTGTCATTGAGTCATTCTGATCATGTAGATCCCATTCTGCCTTCTAGATGCGTTCTCCCTTCTCGTTAAACCTCTGAACCTCTCCCGTAAGAAGAGCATCCTGCAAAGCTCGACCGATCTCCATAACCTTGACGCCCTTCTCAAGAGGCAGCGGAACAGGTTTGTCCCTGAGAACCGACTCGGTGAACTCGTTGGCCTCCAGCGCAAACGCGTGCTCAAATCGCTGCCAGTACTCGGGCTGCACCTCGTTCCGGATACCAAGCTTATCCGCGACAACGACATTGCTGGCTCTCGGCACAACATTCACCGAGACCTTTCCCTCGGTGCCCGTGATCTCGGTGCAGACATCGTGGCCGTGGGCCTGCGTGCGGGAACAGCAAAAGTAGGCAATCTTGCCGCCCCAGAACTCGACGACGCCGACGCCATTGTCGACGTCGTTCATCTGCGCGAGCTCCGGGTGGTGCTGCAGCGTACCCGTCGCCCAGCAGGATTTCGGGACCGGGTCCGAGAGGTACCAGAGCGAGAGGTCAATGTCGTGGATGGCGCAGTCGACAAAAATGCCGCCGTTACGCGGGGCGTAGCGCACGAAGAAGCCGGTGTTGTCGAGGAGGTCGCATGTATTGGACCGGACTATGAAGGGGCTGCCGATGGCCTTGTTGTCGAAGATTTTGGTAGCGGCGTCCCGGTAGGAGGCGTCGAAGCGGCGGGAGAATCCGGCCATCACTTTGAGGTCCGGACGGGCTTTTGCGGCGTCGACGCAGGCTGCGATCTAAGATGGTGAGGAGAAGTCAGCTCGAAGCCTATGAATTGTATCTGGCAGACCGCCATGAGATCAACTGTGGCCGTACCTCATCCATCTTCGTACTCAAGGGCTTCTCGCACAAGACGTGGAGACCCTTCTTGATAGCTGCTAATGTTTGGCTTGCGTGGACATCGGTGCTGGTGGAGATCCACACAGCTTAAAGCCCCGGGTGAGATAGCATCTCCTCGTACGAGCCGTATACTGTGACGTTGAACTCCTTGTAATCCTCAAGGGAACGAGCCCACTCCAATTCGTGGGCCTCGGTGCTGCAAACCGCCACCACTGAGGCCCTCGGGACGCGGTAGATGAGGTTCTGAACATGGCGACGACCCTATGTTTGTTGTCAGCCGGGGCTTCTTCGTTCGTGTTCCCGTGATGGTTAAGAAGTTCTGACCATTCGTCCTAGTCCTGCCACTGCGATTCTGAGAGGTTCCATAGCTACTGATGTGTTGCAAATGCGTCAAATTTCGGGTGTTTCAAGGGCGAAGGTCTGGTGAGCCGACTTCTTGATGGTGCAATCAAGCCTCTGAACCTCATCTCGACGGATACCCTTCTATTTATCCTCTATGAACCCATTGCGAAGTACTGCTCACGGCAAGAGGAATATGAAATCCGTCGAGAACCCGCCAGGAAACACTTCGAGATGCCTCTGCAACGTATCAAAGGGACCGGCTTCGCGTAGATACTACCGCTCCTGGCCAAAGAGGAGAACCAAACGCGAACACAGCTCTCGGTGGTGCATAAAGGTGCGAGTGCCATACTTCCCCTCAGGACCTCCCCCGCACCCAGGGACCACCTTCTACGCCATCTGAAGAAGGCCGATGGGATAAGTCTGCGGGTAAGCTGGGGTATCACTGTATCAGGAGAGCCATTCGCTCTCCAAGTGCCAGTAAAGTGTGTCTACCTGCGTGTAAGTCGTTTGAGTCCACTCGGCCATTACTCGGTGCTGCCGCCACTTCCCCGCGTACGGGAATGCATGATGGATGTGTGGAGGAGATTGGGGTGATGAGGGGAAAAGAACGGGCCGGACGTCGATCAGTCAAAAGTCATCGCCGACGCCTGTGCATAGCTACCTTAGTCAAAGGCGTTGATGGACAGTGAAAGTCACTTCAGAGAAGCATGAATGTAACTTTGAAATGGTATCTTGATATTCATATCCCATAGCCCGTAATCGTACCCATAACTATATAAACACAATCAAACCAAAAGCCTGCCTGGAGTAAATGCCATGAAAAACGCCTCCCATCAATGAATGCCGCTATGCTTGACTCAAACAGAGTACTTGTTCCCCTCCATACCAACACCGCCCTGCGGTTGCAGTCCACGCTGGGAGAGAATCTGCTGCCTGATGATCTCCTTCTCCTCCTGCGCAGACGTATCTTTGAAAACCTCGTCCATCTGCTCCAGAGTCTTTCCCTTGGTCTCCGGGATGAGGAAGAAGGCCCAGACTGAGGCAATGAAGCACCAGGTACCGAAAAAGACGTAGGTTCTGAACCCGAGCTTGTCCATCATGGGCGGAGTCGCAACGCCGACGATGAAGTTGAAGAGCCATACGGTCGCGGTAGCCAGGGCCACGCCCTTGGAGCGGTGTGAGTTGGGGTAAACTTCCGCGGGAAGGGCCCAGCCGAGAGGGGAGTAGGAGACTCCGTAAAGGAGGACGAAGATGAAGGCCATGGCGACAGCGCCCCAGCCCGCAGCAGGATTGGCGCCCCAGTTCTTGGAATATACACCTGTGAGAATTGCCATGATGCCCCATGAGGTGCCGCCGCCCAGACCACCGAGGATGGCAAGTGGCCGACGTCCCACTTTGTCGATAACGAAGAAGCATACGCACACGGCGACGAGCTGGAGAACGTTGAATACACCGGACATGACCAGGGCCATCTCCTCCGACTGTCCGAGGGACTGGAATAACGTCGGGGCGTAGTGTATAAACGCGTTTATTCCGCTTAATTGTTGGAATACGGCCACGACTTGCGCAACCGCCGTACGACGCCAGAGACGGGGGGAGAAAAGATCCAGCCAACCAGCAAGTTCGAGCCTCAGGCCACGCTTTCCGGGGTGGTGCTTTTCCTGCATGATCTTTTGCACCTCGACCTCACTGATGATGGCCCGGTGCTCTGCTTGAACGCGGTGGTCATCAGCGGGCAGTCGGCGGAGGCGGACGAGGGAGTCAAGAGCTTCCTGGGACCTGTTGACGAGGGCGAGCCAACGAGGAGAATAGGGGTAGAAGAGGATGCCGATGCCGAGGCCGGTAGCGCAGATCATCTGCAGACCGAGAGGGAGACGGAAGGCGATCTCACCGGTCATGTGGCGGGTTCCGTAGGTGATGAAGAAGGAGACGACAACCCCGAGGACGATGGAGACAGATTCGAGGACGAGAAGAGTGCCTCGAAGGTTAGGTGGTGCAATTTCGGAAATGTAAATCGGAGAACCCTGTTGATGAGACTGGTCAGCCATGGTTCGATCTTATCACAAAATGAGATGCAGCGGAGAGAAAGAGATCAACTCACCATTGCAAGTGTACCAACACCAATACCACCGATAGTCCGACCAGCTACCAAAACGCCATAATTCGGCGCCGCAGTCTGCATGATAGCACCGATATTGAAGACGACCACGACGGCCGCGAGCGCCCTCTTACTGGAAATCTTATCGGCCAGCGTAGGCATGAACAAACATCCGAGGAACGCGCCAAACTCGAGCATACCCGTCATGAAGCCCTTACCAAAGGGGGTCGCGGCTTCAGGGAAGACGTCGTGGAACTGCTTCATGACGTTGATGATGGAGATAACGCCCTGGTCGTAGCCAAAGGAGAAGCCGCCGAGCGAAGCCAGAAGGGCGGCGCCGCCGACGTACGGCGAATAAGCAAGGCCGCGGAAGCCACTGCGGCCGTAGGACACGTCCTCGGCGGGGTTGACGTTGATTTCGACATTGTCGATGAAGTCCTCGACGTGTTCGCCGTGGCCATCGTCGAGGCTTTTGGCCTTTTTCAAAGAGTCAGATTGGTCGCCATGATTGCGATCTGATACGTGTTGTTGTGTGCTCTGAAAAGAAATGAGGATGAGACCACGTGAATGGGGCAATCACAGCCGCGGAGGGTAGTATCTGAGAATGGATGATAGGATTCGAATGGGATGAAGATCAGAAGTCAGCTGAGCCGAAGAGGCTCTTATATACTAAATAAGTTTCTGGGGGCTTGGTGTTGAGGACTAGGTTGACTACTACTTAGTACCAACGGGTAGCGCAAGAGTAGACCAGGACAAGACAAGAACCGGATTTCTGGGGAACCCCATCCGTTTACAGACTAGGGGGGCGTCTGCAATGGCCAGCGAGTGACTGAGGGCGTCGAGGGTTCGTGCCAGGACTGACTGTCAATTTCCCGGCGACGAAAGGCCGCGGGCAGCATTAACGTTCTCCACCGGCAGAGTGGAACACACGGCTCTCAGGTTGCATCTCTCCCCCACGGGGTAAGGTGGAGTCTGCTCCATGTAAACCTTCGAAGCCTTTTTCGGCGAAGGGCATGGGTGGAGGGTTAACGGTGGGTGGTGTGGGTGACTCGCACGTACTCGAGGCTTCGGTCTGAACGTGGTGAGCAAAGAGGGCAAACAGTGGACGGAGAGTCAGGACCAAGACTAACATCAAAGATAGGGAGCATCTCATTGGTTGGAACCTGGACTTGGACTGCCTGCGGCTGGGCGTCATGACAGCGGTCTTCTGGCCGACGGTTTTCCTTTTCAGGAACCCGTCGGCGATGAGGCGTTGCCTGCCTGCCCCCTCAGCCGCCCCGCGACGCTAATGTCCATTCTTAGTATAGTGCTTTATTCTGACTTTCTGAGACACAAAAGGAGTCTGGACAAGGGTGCTTGGTAGGCTGAACTCGGGGAGTCGGGCGCTGAGTTGATGAGACCTGCCAAGGGGGATCAATGATGGTCCGCCGAGCACCAACCAAGGCCGCCAATCTTGAGGACTCGTTGTCACTTTGGAGGAAACTGGATTGAAGCCTTTGGTTGGCCTTAATTGACCTGCTATGACGACATGGGCCCCATATTGCCAAATGTGTATTTGCCAGGGCCGGGGTCAGTCGGGATGCACTCCCGCGCCGGCCTAGAGATTCCGGAGCCTCTTGCCCCCCTGGTCACATCCTCGGGATTCATCGTTCTGCTTTGGGCCTTTGGAGGGAGTGATCACCACTACAGACTGCACAACCCGCGGGTTTCGATTTCCGATAACACGCATATCGACGAGAACTCTTTAGGAAGGGTTCATCCCCCAGTATCTTTATGGACTCTGAATGTGTTGGGGAGTTACACGAGTCAACTTGGTCAACTTCCGACAAAGATCAACCAAACGTGAGTTTTGCTAGGAGCTAGTTGCCCTGTTGGCGGATCCCGCGGGCTTCTCTCCAATACGGAATGCAAGAGACACCACCAACAACAAATCAGGGAATTCTAGGCACTTGGATGCCAAGGACAATCCCTCCTCCGATCCTGCTCCCTCCCGAATAGGTAATTTCCGATTTGCTGCTTGCGGTTTCGAGTGCCAACGACATAAAATCATGAGTAGATGATTTGTTCGAGTTACTTTTGGTAGACGGGGGCTCTGATGGGGTCGACCGGGGGTTCGAAGATTGATCATTTGGTCAGCTGTGCCGTCTACAACCGAAGTCCTCGTCAATTGTTTGCCTATCGACAGGGGAATCTGAAACTACGTCATCAATTGACCAGGGCGCATTCGACTGCGGATTGCAACACTACGATTAGAACCGACGCGAAGATTAAAGAAATAGACCGAACCCAAGTCATCTACCAGCCCACCGGCCCCGTGACCACGGAACCCGCCCGATATCACGACAAGGGCGAGACAATGACGAGAAACCACGTTGTTTCCACTATCAAACTTGTCTAAGTTGGGTACATGACCCCCACGCGACTATGAATTTGCAAGCTTTTGAAACATCGTCAATTCATCAAGGTGAAGTAGCTCTAATGTCGTCACCAAACATCAACGCGTCTACGTTCCTATCTACTACTGTTGGAACAGCAAAGGCTGATAAGGAGTAAGTAATAGGCAGGTACCATGGGCTGGCTGGCACCTGCCCTGGGCGAAGTAGGACAACTGGCTTAGTCATCACGGCCGGATACAGGTGGGGCAACCACCCAGGCCGTCACTACCTACTTCGACCGACTCCTGCCTACAATGTAAGATAGAAAAACAAGAAGAACAAGCAATAGGATCACCAACAGACGAGTGATAATTGCTACCACTATTTGTCGTATACGACCCCGTGGAACCAACAACTACAAAAGACGCGCATGTATATGCTGTTTTTTCTCTCCATCGGTCTCTACAGCCTAGCATTCTCAATGCGCTTGCCAGACTCGTCAAAATCAATCTTCTTGCCCGTGATCAAACTCTCTTGCAGCGCGCAACCGATCTTGACTGCATTGACGGCGCCGACCAGCTTCATGGGCGGCTCGGTGTTGTTCAAACAGCACGCGGTGAACTCGTTGGCCTCGGTGATGAAGGCCTCGCGGAAGCGGCCGTAGTAGTCGGGAGGGATCTCACGACGAATACCCGTGGGCTCGTAGAGGTTGACGAGGTTCAGCTGCGGCTGCGTGTTGACGGCGACCTTGCCGCTTGTGCCAAAGATTTCGGTCGTGTCTTCTTGGCCGGCGGCCATCATGCGTGAGCAGAAGAGCTGTGCAATCTTTCCACCCTATAATCGCATGTGGTTAGCTTCTATCTACCGTAATGTCTAGGGATATCGGAAGAACTTACGTAGAACTCGACAACAGCGACAGCGTTGTCTCTATCGTTGTGCTTCCTCAAACCCTCCTGCACAGCTGTGATACCGATGGCAGACACACTCTTCACAATGCTGTCTTCGCCAAAGAACCAAAGCGCCAGGTCAATGTCGTGGATAGAGCAGTCAACAAAGATGCCACCGCTGAACTCGGCGTAGTCGACGAAGAAACCGGAGGGGTCGAGCTTATCGCAGGTCTGCGATCGGAAGACGGAGGCCGCACCGATGTCGCCGCGAGCCACTCGTGTGAAGGCGTCTCGGTAGGATGTGTCGAACCGGCGTGAGAAACCGCAAATGACCTTTTGGCTGGGGTTCTTGATGAGGGACTTGTCATAGGCCGTGACGACGGATTGTGACTATGTGGGAGACCGAAGTTAGTCCATGGTTTCTGTGTATCGCGAAGAGGCAGTGCAGAAAGATAAGAGCTTATAGTGTGAAGTGTGAACGTACGATATCGACGCTTGTGCTAAGAGGCTTCTCGCATAGGACGTGGAGGCCCTTCTCGATAGCCTTGATGGCTTGCTCGGCGTGTACTGTGGTGGCGCTGGCGACAATCACGGCCTGCAGCGTCGACTCCTTGCGCAACATCTCGTCATAGTCGAGGTATGTCCGCAGAGGACCAAACTCTGCGACGGCGGCATCGAGCTCGGCCTGGACCGGTGAGCTGACGGCGATGAGGTCAGCCTTTGGTGTCAGGGTCGCAAAGTGTCTGGCGTGTCGCAGGCCTGTTTGGTTCCGAAGTGGTCAGTCCATGTTGGAGTCGCTCGAGCTCAGCAGTAGAGCTCGAGTCTTCACTAGGGGAGCTCTAGAAAGCTACCCCTCGGTGGAATGAGGGGCGAGACATACCCATGCGGCCGAGTCCGGCGACGGCAACGTTGAGCTTTTCTCCGGCCATTGTGTTTTGATTTGGGGGTTGTTTTGCAAAGGTTTTGAGGAATGATGTGATTTTGGGCCCGAGAGAGTCAATTGAGTTTCAATTCTCGCAATCCGTCAAGGTACACGTATGAATAAAGGTAAAGAGACCACGGCGACACTGCACAGCTTCAACTTCGAGGAGCTCTGGGTGAAATACGGTCTCTTTTAAAATCGGCGGCTCTTGCTCTTCCTGTTTACTTCAGGAAAGTCTCCAGCAAGCCAATTGAACACGCTCTGAACGACTCGTCGCAAGATACCGAATGCCATCCCAACGCCGGCGGGCAAGAGCCTCGTAGAGTCCTCCAACACCTTCGAAACTCGGCATCTCCATCGGCCCCTCTTACCATAAACGGTAATTCATGACTCTCGTCCCCAGATTTAGATCGTCTCCCCAGAGTTGGCGGCAAGTTTGTGGGGGAAGAGGGCTTGGGGGTGCGGGGTAGACTAGACACATAAGACCGGTTGGTCCTATTTTCTATGAAGAGTTACACCGCATGTTTTTTTGGTTTGGTTTTTGTACTCTCCGAGGACCGAAGGCGCTTAATGCACGTTCATCTTTTGGGCTTGAGGTGTTTGTTTGCGCCGGCTGCGTTTCACGGGACCGGACGGATGCATCGACGAAGCCAAGACTCTTTCAAGTTTCTCCACAGATCTGAGATTACTTCTTCTAGCAAGCGTCGCCGATGCTCCGCTTCTTTCTTCCATCCTCCTCCTCTTCGTCCGCCTATCCCAGCCGCCGCCGACGTTCTCAACTCCCCGCATCTCCTGAATCACGGACCACGAGCCAGGCGAGACTTGCCCTTCCGAGTTCGAAGTGGGAAACGACATAATATCCCCATCCCACCGCCGGCGACGACAAGCAGGTGCCACTTTGTCAGATCAAACTTGGACCAGCAAGCTGTAGCTGTGGCCAATCTGCGTCAGCAGTGCCCCGCGCTCATCCCCACGGGAGATGCCAAGCGCCACGAAGCCATGCGCAAGATGCAAAGGTATGTGCCCGGACGCGCGCATGCGCGTGTCTCCCTGTCCTCGTGGCCTTTCAGGGGTCCCACTGGTCTGACATCAACTTACCTGGGGTAAATCAGAGCGACATGAGAAATGTAAGTTGCGTTGAATTCTGTTATCTGAAGTTGAGTTTCCGGGATTGAGATAGGGACTGTGATTCCAAGTCATAGATTGTCATAGCTCACAACCTTCGGCAACTCATCTGAAGTCTTTCTGCGTATCTGACAACTATTCGACGGATGCAGGTGATGATCAGCAACCCCGTTGTAGCAGATGCGAGAAGCGCAACGTCGAGTGCTTTCGTCCTGAACGACGACCTTCCTTCCGCCAGGGTTCTACTGCCAATTATGATGGAGCCTTCTCCCGGGAGCAGCGCTGGGTGAATAGCCGACCTCGAGCTTGTGAGTCTTTGCCTTGGGGAAAGTTGCCCTGGGGGTGATGCCTTAAATCTCGAGACATTCTGACTGGTGCTCAAGTCCGATTCGACAGTCGAGCACCGAACAGCACTCCTACCACGACTCAGGAGAAGGACATCAGCAATGATACGCCCTCCAGTCATGCACAATCATTGCCGGATACCGGTGTTGCTGTCCGCAACGTCTTACACGAGACTGGCCGCACTCTCTCCGAGGCCCCGGCCCTCGTGAACCACGATAGAGGAGTCGAAGATATCCAACCGCCAATACCGACACCTACCAAACGTCGAAGAACCGAGCCTGCGCCGCAAGATGGTGGCCACTTCTTTCCTGCCTCACCAGCTGGGTCAGGAGCATCAAGGACTTCTCCCTGGTCAAATACAGCCTTGTCAACTGGGAGAGTGCGTCTGAGAGAAGATGAGGCATCGATACACAGTCCTCATGCTGTGCCTCAAAGCGTCGACCATTTTTCTCCTTCCGCCGGTAGTTATCACACCGCGAACCAAGATCATAATCTAGTCGGGAGCATACCAAATGCTCAACCATCCGAAGGCATCCATGAAGCATGCCTATTGCGGTACTTCGTGGAAGAGCTATCTCAATGGGTTACGTGCACACAGTTGCAAGAGTTACACAGAAAAGTACAATCATTAACCCTTTCTCGGGTGTAGTTCGACCTCTGCGACGAAGAGAGGCATTTCCAGCTCGTCGTAGCAAGACGCGCACGCTCGTGCCAGCCCCTCCGTGACGCCGTCTTCGCCGTCGCGGCCCGCCATCTATGCCGACATCCCAAGTTCCGGTCGGAGCCAGGAGGCGGAGGCGTCATTGTCTACCAGCGCCAGCTTCTCCCCGATCTTACGCCCCAGAGCGCTTTCGAGTATATGCTCCGCTGCATACCCGCGCTACACGAGGTCTCGAGCACACAGGACGAGGAGTACCGCGAGAACTTGGCCGCTGCGGCGCTCATTCTTCGCCAGTTTGAGGAGATGGATCCTGAGGATTCCCAGAGCGTGCCGGGGTCAGATTTTGGGAACGCGAACGGGGACGGGAATGGAACGATTCATGGTAATCTGAATAGCAACGTCAACTTTCTTGACATTACAAAGGCAATCTTGAGGGCAGCGCCGCCCTCTCGATGGTCTGGGCTCTTGAGCGCCGTGTACTGGGTGGCGGTGAGGCAGGAGATCTACTTTGCCCTGACACTGGAGCGGTCGCCGCAGATTACGGCAAGGCCGGATCAGGGGCGTGAGGTGTCATTTGCGAATCGGCTTATTTGGTTCATGTCCGAAGTGGCTAAGTGGAAGATGGGAGACAGGATGGAAGGGGAATGGGGTAAGTTTTTCATTCATGCTTCTGTGCGAGATTCTAGGATTTGGGGTCCGAGGTTTACTCGATTACGATGACTGACGCATGTTATCCAGAGAGATTGTGGATCGAACAGGGTATCCTCGCTGTCGAATGTACGCGGCAGTTTATACCCATAATACAGAGGCCAGCGGATAGGTCTCAAGGCGAAATATTCCCCTTGGTTTGGTACGGTTCTGATGTGGAAGTCACTGCGTTACAGCATTTCATCTTGGCAAGGATGATTCTCCTAGCTGAGGATCCTAGTCTAAAGTATGCAGACGCTCTCTACCTCCCAATATCGATAGCTGCACTACGCTGTCGTGGGTTCTTTTTGATTTTCGAGCAACATGCTGACAAAACTGGGTTTCCAGTGGACAAGGCTCAGATAGGCGAGCACATCGAGAGGCGGAACACCAGGTCCGAGAAATGACACTAGAGCTATGTGGCCTAGCTATGCATCATCTAAGAGCACCGCCAAACTTGACGACCGCAGGGATAGGGATCATGTTATACGGTGACTATTTCAATGATCAGTGGGAGAGAGCGGCGTTGATTGGCGTGCTGGAGGAGTGGAAAAGCCATCATGCTTGGCCTGTGAGAAAAGGGTACCAAGCACTCAGTGCGGACTATGTCCCATGAGTGTTGCAGTCCAGAAGTTTCTGTACATACGTCGTATGCAGAGGCATTGAATCCATGGACCATGGGTCAACTGACTCTGATACCTATGTGAAATGAGTGAACCGTCTACCTTGAGGGTTCGTCTATTCTCAGAGCCTTCTTCCGCTGGCTACTTTACCTATGACTGTCTATAGTGAGATGATCAACGGTGGCTAGGTGTTCACAATCTACCGCTGACCAACAATAGGTGCTATTCGAAAGAGTTATCAGTGTAAGATTTCACTCCATGATTTTGGGCCCATAAGAACGATCTGATAAAACCTCAGAGTAATATGGACCGTGCACTGGTGCAGGTATGGAAAGAATTTGGGAAGGTTTAGTTCCAATTTCGCAACCAAGCTCCCTTACTCGATCTCAGTCTGAATGATTGAGTTAGAGTTAATGTAGGAGCATGGTAACTGAAACTTGACTTTGTCCTCGAAGTGTCTTTGTCTTGATGTGTCAAGAAACCGTGCTCATATTTACGCAGGAATTTGCGACTCTGTCTTGCCGAAAAGACCAACAAAATGAGAGTCATAGCCGTTGGTGGACGATATCTATCTTGAGACAAGCACATTGTTGGACGATCGATACTTGGGAACGGTAAGGTAAGCTCAATTCGGCATTCCAACTTGTCTCATTAAACAGTTTAGCGGCATGAAACCATCGAGTTCAAGGTCGAATTTTGCACTGAATCAGTAATCCCGCGCCATTGACGTTTAAATACGAGAGCGACTTTCTCTAGCTGTTTGGAAGAACCAGGGAAGTTCTGACCAACGGGACAGGATTCGAAAGTTGAGCCAGCCGCGTCCCAAATCCTCAGTGCCAGTGATAACCACCTGGCGCATTCGTGAAGTTGCAGATTGTCGCAAAAACGACGCCGTTAATTGCGGGCAGCAATTAACGCCATATATACCCTACGACACAGATCAAGCCAAGAAAATACTAAGTTTCGAGCGCAACAAAGACTAGTCAGATCGATTGTTCGACCGGGTAAGCCCGAACGATATGCAATGCGCTGTTAGATCTGAACATCTTCAATTGGGGTACATATGGTGTTACGCGATTGCCACAGGAAATTCACAATCTATACCTACGTTGACGATGTTTGGTGCCTGGCCGAGAGGAGCCTGAGAAGAATCAACTGCGCTGTATTCTTCCAAAACCTCGGTTCGAGAGTCTTGTCACCCCGGTCCGAACCTATCTTCATCTGTGGTGTGACGGGCATCGCATGATCCCAAGGGCGTCACCGTGAGGTTACGCCATTTGCGGGTCTGATTTGCCAATTTGGCTCAAAGAGACCTGGCCAAACGAATAATTCTACCACTTTACTTCGCAGAAGCTCTTGGAAGTTGTAGTCCAGGTACTCAAGCTGTCAGTCGCACGTGAAGTCCTCAATTTTTGCTGATCCCCGGCCGGGTCCGACTTGAAGAGCCAATCTCATTGGCGCGCGTCTTTAAGCTTCGGCAATCATCCATAAACATGGCTGGGATATCCCCACACAAAACCCCAGATCTCAACGGCAATATACTAAGACGCGGGGAATGTAACACTGCCTCGGCGAGCTTTCGACCGATGTGACGGCCTTTCTATGAGGTCACATTGCTGTCTGCGAAAACAAAACACACCATATGCGCCAATGAACACGGTGTCGGACCTGCATGTGCTGTTAGCTAACCCCAACGCAGCCACTCTACCGTCTTGGGGGTGGATTCTCATCACTCGTTTACGAGTCACGAAATCAAGGAAAGCTTTCTTCCGAGCGTGCGAAGCTATTGATGATGATCTTGTTCACATTCTCTTGGCGTTGACATCGTATCCCCTCTCTTGAAGCTCAATGGCGGCGGCGTATATAAAATACTCCGCTGCTCGAGCAATGCCGGCTTTCGTCTTCCTTCAAGGCACCCGACTCTCTCGCCGTCGGCCTCATCATCTCCCCAACTTTCCACGAGATTAGTGTTCAAAAGATCACACCATGAAGTTCCTCGGAGCCGCCGTTGCTGGCATTGCCAGTCTGCTCTCCTACCAGGCTGTCGCGAGCCCCGTCCCAACCCCAGTCGAGGCCCGTCAAGCCAGCGGAACCATCTCGAACAATGTCATCTTCTCCCCGCCGTCAAACGCCGGCTGGGTCGACCCGCGCGTTCTGTACGCCCGCACCATCCAGCTGGACTCAGGCGACTTGATCGCTACCTGGGAGAACTACTCTCCTGAGCCTCCCATCGTCTACTTCCCCGTCTACCGCTCGCAAGATGGCGGAGCTACATGGGCTGAGATCGGCCGTGTTGAGGACACCGTCAACGGCTGGGGTCTGCGCTACCAGCCCTTCCTCTACGAGCTTCCGGAGGCTTTCGCTGGCTATCCCGCCGGCACCATCTTGCTCGCTGGCAACAGCATTCCGACGGATCTGAGCTTGACCAAGATTGATGTCTACGTCAGCACTGATGGCGGTGCCAACTGGGAGTTCCTCAGCAGCGTCGCCAGCGGAGGCGAGGCCCTGCCCAACAACGGCCTGACCCCCGTTTGGGAGCCTCACTTCTTGTAAGTCTTACTCTAGCTTCCCGGAACTGTCATCCTGGGATCTATGCTAACAAATTCTTCCCTTGCCAGGCTCTACAACGACGAGCTCATCATCTACTACGCCGACCAGCGCGACACAAAGTACGGCCAGAAGCTGTCCCACCAGACCACCACCGACCTCAAGACCTGGAGTGCTATCGTCGACGACGTCCATGACGATAACGCCTACGAGGCCCGCCCCGGCATGCCTGTCATCGCCAAGCTGCCCAACGACGACTTCATCTTCGCTTACGAGGTCTGCGGCACCGACGGCTGCCGCGTGCACTACCGCCTCACCGCCGACCCGCTCAACATCCTCGCCGCCCCCAGCATCTCGCTTATCTCTACCTCCGGCACCCGCCCTGTCAGCTCCCCCTACGTGGTTTGGTCCCCTGTTGGTGGTGTCAACGGCACCATCGTGCTTAGCGGCGGCAGCCAGTCCAATATTTTTGTCAACACGGCTCTGGGTGATGCTAGCGCCTGGGTTGAGTATGCTGTTCCCCAGCCCAACGCTTACTCTCGTGCTCTTGCGGTGCTTGATGATGGCAGCAAGTTGGCTATCATTGGTGGTGGAAGATTGCCTCCTAGCAGCACAAACCAGGTCAGCATTAGCGTTGTTGACCTGACCACTCTGCTTGGATTGTAGATAAACATATAGTCGAGGGGGTACCCAAGCAATTTGGAAGTCACGACGTTGAATGCATGTGCAGTTGAGATGTGACCAGTAGCAAAATAGGTAATGACTAGTAGTCTGAGGCGCCTCAGACCACCGGAGTTATTGCCAGTTGCCTGACACCCTGACTACCTAAGGATTGCGACGACAAAAACGACTACATTAAGTACGTCAATAACAAGTTTGCTCATTCGGACCTATCGAGTGGCGCAGTGTATAACCAGGCATTCTACTGGAAGTGGCCAATAAGTGAGGCCGCATGTCATCGCCCAGTGGCACAGTCAGTGCATGTCCGACACGTTTAGCTCTACCAATCGCAGCTACATTAAGTGTCAAATTACGCCCAAGTGGTGGCTGGATCACCAGCAATTTTCTTTTGGGCGGATTGGCTTAAAACCAGTGTCCTGCTCAACGAGTCCCGCTCAGAGCCTGACTGGTTTTCCTGTTTTCTTGCTATGCAAATGTAGTCATTTCCACATCAAGCGGAGGTACCTACATCTAGTCAACAGCTCATTCGAGCGGCTAACACCCCAAGATGTCGGTCGGCTTCACTTTCGGAAGTCTTGGAGACATTCTACAGCTGTGTCAGATTGGCTTGGACATTGGAAAGGCTCTGAACGAAAGTCGAGGTAGTGCCTGAAGCTATCAATAACTAGAGACCAAATCGATCAGTTTGTGCACATCTTGGAAAATGTAAGTAATTTGGCAAAATTCCCAGAAATAATAATGCAACAACATTTTGCATAAGAGTGTCGTAGCTTTTGGCTAATATGCGTTCATGACGTACGTCTATGTCATTGCAGTGTATCAAGAACGAGAGCCCACTGCCTGGCTCTCGGGAATCGACGCCTTGATCAAAATATCACACGGGAGTGCATGAGAGATCTAGAAGAGACTCTGAAGTATTTTCAGTCAAGATATGGATTGTCACTTGCCGAAAATGGTCAAAGGAACCAAATGAATCCGAAGATCATCGGCAAAAATGTCCAGTACGAATTCAGAGAGCGAGAGCGACTCAAGGACCTGCGAGAGAAGCTTTGCACTTACACGGAAAGCTTGTCTCTTCTACTGAATGCCCACAACATGTACGTCATGGACCTACTAAGTCTCTTGTCTTCGCTCCTTGTGTTCTGATAATGAATTTACACAAAATGATAACTTGATATGAATATTTCTAGAAGGGCAGCTCGACACAACTTCAGCACAATGAAGCAAAGAATCCTGGAAGTGAAGTCACATGTGGAAAGACTGTCAGCGGACGTCAGTCGACTGAGCGTTCAACTATGGGAACAGCACGCTAGTATAACGATTTTGACTGCAAAAGTGGATGCCACAAACGTCAACTTGATATCAGGAGCGAAGCAAAATGATGCTCTTACAGAGACCGTAAAGAGGAACACATCATCTGTGCAGGAACTTGGAAGCACGTTGGACACAAAGCTCGACCTCATCCTCGAGTAGCTTGAGATGGAGACCTGCCATAGATTCTTTAAGGGTCTTGGATCGACTGCAGAGAACCCTCTGCTCTTTGAGGATGCACTCGGAGTTGTTCAAATCCTGCCAATAGAGTGGTTGAGGTCATGGGATGTAAGTTAATACTACCCAATCTATCAACCAGGTTTTGTGACGCCAAATACTGACCGCAGGAGCATCTCCGATCTATGATCAAAAACCACTTTGAGGACCGGAGGGGCCACCAAAAGGTTCTTCGCGGCGAGTATACGTTAGAAGACGACGTGTATAAAGTCGAATTGGAGCTCATGTCTCTTCCGTGGGAAGTAGTGATGAAGCCCGGAAGTGGAAGAAAGATCAACATGGTAATGACTTTCCTACAAGCACAAAAGGGCGGCACAGATGCTGCTGGGAACTACGACTGCCCGGGTTGCGGATTAGCCAGAGTTGGTAGGCCAAGCGACAACCTAAAGTGGTAAGCACTCCCTCTACCTTGAAAAGGAAATTTACTCACAGAGCTGACCTTACACAAAAAGCGACTGTGGTATGTGGATGAGGCTGAGGCAACGACTGAGAACACCGTCGCGGCCTCGTCCAAGATTAGTTAACACGGCAGTAAATACTCCGTCTAGCAACGATGACGACGATCCAAGTCACTTTCATCGCGTTCTATTCGACATTTATCTTGCATCGTCCCATGAACCGAAGGGGGCTTCAGTTGTTAGACAGAGTCTTAGATACAGATTATTTCCAGTTTTGTATTGTGTAAGTTGACTGACAAATCATTAATGAGGGGATATCAATTGTCTCTAACTTTGGCTTCTTATAGTGTAAGTGTTATTTCGGCCCTCTCAACCCCCATATTGATCGTTTCTGCGCAAAACCAAGCTGTGGAAGGCCTATATGCGCGACGTGTCCAACCGAAACGATACGACAAGCAATCTAATGTCTAAGCGTCATGTTCTCACGCATTTGTCTACTTATATAAGACGATGAAATTTGATTTGTTCGTCAACCTCCACGAAACATCTCTCCAGCTTGGCACGGGCTGTTAGTGCCATGCTAAGGAGGGGCCCCAGTCCCCGCGGTTTGCCGCTGCGCGCTGGGGTGGATTAGCTATACGCTAATCAAACCCTTAATAACGCACATTTTCCCCTCGAATCGAGCCGACGATTATTCAACCTAACGAGCCGCCGTCGACTCGAATTCGCCTTCCGCAGGCTAGACGAAGTCTTCCTGGTAGGGCAGGGAGCAGAGGTTCCATCTAGCCTCCCGAAGGAGACGGGCGACTTTCTTTCCCGGCGCAAGTGGCGCTTCCGGGCCCAAATTGAACATCACCGACCGACTTTTCGACTTCGCTCTCTCAGCACCTTTGCCCCTTAAACGATCGAAGACTCCCTCGAAGAGACGAAACGACCATTGGGTAGCGATGTATAGCCGCGGCTATATACAGCTATGCTCGTTACAGAACCTAACAGCAAGCCCTACAACCTAGTCTTACGAGGTTTTGCCTCTTGTGGTTTCCCTTGTGGCGGTATTAAGTCAAACCCCCCACTTCCTGGCACCCCCCTGTTTCTGGCACCACAAAAACGATGGGATCACAACCCGACCTCCTCATTACTATTAACTATTGATCCTCAACCACACCCACTACAATACAGCTGCCAGCCTCACTAGGGCATTCAGAGTCGCTGGATTCAGCCGTGATAACCTCCTTTTCACCCGCTTCGATTTGAGCCCGATGGATATCCCTGATGTTCGCGAACTTCGTGTTGGGATCGATTTGAACAGTCTTCCTCTTCCTCACTGCAGCGTTGGTAACTTGAGCCCTCAGGTGAGCTAGTTGCTGCTGGGCAGCTGCCAGTTGCCAGGCCTGCTCTGTGAAGCCTTTTTTCACCTTCCTGAATAGCAGCCGTTGAGTGCTGGTATCATTGTCGAGTTGGGTGTATAAGTGCAGTTGACCGCTGAGCTCTGCCAGCTTCCTGGGTGTCGACCAGACCACTGCAGAGGAGGCAGAATCCCATGGCTCAACAGGGGTAGTTTGTTGACCATTATGGCATCGCTTTCTGCCCTGACTAGTTGGTTTGGGTGTGGTGGGCTTAGCAGGAGGCTCAGGTAGTACCATAGGGTTCATCAGGGGCTTAACCATCGCCACAGGGTGTAGACCAGTCCACTTCCAACCACTTCTGATGTTCGAGACTGATAGACCAGCAAGTCGAGCCTTCTGGTAACAGTCCAGGAAGTTCCTTTTACCTATAATGGTAGAGTCGTTCCATTGAGACAAGTAACCGAGCTCCTTCCGATAGGCTGACTTAACAGGGCTGAAGACAGACTGGTCAAGAGGCTGGAGGACATGAGAGGAGTGTGGTGGTAAGAACAGTAAATGGATATTGTTAATATAGCAATTCCACATGAAGTCTGTCGTCGTATGACTCCCATGCCCATCCACAATCAGCAGTCGAGCCTCCCCCTCAGCCTCAGGCATAGTCTGTGGGATGAACACCTTCTCTAACCATTCAATGGCAGTTAAGTCTGTAGTCCAGCCATTATCTGTTGCTGTGAACTCCCACCCATCGTATGGAACGAGATGTAATGGAAACCACTGCTGTTGGACTGTCTTCCCCTTGAAAATGATAAGAGGACGAAGTGCCCTACCCAAGGCTGAGATACACTCAATGATAGAGAACCATGCCCTCGACCCAGGTTGTTTCTTGCGAACAGACGTCGTCTCAGCCATACCCAGCACTAACCCATTAGCTCCCTGACCCTCGAGGATGCCAGTCTCATCCATATTATATCTGTTGGCTGGTTTGATGTCCTTGATCTCAGGGATAGCGAGGAACTTAAACCAGTTCCTAATGACCTCAGTAGATGCCCCATTAACGCGTCTAGAATCGATAGAACGACTTCTCTGAACCTTAATGATAGGGTTCCTTCTCACAAAGGCATAGATCCAGCCTTTTCCCAGTGGTTTGGTATCCCCAGCAGCAGCCAGAACTCGCTCTGCGAATTCCTTCACCTGTTGGTGCGTTGGTGCGAGGCCCAGCGAAGCCTGAATGCGAACCCATTGTGCCAGCTTACTCTCCTGGTCAGGAGACAGCCTCTGCCAGTCAGCAAAAGCCACTTTCCTAGTCTGACCACCTTGGAGACGTAGTTGGAGGGTTGATCGTGGTATCCCATACTCCAATGAGGCTCTCTTTTGACTCTTGCCGTTTGAGATGTCCTCGAGAGCCTGACGAAGCTGATCTTCGGTATATTGAGGCATTAGATATAGAAGAAGGTATGTGCAAAAGATGAGCCCATTTGGACGCGAATTGAAAATGTTGTGATAAAAGGAGGTTGGGGGTGGGCATTGGGTTGTGGTGGATTTTCGCGTTTTTGTGGGTGCCAGAAACAGGGGGGTGCCAGGAAGTGGGGGGTTTGACTTACCTATTACGATATACTCCGGACGGTTACTGGAACGTTGTGTAAACCAGAAGCCTGCGGGCTCTGGGTCGAAGGATAGGAGATACTGGCGGAATTGCGTTCTAGGGACGACTATAGCACTGTCTCGGGCAAGCCAGCGGCACCCAGAGACAGGTTAAACACATAGTTGCCTTTGGGCACGATTTGGAGGACGAGCTGGACTGTATCTAGTGATAGCTATAGGCCTACGGCCCTCCACGCCATATACCCTTCGGGAGGTCTGCTGCAAGGGCGGCTGCGCCCTTGCCGCTACGGCGTTAAAATACAACAACAACAACAACAACACACGTACAAAGGAGTTCCCCCTGAATGAACTCACCAATCGCTTGTTCTAGCCATGTATAACAATTCGCACCTTTGTTTCCTTTCCTGATTACGATTCGCTCTCATTGCTCGTAAGACCAAATCGCCTGTCAGTTGGTGTGTATGAGCTGTAGCTTCTGATTTCTCAACAACGTCGTTAATGACTATGCCCAATCATCGCCCACATCTCCCGTTTTAATAACCAAACTGTTACACCTCTAGGCAGTCGGCAGACAAGGTAGATCTAAAAGGTAATACGGGCTATATGAACGGATCTTCTACTTATGTTCTCCTTTTTCAAAAACTCCTGAGCTTTACTTACTTGCTTTTGTTTCTAATTGTATACGTTATGTGATAATGATATTATTAGACTAATACATAAAATTTGAACTAACCGTCTAGGTGCCCTACTAACGTGTATGCTGATAAAAATATTCTTATCAAAAGTCACAGGTGAGCCACACTGCGCCTATGGGAATTAGCGTACCACCCGATATCTACTTATGCTTACAAACACTAAGTACCTCACTGTATTCGTAATCTTAGCTTCTGGGCTAGTCGGATCTGTCGCCCGCGATTCACTCGGCAGCTCCGTCGGCCTGATTCCAGTCTCAATCGACAGCACGGACGCCAGGATCGTAGCCATGACCGAAATCACTGCGCCATGACATGTTGTCGCAATATCCCATTGAGTGCTGGATAACGTCAAACTCTTATAATTCATGCCTCCTTTGATGAGAAAAACACGGCCAATCCCATTCGTCATGGATCAACAATATTTGATCGTGCTAATATGGCCAGTCCGAGCTCTGTTAAGATGACGACTACTGCAGTGAGTGGTGCTATTATAAAACCCCGTCGAAGCTAAGATTAATCTCCCCTAATCGATCCCTGGTTTCAACAATTCTCGGAGCCAACTCAGAATCCGTATTCATCCACGGTTACCAAGGCGACGTTCCCGGGTACGCATGTTCCTTGTATACTGTCTCATAGACTCAATCTGCTGTTGTCGTTCTATACAATGGTACTGGTCTCTCTGATGCAACCGTCGAATTGCGCAGGACATTCTTCAGGCAATGTACAGCCTGAAGCCGACCATCGACTTTGTCTCTATCGCGTATCAGGCGTCAACTCTCTACAAGACTAGGTTCAAGAGATTGTTTCAGCTGTCACCCAAAGAACCTAGAAAGATGGGTTCGCCAACGCCGGCCTTAGGCTACTTCACTGGGAAGCATGTAATGGAAAACCTGGATATTATCATTCTAGACATCAAGCCTGTTCCCGAAAACTCATCACCCGAGTTGCGAATGAGAGTCAATGGTCTCGCGGGTCAGGAACACCATTTGTGGCATTATAACTTGGACGTATGGTATGATCTTCCGGAGAACGCTGACCACTGTTTGAGACGTGGTCTCGACAGAAGTGACTGGGACTCTTACCTTATGTCATCTAAGAGTAATACACAAGGTCAAGTCGAGAAGTTTGGCTGGAATATGTGTGGCGTGAGTGCTTCTTTTCTGCAGGAGACAATGAGAGTACCGTCAATGGATCATGAGACGATAGATGCGGGCTAGAGGCTGGCCTCCTTTTTTCCAGCTGCAGAAGTCACCAAGAGGTATTTGCAATCTTTTGAAGTTCCCTAGTAAGAAGTCTTAGTCTTTGATTTCAAGAGAGCCAGCCACTACTCGGTCCAGACATACAGGCGGAGGGTGAAGAATCGCCGTATGAAGCCTTCTGGCACATGGAAGCAACTTGAATCAGGATAGAACTTTGATTTGGATGCCATAACGTTCAGCTTCTTTTTATTGCTTACGAAATTCAGCAAGAGAAGCAAACTCAGATAGGACACGCAAAGGCTGAAGATGCATTGATTATATCCAATTGACGAGATCGCCGCCCATGCCCGGATATCGATCTATAGCTTCTATACACAATTCTCGCCACGACAACTCCTATGACCCCAAACGCCATCTAAATCATCCACTATCTATCCCACTCAGACTCTCAGGTCTAAATCCGAAGAACAGCAATGCCAGAAATAGTGCGGTTATCATCAGAGAAGATCTTCTTCTTCTCCGATCCATCCACATTGCAGCGGTAGATGCTGCCGCCAAGATCGCTGAAGTAAACGTGCCCATTCTCCTGGTCCAACTTGACACCAATCGCCTCATTGAGGTGTCTCACCAAAATCTCATACTTCTTGGATCCCTCAGATAGCAACAGCAAACCCGTCATAGGATCGAGGTTGGCCCGGTTGAGCGTGTTGCCCTTGGGGATCTCGCCACGATCAGTCCAGAAAATAGTATGCGTCTCCTCATCAACCTCCAGATCAATGGGCTCCGGCAAGTCGCCAAGGAAACACTCGACATCCTCTCTCGTCTCAGCCGTCTTGCCCGCCGGCATGTTGATATTTGCGCAGAAGATGCGGCCTTGACCAGACTTGGGCGCGCCCTTTTGCGTCCAGTAGAACTTGCCCAGCTTCGGCGCGACAGAGATGCCGACGCACCACGTCTTCAGGTCCGAGGCATCGGTGCCGCCGATGATGAGGGTCTCGAGGTCGCTCCCGTCGAGGTTGGCGCGGTAGACTTTCATGCCTTCGCGGTCGCAGAAGTAGATCTTCTTGAAGACGGGCTCGATGACGAGTTGTTTCGGGGTGTTGATGGTGCCGGGCTCGAAGAGGGACTTGACGTCGGTGCCGTCGAGGTTTGAAGAGAGGACGGCGCCGTCTTGCTTGCCTGGCGTTCCCATGCACGTCCAGATCATGCGCTGGGTGTCGTTGGCGTCAATGTCGATGCCGTCGGGCACGTGTTGCCGGTCGACGAGGACGCGCTCTAGCTTGCCCTCCGATGAGAGCTGGAGGACCTGTCCGGAGGTTGAGGCGTCGTTCTCGTTCGCTAAGCCGAGATCGAGGGCGACGATCTTGGGGAGGTGGGGGTAGAGACCACCCTTTGTTGACTTGTTGCCGAGGCGGCCCTTGGAGATGTACTCGCGTTGCAGGAAGTCGACAGTGTTTTCGGGAGACAGGCCGCGCTCCTTGACGTAGTGGTCTTCGATGAAGGCGACGGTATCGAGGCCGACCTCTGTTGTTTCGTTAGTACTTTGATTTGCGTCAGAGTTATTGACGAATCCTGCACTTACCGTCCATCATCGTGCAAGGGCCCTTGCCGTGCTTGCTGAGCTCGTAGAAAAGAGTATCAATCTCCTCAGGACTCGACACGCCCTCAGCAAGGATCGATAATGTCTCTCTCTTAATCGCAGCCCACAATCGATTGAATACAAATCCAGTGGATTCCTTGCGCGCAGTAAACGGCCTCGTTCCAACCTCCTTCTGCCTCTCCGTCATGAACGGGAAGATCTCAGGGTTCGTGAATCCGTCCGTCATCAGCTCGACAACCATGTTGTGTGGAGGCATGTAGTAATGCGTGTTCATAATGCGCGTCTTTGTCTCATCCCTCACTTTTTCGAGCATTTCTGAGGATCTGTATGACGACGAGTTGCTGGAGAGGATGGCATCCGCAGGCGCGTGGGCTTCTAGGTCCGCAAAGGTGTCCGTCTTGATCTGGATCCGTTCTGGGACGGCTTCGATGACGAGCCAGGCGTTTGCGACGGAGGTCTCGAGATCGGTAAAGACTTTGACGGTTCCGGGGCGCTTACGGCCTGAAGCTGGGTATGTGTCGACATTTTGCTTGACGTAGTCTAGGCAGGGCTGGTGTTGCTTGGATTCAGGTTCGCGGACTTGGACGTTGTAGCCGCCGGATGCCCATGTGCAGGCTATTTTGCTTGTTAGCTGATCATCGAAGATTACGAATACTAGAAATGGTGAATCAAAGCTCACCAATGCGACGTCCAAGTACGCCGCCGCCGAGTACAGCGACCGGGCGGTCGCCGTAGTTGGATGGTAGTGAAGCCATTGATGCGGTAGGAATTATTAGAGTTGAGGATCAAAGTAAGGGTTCAGGGTCCAATGAGGTAAGATCTACGGCGCAGAATGACACCTCACAAAGGCCAAGACGGCAGATGAACTTATATATGCATCGAAGACGCGTCGCAAATCAGGCTAGAAGCTAGAGAAAGCTTCCGTCAAACATTTCGGCGGAGCACATCGTTATTCCCCTGAGCACTCGCGAGTCGCCGAGGTTGCCGGAGACCCGTCGAGTCGGTCATCGTGGGTCCCGATAACGAGCCTGCACATCTTAGTAAGGCGTCTTGAGCGGTCTGGTTTGGTTTGGTGGCGTGAAGAAAATAGAAAGGGAAAAGACGCATTGACGGCTGTGGGTATGACGCAAGTCTTCGATGATGGGCCTTGGACTATGAATCGGGTTTCGGTGCCGATCGCGGGTCGGTGTCGCCGGCCACGGACCCACTTTGATCTTGAAGATATCAATTTCCAGCACCAAGTTGCCGTGTTTGAAGCAATTGGTTTATTACACAGACTGAAAGGAAGATAGAAATGAATTGAATCCCGTCTTATCTTTTTGAGCGCGAGATAGCGAGATAGTTAGAACTTAGTTCTTAGGCTGGCAGACGCTACCTTTGTTTTTGGAAATAGAGCTACATCTCAAACCCGTCACCTCGGCATCTGGTGGAGCGGGCCCGTTCTTATGTCCGGCCTCGGCACCCGCGAGCTTGTACAGTGGGTCCGCCAGCTCCCGGCCTCGGCAATTCCAAGAATATCTGTCAGGGTCCGCGTCGGTCTCGCTCTGGACGGAAGGGGTTCCTCTGAAGGTGCCGTGCGACGTGGGGGGCCCGCTTGAATTATTTCCGATCAGGCGCGGACCTTATTCCGTTGCATGTAGCCCGTCCCTATTCGAAATACACACTCATTCTCCCCGTAAAGATCTCGTCCACTTCAGTGTTCAACAGTAGGTCTGCTTCTGACCTCCCCATGGCTTGCCCTCGAATAGCCTCAAGATGTGAGATTCAATTGAAGCCATCTACACATGGAGTTGCGTAGCAATGATCTGGGTCACAAATCGCTATCGACCAATCTTATCCTAGATGTTCATCAATATTTTCACTAGCAGCGAAAAGCCATCACGATTCGTTTCACGTTTCAACAAAAACTCAGGCCAGGAACACTTTAGCTTTACTGCAATGTTATCTTCTGTAGCTAGAAGCTACAGTACCGCGGTTTTTTCTCGCACGGTTGAGGACTCTCAAACCTGCTCATCGTCATCCTTCGCAACAGGTCCCTTCGTGATGGACCCAGTCTCCCCCGCCTCAGCATTAAGCACATGTCGCTTCTCCTCCTTATGCGTAAGCAGGGTGAGCCCGCTGGTCCAGATAATCAAGGCAATGGAGCTGGCGATCATGGCCCACATACCCCTCTGCATTCCCAAAAATTAGCACACATCCATTCCCGACAGTCTGGTTCTCGAACTCTGTCCGGGCAGAAAATTAAGGGGATAACTTACGGTAAACCACGGTGCCATCGAAGCGCCGTAAAAGATGATGCTCCACCACGCGTTGACGGCATTACTACCCAGATTCATACCCGCGAGAACGACGCCGCGGAAGATGCCCTCCTCATACCGCATCGCATCATTACACCATGCGAAAAAGGTAGCCTGGCACGCATACACCGCTCCGGCCCAGTAATACGCGCCGAACACCACCGCCGTCGATCCCGCGCTCGTGGGGTCTCTAGCTGCAACGAGAACCATCGCAGATGTCACCACGCCCGTGATGCCGATGAAGTACGCGACGAGGTACCGCTTTCCGCCCAGGAAATCCGTCAGGGTCGCCCAGAAGAGCGTCGAGACGATGCCGACGGCGGGCACACCTGTCGGATAGTTGTTGAGCTGGGCGACAGTGTACTTATTTGTCGGATGGCTCTTCATGTACAGACCCAAGAGGGAATTTGTGCTGAAGGACTCTGTCTCGCCGGCAATGATCCAGAGCATGACGAAGCCCCACCAGTACCACGACGTGAGCACCTTCTTCGCGAAGCGGAACGTCAGCGGCGAACGCTCCTGGATCTCGGGCACGCGGGACCGCGCCAGAGCTTTCTCCTCCTCCGTGAAGTAGAACGCTGTCGTGGTGTGAGGCGTATCGGGGAAGCACACAAAGCCGTAGATCGCGACAGGCACAGTCATCAGCCCGTCAATGATGAAGAGCCAGCGCCAGCCGGAGAGGCCGTGCAGACCGTTCATGCTGCTGTGGATGCCGGTCTGGATGAACCCGCCGAAGAAGGTGCCCGCGAGACCGGAGGCCGTGAAGATGCCGCTGCGCTTGCCGAGCTCGCGCTCCGTGTACCATGCGCCGAGGATGTAGTGCGTTCCGACAAAGGTAGAGGCCTCTGCGATGCCTTGGAAGAAGCGGATGGCCATGATGGATTGCGGGCTGTGGACGCTGGCGGTGCACATTGTAAGGCCTCCCCAGATGATCATCATGAGGGGGAACCAGATGCGCGGCTTGACATAGTGAAGGGATAGGTTGGAGGGGATTTGTCCGATAACGTAGCTGGTTAGGTTGTCAGTCATTGGCAATGAGTAAGAAGAGGTACTCTCTGATGGCAAACTCTTGACTTACCCGACAGTGAAGCATGTGTTGATCTCGTTGAGCTGGTTCCCCACAAAGCCCAACTCCTCCTTCATACCGGAGACGTATGCATTGTTCAGATTGGTACGGTCAAGCTAGGAAGACCTGTTAGAATCTTGTTGTCCGAATGAACACCCGCAGAATTCTGAGAAGAGGCATTGACTCACGTAATTGACCAGATAACTCAAGCAACAAAATGTCAAGATGAAGAAGTCAATCTTAGAAACCAGCTTCTTCTCCCCTGGCTGGTACTGCACGTTCAAATATTGGCGGACTTTCTCGAACGCCATGTTGGGCAATGCGTTCGGCAAAGAAGACAGTAAAGAGTCAGACCTCCGTACTATCAGCGAATTAACTGATGGATTGCGGTGACAATTCGAGCACACCGTTCACCGTGGAAGATGCACCTGAACCCTGACCGTCAAGTTCTTATGAATAACGGGCCGCAGAGGCACAGACTCCTTGCACCTCGTTACTAGCTGTGATTCAAACTGTCAAGAGTCAAGCTTGACACTTATCGCGGGCCGGTATCTCCCAAGAGATAAGGAATATGGTCACAGGAATAAATAGCAGGGGTCTTGCGATAGGGCTGGCGTTGTTTTTCCCCCGTATGGCAATCGAGACCAGGCCTCAGGGGATAATCAGCGTCACAGGAACCGCTTAGGCGGTCTTTGACATCCTGTTTGAGTATCGTTTCTTATCTTAATACTTTTGGCCGTGGAGGCGATCGGTGTTTACCCGACTCAGTTGAGAGCTATTGTCGGCTCCCGTGTTGGTCGGCTCCTGTCGCAAAGCGTTGTGATTCGATGTTCCTGTTGCACTGTGAGCGACCAAGGGACCGTTATCATATGCTGGAGATCGCAGTCACCCCGCAACGAACCAGAATGGAACGATAAGCTTACAGCTCTCCCCGGAGACGTCGTCCGATGGTTGTCCGAAGACTTAGTAAGGAGCTCGGAAGCGTAATTCAGCCTCTTCAAACACGCTGGATACGCCCTGGACGTCGTCGCGATAGTTCGCGGGTTAGAAACGGCCGATGTGGTGTTGCGTAGTCCTTCAAGGGCGAAAGCGCGCAAGTGCGTTCAATTGCCTAAAGTATGTTCGATAGCGATCGTGGAATTGAGAAGGCTCGGCGATATCGAATTGAGAGATTTTTTTCGTAGGGCTAAGGGTCTTTAGACGCGTCCCACTTTGGTTGGGCGCGTCTTCAATTGACTTTTGGGGACTTGATGAAGAGAAGATCCAAGTTACAACTCCACCATCGTATTCGTGAAGTATTTTGAGCATCCACGATCGTACATGTAGGTTTTACCGGTGCTGCGGTAAAAGAAACCCAGCCGCGACCCTGACGGTCACATGGCGGCTTCGATTCCGGTGCGACAGCGGAGCTGATTCATTGGGCTCGTTTTGTAGACAACGGCAGTCTGCGTCATCGACCATAATGCGTAGCACCGGAATTGTCCTCCCGCGTGACACGGCGCGTAAATTAGCGTCTTCTCCAAGACTAGGGTCCAGTACGGATACATGCTGCATAGTGTCGCCCCTCCATGAACGTGGTTTGAAGGGTGTCTTTACCCACGGGGTCGTATTACGAATGCTCCCCACTCCTGGAACCCATCGAAACGAGTGGACTTGATACAAACTTGACAGCAAGTAGTTGAGCTTATCAATGTGAATGTGAATTGAGTTGGTGGTTGAAGTCTCCGCCCGCCGTTTCAACATGAATGTTCCCCGGCTGTCTTATCTATCGAGACAAACCCCCCTTCGCATTTTTCACAGTTCCCGAGGATCCGAACTGGCACTGTAACACGTCCCTCCTTGGTCTCCTCAACTAAGATCTCGGGCGATGCGACCCGAAGCAAATCACCGATGACCGGTGCAGCGCGGGGCGGATTGTTCGCGCCAATTGCTCCTAGACTACCAATGTAGTTAATACTTAGGCCACCAGTAGCCGTGGCTGGTTTATTTAACAGATTCGGAGCCGGGTGTCTAGACTCAACCTGAAGAGGCTATCGTTTTCCCTGACCACTTCGTTATCTTATCGTACGCGAACTCTAGAGACAACCTCGTACGCAACATCCAAGTCAAATCTCTCAGCAAACAGGTACTTCACCATGGGTAGCATTAAGACTGAGACGTGGGAGCTGGCGGCCGCCAAGAAACGAGAGTCCCTCGCGGCATCTCTCCCCTCAGAATGGCTGGTTCCCAAGAACCTCCTGCCCCCAGACTCCCAAGACGACGTCACATCGTGGCCCGAGACTTCGGGCTGGTTCACCGAGACAGAGCTCGCCATCACGAACAGCGATGCCGCCGACCTGATCCCCAAGCTCGCATCAGGAGAGCTGAAGTCGCTAGAAGTAACGAAGGCATTCTGCAAGAGGGCTGTCGCCGCTCATCAGTTGGTGAGTACCCCTCCCCTCTCCTCCACTCCCTTCACTTGCTGGTGAGCTCTTCACTCACAGGGGAAATCTAGACAAACTGCCTTTCAGAAACATGTTTCGACCGCGCACTCGCAACGGCAAAAGCCAGAGATGAACATCTCGAGCGCACAGGAAAGCCCATCGGCCCCTTCCACGGCCTGCCCATCTCCCTCAAGGACAACTTCAATCTCAAGGGACTCGACGCCACCGTAGGCTTTGTTTCTCACATTGGCAACCCCTCCGAGTACGACGCTGCGCTCGCGACGTTGCTGGAGGAGGCCGGCGCCGTCTTTTACGTCAAGACGAACGTGCCGACGGCGATGATGATTGCGGAATCGGTCAACAACGTCTTTGGCCGGACAGTGAACCCTAGGAACAGGAATCTTACTAGCGGTGGGAGCTCCGGCGGCGAGTCTGCGCTTATTACATTCAAGGGCAGTCCGCTTGGTATCGGAACGGATATTGGTGAGTCTTGATCAGTCCTTCTCTGACTTGAACTTGGACGAAGGTCGGCCGCTGATTCTCTCATTCGTGTAGGTGGTTCTCTCCGCATTCCCGCCGCGTGCACCGGCATCTTCACCCTCCGACCATCCTTCGGCCGCTTCCCCACCTTAGGCTGCCGCTCCGGCATGGGCGGCCAGGAAGCCGTCCAGTCCGTCAACGGACCCATGACCCGGACCATCACCGATCTCGAACTCTACAGTAAAACCGTCGTCAACCAAAAGACCTGGCTTTACGACCCGCGCTGTGTACCCATCCCGTGGCGCGAAGAGCAACTCCCTTCCAAGCTGAAGATCGCAGTCATGTGGAACGACGGCATGGTCAGACCCACGCCACCCGTAGCCCGCGCACTTAAGGCGACTGTCGAGAAATTGAAGGCCGCTGGTAACGATATCGAGATTGTCGACTGGGAGCCCATTGATCACAGGCAGGGACTGACTTTGATCGAGCGCATGTTTGTCGCTGACGGCGGTATCTCTATCCAAAAGGAGCTTGAGAAGACGGGAGAGCCACTCAGGCCTGAGATGGCGGCGTACGGGACTGCGAAGGAGCTTGGGACGTATGATATGTGGCAGCTTCACATTGAGCGCACAGCGTTCCAGAAGCGGTACCTCGATCGCTGGACCGCGGCTGGGATCGATGCGATTCTGTGCCCTACGACGCCATTTGCGAGTGTGAAGAGTGGTGCTTTCAAGCATGGTGAGTTTCAAGATTCTGACTGCGTTTCTGCCGTAAATCATCGTTCTAACGCACAAACTTTCAGTTGGATACACGGGTGTCTACAATGTCCTTGACTACTCCTGCGTCTCCTTCCCGACTGGCTTGACAGCAGATCAAAGCTTGGACACGCCTCTCGACTCTACAGAAAAGCCACTGAGCTCAGATTGTGAGGCCATCCATGCCGAGTGTAAGTCGTTCCTATCGAAGTACCAGTCAAGAACAAGGAGACTAATCATTTTCTATTTAGATGATCCCGAAGCGGTACATGGCATGCCTATCAGCCTGCAATTAGTTGCTCGGCGGTTAGAAGAGGAGAAGGCGATCGCCATGGTCAAACATATTCTTAACACGATTTGAGTCTACATAGCCAACTCCGAATAGATGTAATTCTAAGAATCAAGAGTTGTGTATGATCTAAGTTGTGGTTCACATTGGACCTCGAGGTTTTCTGCCGAGAGGATTATGGTCTCGTTCTAGAATCACCATGCACCTTCTACCGTTTATCATTCATGTAACCATGTCGTCACCAACCGCCGAGCCCCCTTATTTCACGGCGTAGCTGACCTTTGACTTCCCCTTACTCCTTGAAATCTTCTTCACAACAGTCTCTCCACACAAATCCGTCGTGTCAACATGCGTACCGCCGCAAGGGTACACCTCGGCGCCCACAATCTCCACAACGCGGAACTTCTCCCCGGGCGGCGGAAGACTCCGGTCGGGAATCAGCCTCTCGAGCCCGCGCGCCCGGAACTCGTCCTCATCCCAGAAGTCGACCTTGACCGGCATCTTGGCCGCCAGGAACTCGTCAACTTTGCCCTGGATCGGCTCCTTCCATTTTCCATCAATGAGCCCCTGAAATTCGCACGATGCAGAGTCGGGGAAATGCGAGGCCTTGAGCTCGTCAAAGCCCTCGACTTCCTTTTCGAGGAGGTGCCGTACCGCTGCGCCGAGGACGTGGCCTGCTGTGTGGAGGCGGGAGTACAGCAGCCTCTTTTCGGCGTCGATGGCTTGGTCTACCTCGTCGCCCTCTTTGAAAAGCGCACTTCCATTGAAGCGTCCAAAGTGCAGTACCTGGCCGTCGCATACGGCGTCCATGCGGACAGAGTTGACAGCGAAGGAGGAGCCTGCGGCGGTCATGAAGCCGATGTCGGAGGGCTGGCCGCCGCCTTGGGGGTGGAAGATTGTTTGCTCCGTAACCACGACATGGTCTTGGTCGCTTCCATCTTTGAAGAGACCGCGGTTAGCTTCTTCGAGGTCTGCAAAGGGGCGGATCGCGGTGACGATAGTCTTTAGGGTGGTGAGTTTTGCGTTGTGCTGGAAGGCCAGGTATGTCCTGGCTGCTGTTGATGCCATCGTTGTGTCTGTGTCTGTGTATGAGCCCTTCCTGTGCCGAGGATGATCCGAAAATGAGATTGGTTGATATAGATCCAAGTCTTGAATGAGCGCCTGTGAATGCTCTATAAGACTGATGAGTTGTCGTGATGCCTTTTCTTCTTGGCTGTTCTAACGGGTTCTAGAGCCGGTGGGTTGACATGAAGGGCGCGCGAGTGATGATGAAATGTGGTCCGAAAAGCACTTTCGTAACGTCTGATGGGGCCTCGGAGCGGCGCGTGCATGCTCCTTTGAAGTTATTGACAGGGGTTGACTTTTCCATCCTCGAAGGATGGGATTCAAGAGCGGCTGTCTGCCTTAATCCATCCTGAGCCTGTGTCAAGCTTTCAACCAGTTGTAGATCAACTCGAACTAACACAAGCTTTTCGGATGGAAACTGGACAGACTACGTCGAGCATACCTAATACTCATGCTCTACATGAGGTAGAATGGGATTTGGATGGCCACATTGGTGGGGTTACATCTTCAGTGATCGCGCCTAAGAAACAGAGCGTACCTGAGTGGCGGAGGGGTTAGGTCGAGCACAATGCCACTACGTCGCTCAGGTGCGGCCAGATCACCCGCCGCCTTAAGGTTGCATGAGGAGCGCGAGCAAGGTGAACAGGGTGAGTTGGTACAGGATCTCAACTCACGGGCTCCAGCGTGTTAGTATCTGTTACCAGGAAGATATTTACAGTTAACAGTTGGACAGTGTACGCTACATTAGTGGCTTGCATTAGTATGTTTCAGGCTACCCTCCCTCCTCCCCAGCTCAACCAACCAACCACCCATCCATCCTAGTTAGACCTAGCCTCCTCAATCCTAGCAGCCTAATAGGTACGTTTTACCTTCCTAATTATAATTAGAAAGGCCTTCTGCTCCTCTAGGATAGGCGGCGGTATAGCTAGCCTAGGCTCTTAGGCTTATTAGAGTCTAGCTTTATGTTACGGCCAGCTAGTCGTAGGGGTAGTTTGCAGAAGTTGAGGCTGCGGAACTGGTAACAGTAATCGTAGTCGTGGAATAGTTTCAAGGAAACTATGTCTGTCAATCGTAAGGGTGGGTAAGGCTTCGGTGATCAGTCGTAGTCTTGTCAAGGTAGTAGCTGAAAGCGGATGTTAATCCTGATACGAAGTTAATTGCTGAAGAAGCTATGGAAAGTCTGTCCTAGAGCCCAGCTCGAGTCGATCCTTATATACAAGTCCGATCCTAACTGAACAGTGCTGAACAGTCCACTTTGTCTGGATATATTGGATATGCCGAATATCCAACATATCCTTGACTCGGTTGGATATGCCGAATATCCAACATATCCTTGACTCGGTTGGATATGTCGCATATCCAACATATCCTTATCCCTTATCATATCTCTTATCATCACGTGACTTGTACCATAGTTCTTCCGTTCCTGGGGTTTCCCCAATGTTCCGTCCCGTCCTGCATTACCCGGGTCCCCTTGGCCCTGATCGATTCACCCAGCCAGACCCCGGGAAGGTTTCGGCTCGACACGATGGACGAGGAGCTTTTCCTCGGCATCATTCAACGCAACTTACAACCCATGCGCCGCACTGCAAGCAACATCCAAGACCCACAGTCTTTAGATCTCCTAGCACAACAGCTTACGGACTGTCTTATTAAAGCACTCACGGCTTCCACAAAGCGCACGCTCGGGAAAGGTACAGGGAGACCATACTGGAGCGAGAGCTGCATACGTAAACACCGAGCCTATGCGAGTAAGCGAGCGATGTTAGCAAGACTCCGCGCAGCCGGAGTGAACTGCCAATGGGAAGAAGAGGAGGTCGAAGCTCTAAAACAGGACTTCCTCTACGAGTTTAAACGCTCCAAGGATGCCTTTTGGAAAGATAAGATCTCCTCAGCCTCCTCAAGCAAAGACATATTTGAAATGGTCGGTTGGCACAAAGCCACAGGATCCTTTCAGACCCCGCCACTCCGAGATGTAGACAACCAAGACACGCTTGTCTCACAACCAAAAGAGAAGCGCGACTTATTTACCCGCGTCCTCCTTAGAAACGCTGCAATCTCCGAGGACATACCAACAGAAAGCCCAGTCTTACAAAGGCAAGCTACGCTTCCTTTCCCACAGGTTACGAAGGACGAGGTACGGTCTTCGGTTCTCACCGCGGGAAACACGACTCCTGGGACCGACGGAATCACTACGACTACTTTGAAAATAGCATGGCCAGTTATCGAGGATATTGTCCTCTCACTTTATAGCGGGTATATACGCGAGGGTTAGCATCCTACTTATTTTAAAGAAGCAACTCTCGTGATCCTAGCAAAACCGGGAAAAAGAGACAAGACACTCCCGCGCTCCTATAGGCCAATTGCGCTCTTGGCCGTCCTCGGAAAAGGCTTAGAGAGACTCATCGCTAGACGACTTACCTAGATCGTAGTTAAACATCGTGTTCTGTACGATCAACAGTTTGGAGCACTCCCTCTTCGCTCTTATAGCGACCTTATCGCAGCGGCTATCCACGACATCGAGTGCGCCTGGCAAAGAGGCCTGGTTACCTCTATGCTTACGCTCGATATAAAAGGGGCTTTCGACGCCGTGCTCCCAGGACGACTGGTCCGACGCCTCTGCGAACAAGGATAGCCGGAGAACCTCGTACGCTAGGTCTCAAGCTTTGTTACCGGAAGGAGAGCTAGAATAAGACTTGATGGGGAGGTAGGAGACGTCTTCGGTCTCGAATACGGACTACCACAAGGCTTACCCGTGTCTCCCATTCTGTTCATGCTCTATATTGAACCTCTTTTTAAGCTAGGTATAGCTCGCTTAAGAAGGAAGCGATCTCGTTTCGGCTACGCCGATAACGTCGCTATCTTAGCAAGCTCAACATCACTAAAGAACAACTATGACATTCTAACTAAGGAATAGAAAGAAACCTTAGGATAGGCCGCGACGGAAGGAATCACTTTTGACCTCGATAAGTCCGAACTGATCTACTTTACTAAGAGACGAAAAGACGGAAACTTATTAATCACAGTAGGTTTACCGGATGGGAGGCATTATATAGTTTAGGCTATTAAAGAAGGCTCTTCTCTACGCTGGCTCGGCGTTTACTTCGACCGTAAACTTATATTCAAGAGTTACGTAAGAAACCTCTCCGCAAAAGCATGCTAAGTAGTTAATAGACTACGGGGACTAGGGAACACTATCTGGGGCGCGCCTGCGTACTTACTTCGTCGAGCGATTACCTCTTGTGTATTACCTACTCAGTACTATATATCTGAAGTATGGTGGCCCGGCAAGAGCCGGATAAAGAATGGACGTACTATCTTAAACGGCGTTAGTAGTCTACTACACCAACTGGGCGCGACGCAAACCAAAGCCATTAGAGCGATGGTCCCCGTATACAGAACTACGCCTGTACCGATCCTACAGCGCGAGGCGGCTCTACCCCCAGCAGAGGTGATACTGGATGCGAAGCTCCACACAGCGTCCACCAGAATCCATCGTCTGGACGAGCGACACCCTCTCCGAACGAGACTCAGGGACAAATCAGGACCAGACTCACGGCTACGACGAATGGCAAGCCTCGTAAGCAAAAATACCGAATACATCGATCCGTTAGAACTCCCCCCTTGGGAGCAACTAGCGGACTGGCAGACAGCCCTCGCCAGGGTCGGCTACGAACCTAATAAGACCAAAGAAGAACAGGCCCTCTCCTTTGCAGGCAGGATGGCAACTTTCTCCAAGCGGGACATTGTTGTCCACACTGACGGGTCCCAGATGTCGGACGGCAGCAGCACCTCCGCCGGAGCAGGCTGGGTAGGGTACCAAGCTACACGGCAGATCTTCCGCGGATCCGAACTACTCGGCTCCCAAACTGAGGTGTATGACGCGGAGGCATATGCTGCGTATCACGGCCTGATGGAAGCCACCCGGGCTCCTACGGCTCGTATGGCAGATAACGTCCACATCTGCCTCGACAACCTCGCAGTCGCGGCTAGACTATACTCCCAGAGCATAGGAAGCAGCCAGGCTAGATTTAGGGCCTTCAATAGGCTCTCTTCCTCCTGGACTCGGAGACAAAGAGAGAGCTGGACAACCCCCGGCAGGGTTTATGTTTGGTGGTGCCCTGGGCACACGGGAGTACTAGGAAATGAAGAAGCGGATGCTCTAGCCAAGGAAGCCTGCAAACTAATCCCAAAATCACAACCACAGCCCTCATTAGCGCACCTAGAAAGGCAAGCTAAAGCAGCTGCCTTCCAAGCCTTTGCCAGAAAATGGCTGTCCCAATGCCCTCGGTAATATGCCGACCTCGAGATAATTCTTCACCCCAAGCCGCCCGAACTCCGCCTCCCTCGGCACTTACTAGGAAGGCTATACGTAGCAAGATCCCATCATGGAGACTTTGCAGCATACCACGAGAGATTCGCTCATCAAGATGCGTTGCTCAACTGCAGCTGTGGGAAACCCAAGACACCAGTCCATTTCTACTTCTGCAAGCGTGGACGCAAGGCTACACCGCGCTACCTCCGCCAACGTATGGCCAAAGCAAGTATTGATTTCTTGTTAGGTTCTGCTAAGGGAGCCTCTCTTCTATGCGAATGGATAGAGGAGACCAATTTCTTTTCCGAAATTTGCCCGAGTCATTGAACAGGAACGTTAGGTGAAGACGGTAGCCTGTAACATAGTTTAGATTAGTATAGACCATGTCGGCATAGCGCCCGGCACGTCCTTTTGTTACCAGACGTTAAATACATCATCATCATCATCATCATCATCATCGTCCCGTCCTGCATATATGATGCGCCGTGGCCGCTAGGCGTCAGCGGGGCACGCCCTGGTCTCATGTTGGGTCGTAACAAGAAGGTAAAGCTCTAGATAATAGACCGTATAGTTATATAGCTTTAGTTCGTCGTTATAGGAGGAAACAAGGTTATCTAGGATATTATTAAGGAGGCGGTATACTATATTATACTTAGATTAGGCCGTATTAGTACGTTGAAGCGCCGCGGCGGCGGTAGAGGGTATTTCGCTTCCCTGTGATGTACGAAGACGGGATAGGAGCGGCGCTAATGGGCGCGGCGGCAGCGCGTACGGGCGCGATAAGGTCAAAAGGGGGTCCGGTAGCGAGCTGTCGGCATGCTGAGAGCTTGCGAGGCCTCCCTGAGGCCTCGCGGGCGGCGCGCCCGCGTCTAGCTGTGAGGCCATCGTGGGCGATAATTCGTAACTTGGGTGCAGGAAGTGGTGTTAGTGGGTGGGTGTAGGCCCTGACAAGACACTAACAGTGGGTGTCTCACGCGGGTGATGCGTGCGGAAAGTGCTGCCGTCAGTCCTGTATGGATCTGAAGTATGGTTCTCGGGCCGTACTAAGCCGGCTGCGCTCCCGCAACTCTCGAGGATGTGCGCCACCCTCCGTAACCCCTCCGTGAACACTGGCCAGAAGGGTTACTTTATTACCATTAATAAGACCATTATCGCTGCTGCCTGGGCCGTGCTCCCGGTCTGGCGTACTACGCCTACTGACATCCTGCTCAAGGAGTCAGGTCTTCCCGCTGCGGTCACCGCGCTGGAAGGGGCCAGACTACGCTTTGCCGCGAGGCTATGTCGACTTGACCCCTAACACCCGCTGGTACCTAGGCTGGAGGAACGCACCCCTGGACGCTTTGGACGAGACATACGTCTCTAGCGAACCTACGCGTTACTACCCCTATGCCCTCGGCCGGCTCTAGTCCTCCCGAATCCCCCCGCACCCCAGCGAGACACCAAAGAAGAAGCCGCTGCTGCATTTCTGTAGATAATAAAAGCGCCCCCGCGATCCGACCTAGTGATCTACTCCGACGGGTCTATGCTGTTTGAAGGCGCTGTGGGCTACGGATATGTGATATACCGTGGGCCTAAGGCCATCGCGGAAGGCCGCGGCCGCCTCGGCGAATACACTGAAGTCTTCGATGCCGAGGCTGAGGGGGCCCGTCTGGGCCTACGGCGAGTACTGAACCTAGCTGCCACCTCCCCTACTATAATCTATCTTTGCCTCGATAATAATGGCGTTCTCAACTTCATCTCGGGTTTCGGACGATCTCCCGCCAGCTCGCAGGCTGCTATGCTTGAGATACTCGACGCCCAGCGGGCAAAGGATATAAAATGCCACTGGTCGCCCGGACATACCGGGATCCCTGGAAACGAATTAGCTGATAAGCTCGCCAAAGAAGGAGCCGCTCTCCTACTGCCTGACCCTCTACCGCTAGCATCATATGCTGGGATAGCGAAGATAGCCCGCGCTAGAGCCCGTGGCCACTATTCACGATGGTGGTATACTTCGAAGTAAAAGCCCAAACCAGGCTATAAAAAAACTGATGCTGCCCTCCGTTGCCCTCCGGAATTAGACCTATGGCGTCCTCTTTTATACTACCTCCTCGCTGCTCGTTCTGGCTATGGCTATTTCCACGCCTACTATAGGCGCTTTTAGCACGACGGAGACTTCAAATGTAACTGCGGGCGGAAATTATCGCCTACTTATAGTAGTAGTAGTAGTAGTAGTAGTAGTAGTATTTAACATCATCAGGGACAGGAGCCTAGCTATCTAACTAACTAAGACCGATCAACCAGAGCGCCCTTTGGGCATATGATGTGCCGTGCCGCTATCTAAACAGCGTACGACAAGTCAGACAATCTGTAATATACACTTTTCTTCTCGTGCCTAGAGCAGTGGATATTATTAGCTAATCCCTAGGGTCCGTTCAGTTCTAAAAAGCACGGCAACAGGGGTTTCCTAACTCGGCAGAAGCGAATGGGCCTTGAGTAGCCCTACATCGTCCACAGACGACGGGCTATAACGAAAAGGCCGGCCCTTGCGGGCGTAACTACCCACGAGTGCATTTTTCTGTTTTCTAGTATTATCTCGAGTAGATCGGGAAAAATAAAGGAGGGAGAGGGAGTGTAGAGATAGGGCTATGGCCTAAGAGGTATCGGTAGGTATATGATAAAGTGTAAGGCGTGGTATCTCGGGCTCGCTATCCCCTCACAGGGAGTGCGTTTCGAAGTACCGCGTCAAGCGCTCGAACTTCTCAAAGGCGCCCGGATGTCCAATCAAGGCGTACTAGTAGGCTTCGGCCTGGCCCTTCGGGGGCGGTAAGGGGCCCGGATCCTTTTTAGTCCCGGCAATCGGCCATAGCGCCGCCGTACGGCGGTTCTTCGCGCAGTATACTGGATGGGTAGGTGATAATTTCCGTCCGCAGTTACATTTGAAGTCCCCGTCGTGCTGAAAGCGCCTGTGGTGCGGGAGAGAGGATCTCAGGCACCGCCTCCGCGAAGAAAAGCTTAACGCCAAGAGTCAAGATGGAGAAAGATATGACTCGCTCTTCTTGCTTAGACAGTAGAGATCGGAGGGATTACAAAGTTGACCGTGGATAGTAGATCAAGGTGGTCAGGGGTAAGGCATTTATCATAACAGAGACTTGACGAGTGGAAGAAGTGCAGCAAATGCTACAAGTTGCCACAACATCTCGAACCCACTCCGAGAACGCAATCTCCGCCACGGTGGCGGAGTACATTCTTCTTCTTCACAATGTCCCCCGGATGTTAGCCGCGGTTTCGTTGACTTCTCATGGCTATTGCGACGCGTTGACCAACCACCAGCTCGTCTAAGACTGCATGAAGTTCCCAATGTGTAAAGCAAGTAAACTTGTGTCACGAAAGAGGTGTAGAAGTGGATCCCTCAGGGGTAGAGATAAGGAGTAGATAGGGGTATGGGCATACAAAAGGGGCTCCCTCGAGGGCTTCCCTTTTCCTCTTTGCCATAGTTGATTAGACCACAGTTGAGATCCCGATTTCCATGAGCTACTCTATATGCTGATTCGTGACAATTATGAGCCCAGCTCTTTTTGAGGTTTCTACTTAAGCCCTAACCCGCGATTATTAGCGTATAGATCCTGTGCGTTCTTGTTATGAAGATGGAGGAGAAGACGAAGGCGCCTACCACGATGGGTATACGCCTTGCGGAATAAGGTGACTGGCCGTAGTATTTCCTTCAGCTGTGCTTTCAGGTACTGTAATATAGTGTCTAGTAGTACGTCAATCTAGACGCTAAAGATGCCGATGATCTTTCCAAGTTATCCAAGCGCCTGCCCACATTCGACGAGACGGTTCTGAAGCGCGAACGCCAGCTTCAGCGGCGCTACGAGGCCGAGCATACCGCATAGGTAGCCCGACAGCGTATATAAGGGTAGGCTATTACTGCTTAAGTAGTAGCTAAGGAGGATCCCGAACCATAATAGCTACTACCGGTTATAGAGGAGGGTGTAATAGATATATACAATACGAGGTAATAGGAGCATGGGTATATGGCTATGGATCGCTCTGAGCTCCGTAGTGGATATCAGAAGGTATGGAAGTAGGTGGATTCGACCGTAGTAGACGGCTTGCTGCTTGCAGTTCAGTCTGAACTGGCCGCGGGCTCGAGTATTAATAACGATAGTGCCATTATTCTGTAGGCTATAATTTGGATCTTAAAGAAGAGGATGGCGCCTAGCGAGGCTAGTACTATTAGCGCTATACGCTAGGCATATAGAGAGGTCCTTGCTAGGGCTAAGCTGCTTAGTACGATGTTAAGTACGTGGTATCACGAGTGGCACGAGTGCTTCCTACATGGCCAGGCGTACAAGATCCTTGAGTTTAAGGGATCGCTCGTAGTACTGGACTTTTTACGTACTATTACGGTCAGACTATCCCCACAATGGGGTAGGAGGTAGTTGGAGGATTACCTTAATGCTCTCGTAGACGGGGATACTACCCGCTCTATCGAGGCGTACGGTATAATATTTTCGACATTAGTATACGAGGTCGGGTCTGCCGTGAGCTCGAGCGACGTGGGCTCGAGCTCGGGGGTGGCTGGAGGGAGCACCGGAGTATATTCGACCTTTGCGGGCCGCTCTGATGGCTACCCTCTACGGAAGAAGGATAGTGGTGGCGGTAGTAAGCCTCGAGATGATAAGGAGTATGAGGACTGCCCTTATAAGAAAAGGCACTTCTGGGACCCTACTAGATGCTATCGCCTAGAGAAGGCCCTTACGGGTAAGTGTGAGTAGCGGGACGTATATCTGCCCGAGGCAGACAAGGAGAAGCTTCTGGCTGAGCTCGATGAGGATAAATGGAAGGACCTCTGTGAGTGGCTTAAGTAGAAGGGGTGACTGAAGGAGAAGAAGATCGAGGCCGGCGATGGGCATATCACGGCTTGATCGCGGTGTGTGTATGACCTCTAGTTGGGGGATGTAAAGTGGTGGAAGTGACGGCTTGCTCGACTCGAGGCTGGTTAGGGGCATGCTGTGGGCGATTCCTGGGCGGCGATTATTTTATAATAGAGATAGAGGGCTAACTAGAGGCTAGATACTACGTGCTGATTAATGTAGTTAATAGTTAGGAATAGCTTCATTTTGACGAAGTAGACGACGAAGTAGAAGGCGACGATGGGTTGGTGTGTGTATCGGTAGTGCCCCTTGGGCGCCGCCAAGGGGGTGTGTTACGAAAGAGGTATAGCAGTGGATCCCTCAGGGATAGAGATAAGGAGTTGATAGGGGTATGGGCATACAAAAGGGGCTCCCTCGAGGGCTTCCCTTTTCCTCTTTGCCATAGTTGATTAGACCACAATTGAGATCCCGATTTCCATGAGCTATTACTCTATATGCTGATTCGTGTCAACTTGCTAGAGTGAAGGAGCAATTCACACTTTCCCTGAACCCACAACTACATGTCGAATTCACCAAGAACATCGGGCCCGCGAGCTTTTGCTTGTCATATCGATCTAGACACGAGCCGCACTAGTCTACTCTCAGCACCGGACTACACATCCTAGACTACAGATCATGAAAGCGATTCGTGCGATGTAGCATTCTGAATGATGGAATAACCTCTCCGGGAGACCTTATCTCTATCCCCATGTGAGATGCAGCTGAAGTGCGGGTAGGAAGACGTGCCTCGGTGGGGGTTATGGATAACCTATGCAACAGGGGGGCTCGGTCGGTCTTAACTGACTTGGCTTATTGCGCCATGCGCAGGTACGCAACCACAGAAAACTCGAACTCTTGCAGATTGACTGCCAGGTATCTTATTTTTGGACAGGCAGAAATAATCAAGGTCAACGAAATGCCTTGAGGATGTTTGTTCACCAAAGTCTGACTTAGATAAATAGATGTTGATCTGTCCCAAAAACTAGAGACTTTCTTTCGGGGCAAGCACACAGTCTTTACTACAATCACCAACAAGCTTCACTCATTCTTTTACCATAAGTCATTCATTAGAGTCATTCTTTTACCTCTTCAAAGTTGGAAGATAATCAACCATTAGCAACAATGCCTTCCCTCTTGTCCACCGCAATCACCGTCCTCGCTGCTTCTCAGGGAGTCCTGGCAGCCTGCACCAACCCTTCCGTCCGCAAATCTTGGTCGGTTTTGCCCTCTTCATTTTAGTGACCGCAGCCATAATAATGAAATTGGCTAACACGAAACCAACAGGTCGGCCCTGACTGACGATGAAAAGACATCGTACATTAGCGCGACCCTCTGCTTGATGGACCCTGCTCAAGCTCCCGCCAAGACGGGCTACGCTGGCTCCACTACTCGCTGGGAGGAACTCCAGGCTGCCCACGTCTCTCAGGCTCAGTTCGTCCACTCTGTTGTAAGTCTTCACAATAATCATAAGTCGAGTGAATGGACAAGTGCAATATCGAAGATGATGGCTAATCGAGAGGTCGTTGTTTAGGGCGCTTTCTTCCCTTGGCACCGTTGGTACATGACCGTCCAGGAGAATCTCCTTCGCGATGACTGCGGATACACCGGTCCCATGCCGTAAGTAATCCATTGCAGATCAACTTGTCTCTCTTGCCCGGCAGTATGCAGGGCTTGACGCATATGTATCAATCTCAAATACGATTTGTCACTAACAAGATGACCAGGTACTGGGACGAGCAGGCTGAGCAGGCAGTCGTTCCCTTGGAGAATGCGAGCATCCTAAACGCTAGCGCCACTGCCGGCTTCGGCTCCGCCTCGCTCGATGAGAACGGTTGCGTCGTCGACGGACCCTACACGAACGTCAGATTGACCCTTGACACCGAGCTCAACCGCGTCGCCCCTGTCTGCCTGAGCCGTGACTTCAAGCAAAAGGACTACGATCAGGTCGCCCAGAAAATCATCGATGCTTGTATGGCGCTCGAGGACTACGTAAACCTCAACAACTGCTTGGGTGCTTCCCCTCACACCGGTGGCCACTACGCCATTGGCGGTACTGTAAGCAACGACTCCATTATCGCAGTATGCTACTTTCTCTTCACGACACTAATCGTATCATTCAGATGGATGACCCTTCTCTCTCACCCGGTGATCCCCTCTTCTTCCTTCACCACACCAACCTCGACCGCCTCTGGTGGCAGTGGCAGGCCCAGAACGAGTCCCGCCTGACCGATATTGGCGGCAACAACGTTGCCCAAGGCTTCTTCTGGTCCGGCGTGCAGCCTTCTTCCCTTGGTGTCGACGCCTTCCTGCCCTACTTCAACGACAATGGCAACGAGACTACCCTCGACCACGTCATGTGGATGGCTGGCATTGCAGAGAACATTACCATTGCTGAAGTTATGGACATCAAGAGCGATGCTATCTGCATTGAGTACCAGTGAAATCATTTCACCATGCGTCTAGAGCACCTTGCTTTTGTTTGTTGTTTGGACTTGGTCTTTTACTAGATTGCAGCTTTAGAAGCGTTGGTGAGGGGATTGGAGTGTTTTCAAGTTCCTAGTTAGGCTGAGCGATAATTACATGTAGTTCCTAGCGGATCGATATCATATAGACTGCGTTGCTTCAATCGAAATTCCTGACATTTACTTTCCAGGGCAAGTTATTGCTACCGTGCAGCCGTGCTTAGTTGTGTTGATTGGCTGTTCCTCACTTGTTCGCCCTGGCTGAAGCGGGGAATCCGGCCGATGCCTTTAAATGAGGCGAACATGTGTGTTATGGGAAAATCCACGTCTCAGAAATGCCGCACGGGTTGACATTTTGCCAAAGAACGAACTAAGTAAGTTAGCCGAAAAATTTCTCTGAATTCCCCGGCTCCAGTGTAATTGCGAGATTATTTGGGCTGTGAGCTTTTGATAGTTGCCCAATGAATAGTACTTGAGCATGAAAGGACAATAACTTTTGTTTACAAGCTTTGCTAACATGAACGATGATCTTCCCCGTAGTCCGTCTTTCCCTAAGCTTTGCATACACTTTTGGCGCATCTCGCCACTCAAACTTCTCATCAATCAACACACGCGCCTTCCCCTCCACTATCAACTTGCCGATCTGTTCAAGATCTTCTCGACTGGGCTTAACCCTCACGGAGTGGAACTTTCTCTTTCCACCGCCGAAAAAGCCTGGCAGCAAGCTCCTCCTCAGCATACCCCCCATGGACTTCGACATGCCAACCTGCACAAACACCCCCTTAGACTTGAGGAAATACGAACAGCACTCGTACAGGGCCTCTGGGCTACCGACGTTGTCTACAGCAATATCGAAAACGCACCCCTTCCTTTTGAGTTCTGTAACAACGTTGAGTTTTCGGTAGTCAATGACTTCATCTGCCCCGAGACGCTTGCAAAGATCGACCTTTGCGGTGGAACAAGACGCCACCACGTAGGCCCCGGCGGCCTCTGCGAATTGAATAGTGAAGGAACCCACGCCACCGCTTCCGCCGTTGATAAAGACTTTCGACCCTGGTTTCAGCAACTCTTTCGGAAGCGACTGATATGCCGTCAACCCAGCCGTTCCGATCGCTGCTGCATCGTCGGGCTAACGCCCATCGGAAGTGGTGCAATATTGGAGGAGGGAGCGATAAGGAGTTGGCCGAGACTACCAAATTGCGGGAGTTTGGTGCCGATGCTTAGGGCTCCGAGGACAATTTGTCCCTCTGAGAATCCGTCTGCGCCATTTTTGGAACGGATTCGGCCGCAAAAGTCTGAGCCGGGGCTCGTGTTGGACTGGATCATGAATTTGCCAAAGACTGGGATCTCGGGCAGCTTGTATTCGACGGGGTTAATTCCCGCTGAGATGACTTCGATGAGAACATGATCAAGAGGGAGGGAGGATGCGTCTGGTGGGGTTGCTTTTTCGTTGAGAGAAAGGGAGTTTTCCAGTCTCTTTGATGGAGCTGTACTGCCAAGCTTCCATGTTCGCTGATCGAAGAGGAATATAATGTTCAAGTTGACAGAAATTAAGCAGTATGACTTGAATGTCGTATGCAAACAATAAAGCCCAGCAAAGCCTCAAGCGCCTGATGTCAATCCATATATCGTTACATCCCATCTCGATGCGAATGCTGTTCAAGTCAAAGTCCGCACTTAGTCCAGCGGATTGCAGGGGTCTTTTAAGGTTATCTCGGGTTCGGATTGCTCCTGGTCAGAAAGCTTGTCTGCAGGGGCCTCACACCCTCTGTGCTTTGACAACCATTAGATGGCATTTAGCATCAGGCATCGCTCATTATGGACAACCGGCGGAGTTTGAGCAGTGAGAAAAAATATTGATAGCTAGCTAAGATAGTAAACAGCTAGTTCCCTCAATAAGGTGTTTCGAAAAACCAAGTATCCAGCCGCTAGTCTCAAAGAAAAGGCCAGAAGCGACAGGGAGGTAACTCCGCCCTAGGTTTCCTTACCAGCTGAGTAGGTTAGGGTGGAGAACCTCCATATTATCAACGATACCAAAGTCGCGAATGCCACCACCAGGCGTGTACACACTCCCATTGTATGCAACAGCCGCCATGCCGTGGTGAGGCGTATTCATCGGCTGAAGCAGTCGGTGCGTGCGTCATACACCTCCGTCTCGTTAAACACAAAACCAGCCTCCGGATCCAGGTTTCCTTCGCCTCCAAAGGTGTAAATTCTTTGCCGGACAACAGCTACTGAGACGCCGCCTCGCGGGGTGGGCATGCGCGCGCGCTCGCTCCACTTCAACGTCTTGAGATCGAGGACGTAGACTGTATCGCGGACCGCCGTCTGGCTGCGGAACCGGCCTCCGACAAGGTAAAAGTTGTTCCCGATGACGCCGCCTCCGGCGTGCTCGCGGCCTTCAGGCAAACTAGGCAACGACTCCCATTCCTTCGTGATAAAGTTGTAAGATGAGACAGTATCGACAGTCTCCTGGAGCCCGTCTTCTCCGAGCTCGAGCAGACTGATTCCGCCGGCAACAATAATCCTATTGCCAGTGACGCTAAGGATGGAGCTGCCTCTCTCCGCGCCATTGGGCATGGGCGGGAGCTCAGTCCACGCATTGGTGGCTGGATCATACTCGTAGCAGTTCGGAGTCGCGCGAAACTCAGCGCCGCCAGAGAGCTCGCCGAGGATGTAAACTTTGCCGTTGGCCGCGGCGGCATTGGCGTGGTTCATGGGGATCGGGAGTGGCGCGGCGAAGGACCACTCGTCTTTGGGGACGTTGTACACCTCCACGGAGTCGATTGTGGAGACTCCGGTCGGTTGGCTTGCGTCAGGCTCGATGCCGGCGAGGACGTAGATGTTGTCGCCGAGAGCTACAACAGCTTGCTCTTGGCGGGGACCGCCGCCCAAAGGCTTGGGTACTTCCCACGTCTCGGTAGTGGATAGGGTGCACTTAGGGGGCGCGGGGGCGGCTGCTGACTGTCCACTGAGAAGCGGCAGCAGAGAAAGACAGTAGGCAAGGCGCTTTGTCAACATGATGAAGTAGAAAGAAGTTTAATCTGGATGGCTAAATTGTGATGTCTTGAAGTAGAATTGTCTGGTGTGATGGCGGATGTTAAGAATGATCGAGACCTACTCTTTTGCTTTATACACATTAGGCGCCCTCTTTTCTGGATATCAACGTCATGAACATTCATTCCCTTTCTCTTTACATTGTCAATACGAGCGCCAAGGTGTTGCGTGAAGAGTAAATGGCTGTCTTCAACAGCACAGCCTCATGGAACTACAGCAGAGATGGCATCGTGGAGAGTGACAATATTGGACTCCAAGCATGACGGTCAAAAGCCATTCTATTCTCGGGAAATTCGACTTGTCCGTGTGGCTGGAATCGAAGTCATGCGCAGAAAGGCACTGCCCCAGAAGCATCCCCAGGTACCTAAGCAGCGTGGTGTTTCGGATTCGGATGACACTGGTTCTTGGCAACGGAATACTCTGTCTGTATCCATAGACGGCGATTCACGCCAGCTTACGCATCACAATTTCTACGTTTCTTGGCTACTTCTGTCGCAGCGCCACACGTGGCGCTGCCGGTTACTGCCGTACAATACCGCTTTCCACAAGCCGATTACCTGTCTTGTACGGTATATCCCATCGGGTGCTGATGGACAGCACTTTCGCCAAGACCATGAATTACCCACTATGTATCCACTATTACCCCGCATTTAAAGGGGTACTTGACGATACGTCACTCATCCCTATGCTCTTTTGCCTATTATTATCACTATTATTACCATTTTGATTGATACTGTGATGTCTTCTGGTGATTCTGATACCTCTATTGCATCTAATGTTTCTATTACTTCTATACGCAGCTGTATAGTAGTTGAGGTCCACCCAGAAGACCTTACTGCTGCCTGTAATACAGACTGTACGCCCGAGCGCTGTGACGCAGCTACAGTCCGGCCCCACGAACCTCCGGCAACTCAGCATGGTCCTCCGGGCTCCTTCCGACCCTTCAACGTGCCGCCCCGGGCCCAAGAGATACGGGGGCTGCCGGCAAGCCCGCTTGAACTGTTCCTCCAATACGTTCCGCAGAGCCTCGTAGAGCAGTGGGCCCAGTGGACGAATACAGCACCGTTGTCTAGGGAGTGCCCTAGGGCTAGACGGGCTACAGACAAAAGGAATACCTCTATTCCATGGGAACAGCATAGGAAGGGATCAAGAAAGGTATCTTAACCTTGTACCTATTGTGGTAATAGGAAGGCTTTAAAGGAGATATCTGGGAATGCCATCGCTCGGCAACGACGGCAGACAACTCGAAAGGGCTGCTTAGATTGTAATGTACCGTTATGTATTAGCAAAGATTGCTGGTACCTCTGGCACACCCAGAATTTATAGGAAATAGGGGTACTGCAGCCCTATTGGTTAACTTAATAGATTTGCAAGCCCTTATTGGCTCTACCCCGCCCTTGGCGAAAGTGCTGTCCATCAGCACCCGATGGGATAGATATGACCCTCATACGGATCTTCCACTTAGAGGAATCAAGCCACTTTCTACTATACATGTCTTCCACTTGCTACCTCGCTTTGTGATAACTTCTGTTTACTACCTAGGTATTATACAACTATGATATTTGTAATCATACCATGTCTTGATTGAGGCAGCCAGCGGAGCAAGAAGGACAAGGCAAGGAAAATGTTCAATTTGTTTGACTAGGTACCTTGCATGGGGCTAGCAAGACCATGGTATTGCAGGGGAAAGAGAAATCAATTTGAGGTAGAACGAAGAACGACCAAGGAATTGCGACATCCTCCACCTCATCCAGCACTCTCCATTGCGATATCTTCGTTCTGACTAGCCATCTCTGGGTTAATATAGTCTACAGGCCACCGTATCTCATTGCGCCAGTTTGGCGGAAGAGATCTAAATATTGCGGCAATGAGATGGCGTCCCCAGTCTTTCATGAACAAAAATTGTGATCCAGCGGCATGAAGAACGGTACAGTAGTGCGCAAGGACGACTAAGGATGTAGGGTCCCTGATAACAAGCAAGGCCATGAAGTTGTCACGCAGAATCATGGGCCAAGATACAGCAACGTTCAACTCGGGAGTGATGGATGACGCCCGTTCGATGCTATCTCGGAAGCCCGAGATTGCCTCGTCAATAATGCTCTTGACCTCGAGACTCACGTTTTGCTGGTTCGATACACCCTTCGATTCGCGAGATGTTCCCTTGCAGCAGTCCTAGCAGCTCGTTGACACCAATGTATCAATGGCACTGCATAAATTCCTTCAATATGCCCTGCCGCACATTCTCCCTAGCTGAGGTTAAGACGCCGCTGACACCACGGATAAGAGTAAACACCTCTAGGATATCATCAACCTCCAGCCGACGCAGGGGGCTGTGTAGCGTCGGACCCGAGGCGGCGAAGGCGCCAATGAAGAGTAATGACGACGCAGCGAAGAGGGCATCACAGTTCCCAGACGTGACGTGCGAAATCTCGGCTTGGACCCCGCAGATTGCATGGTGTTGGTGTTGCAGTGCCAAAGATAGCTTCTCTTGACGCTGTTGTTGCTGAGCTTGCGCGGAGGAGGACCCCAATGGTTCGAGGATTGCTTGGTGGAAGGCGAAGATTGCGAGGATCTGGTGCATGAGGTAGGGAGAGTCCGCTGCCACGCCCGGAACCTTGTCACGCCATGTGTGGAGGTTGGCTCCGGGTAAGGTTGCAGAGGTTACGGAGGTGAAGTGGCTCATTAAGCCAAGATCCGACATCTAGGGGTAGGCATTTTCGGCCGCGGATCCGACGGGACAGTCTGCCCCTCCAGAGGGGGGCGGTGTTGTCGATGGGCCTCCGGGTGGAGTGCTGGTGGATAAGATTGTCGACGAGTCGTCTCTCCGGCCGTCTAGCCTAGAGGCGGAATAGTGTCGAGAACTTGACGGAGCGCCATCTTGGATCGTAGCTGGTGTCAGACTGCAATCTATTTGTAGTCTGATGCATGCGCCACATGGTCGATTTTTATCGCACTGAAACAAAGTCAGCCTTGGGTCTGCTCTTTGGTGGGAAAAGGTGGAAAACAAAGTGCGAATCTCCTGCTACGAGACAGGATGGTAGCCCGACGCACCTTGACCTTTCTTTGTTTACAGTTGGAACAACCGTTACGGGACTTCTTGTGTCCAATTCGTGGCATATTGGATAGAGGCGCGATACACGACTAATTGATATGACTGCTTTCGATCCTCGACTCGATTCCGGGGAGTAAAAGTTTGACTGGGGCGCCCGAATCCGAAGCTGATCGACCGCTCATACATATTTATCTATCTTAATCGTACCCAGATTGAGTTGCGGAGATTTGATTTCCAAGAGCCGCGGACTTTCTAAGCTTAGACAGTGGGTGAATCAACACCCGCGACAAAAGCTTGTCAGCGCTAAACTTACACGTATTCGACGCAAGGGCCACCTGTCGTTCGAACATCAGCCAAGACTTAAGCCAAGATATTGACAACTTCAAGACACGAGATGATATCGACAGGATAGCAAGCATAGCCTCAATGGTGTTTACGAAGGATCTGCGAGGAGAGATTTCAATTTGAAATTTTGTCGAGAGACTCGAGGAGCCAAGTTGGAAGAGGCCTATGTCTACGGCATATTTATATGACCATGAGATAGAACAACATGCCGATATGAAGTTTCCTTCACTTGTCCAGAACTCCAGGAAACTACCTTCCATTGCAAAAACTTCAGTTTTTTCGTCGAAGACGCCATAGGAAAAGTCCTTCGCTGCGCAGAAGAAACGACTCAATACTTCATCATTCTAATCATCCAGAATCATGGACTCAACAACAGATAGCAACCCAGGAGAATTCGTTTTCTACCACTACAACCCTTCTCTCCCAGCAGCATGCATCTTCATCGCCCTCTTTGGCATCTCATCCGCGCTGCATATTTTCCAGATGATTAAGCTACGTGCCTGGTACTTTCTTCCATTCTTGATCGGCTGCTGTTGTAAGTGACGCCTATTGTTGACGCTGATTTATCGGCGTTTCCTCTTCTTCAAATTCTTTTATCTCGCACTTGCTGATTTGAGAATGGCACAGTTGAAAAATGTCGGCTACATAGGCCGTGCCTTATCAGCAACGGAGACCCCGAATTGGTCGACAACAGCATACACGATTCAGAGCCTGACGCTTCTCCTTGGGCCCGCGCTGCTTGCTGCGTCTATCTACATGGTTCTCGGCCGTCTCATTCGCTTCCTCGAAGCTGAAAATTTGGCTCTGATAAGAACGAAGTGGTTGACTAAGCTTTTTTGTCCTTGGAGACGTGATCTCTTTCGTGACGCAAGGTGCAGGTTCGTTTCATCTTTTCCCGTCTCTTGTTGTTGTTGTTGTTCTATTTAACGCCGTAGCGGCAAGGGCGCAGCCGCCCTTGCGGCAGACCTCCCGAAGGGTATATGGCGTGGAGGGCCGTAGGCTCGAGCTATATACTCTATAGTACACGCCTCTTCCTAACGTCCTCCAAATCTTGCCCGTGAGCTACTGTCTGTTCTATCCGTCCCTAGTTCCCGCTGGTTCCATAGTTCCGTTGTTACCGTCTGTCCCTCTAGGAGGAGAAATTCGTTAGTCGGGCCTAGGTCAAGACCTAGTCCTTAGTACCGCGGGCAGATCTTCTGAAAGAAGTCTGTCACGCGGAGAAAGGCCTGGAAGCCAATAGGATCAGTAATTAACCCCTTATAGTACCGCTCAAGAGATCCTATAGGTCCTATAGGATCGAGTAGGCTAGAAGGGTGGGGGGTAGGCCACTGATGCCTCCTCACTAGGGTCTTTTGGCAGTAGACTAGATGGTCTACCGCCTTTGCCTCCCCGCAGGAGCAGGTAAGTAGTGCTTCTGTATGGTTAAAGCGTTGGTGGTATTGTTCGAAGTCTCCATGGCCTGATCGGGCTGCTAGGAGATGATGAAGGATAGCCCGCGGCAGGGCTAGTTCGGGAGTGCAAGCGAGCGAGGGTGGCCTTTTTTCCCGTCTCTTTACCACCTGGAATCGAGAGAGTCTAGATCCGTGGGCAATCAGGCTGACACTTACTCTGAACAGGCGGCGCAATTCTCTCCCGAGCTAAATCCCTATCCGACGTTGACCTCGGGGAAAACATCATCATCGCCGGGCTCGCCGTCCAAATCCTCTTTTTTGGAGGCTTCATCATCGTCACCTGTCTCTTCCACTATCGCGTCAACAAGAATCCCACCGATCCCTGTAACTCTGCCTCCCTGCCCTGGAGACCGTTCTCGTGGATCTTGTACGGTGTGAGTCTGCTGATCATGATCCGGTCGGTCTTTAGAGTTGCAAAATACGTAACTGGCAGCAACGGGGCGCTGATGCCAAGCGAGGTGTATATTTACGTCTTCGACGCGGCACTCATGTTACTTGTTGCTGCCGTGTTCAATGTGTACCATCCCGGCCCTATTATTCAGATGGAGAACAAGTTGACAGCTATTTCGGAGAGCAGCGTGCCTCTTGATTTGCAGACTTTCATTTAGGCGGATTTAGTCGCTCGTCCCTTGCGCTGAGCTTCGGTTAACGGACGAAACCCCGGAAACTCTGGTCCATAACGCATTTGAGAGGGAGAGATTTTAGGGATATCGGAAGGCCCCCAGAGAATGTTCAGAATCTCTGCAAATGAGTTTGCTTTGGAAATCCATAGACGTGGATCAATATTATTTACCTTAGCTTTTTGTTATGCTTGTGCTATCTTCTAGTATCGCAAGTCTGCTTTTGCCACCTACCGCCGTCTCGCAGGCCTGTGAGGCACAGGTCAGCGGATGTCGCTTCAATTATTGTGTCACTGGTGGCCCAGCACAGCAGCAATCAGACAGGGGTCGCTCATCCCATCATGTTCATTTACGTCAACTCTAACGCAGATTCGATCAAAGCAGATTTATTCAATCTCAGAGCCAGAGCAACGACCATTGCAATCCTCTCACAAGGAAACAATCCATCGAGTGACCACGCTTGAGCCTGACGCCATCTTCGAGCCCGTCTCTTCCCGATGCCATAGTCTGCTGACGAGAAAGGCTTTCAAGGGGAGGATCACTGTACGAGCGCCAATTAGTCCCCTTCAGGCAGGTGAACCGTCAGACTACAGCGCCGAGACGAAATGCTTAGGGAGCGTTAAGACCGGCTGTTCCCGACTTGCCAGGGTGTCGTTCCGGTCTTACAATTTCGAAACCGCCCTGCTGCGAATCCTTCGCCAAAAGGGGACTTTTGTCGGGTTGTCGCGGTATCGCGGCGCTCACCCTCACGCGCGTCATCTTACTGTCGAATACAGCGAAGCACCCGGGAGATAGTAACGTCGAGACCAACTGAGAGCTTGATAAGAGTCCTTAGCGGACGACGATTCTGCTAGTTGAGCCTGCGATGGCATCTCCGACATTGACACTATCCGAAATGGCCATGGAGCTTGGATGGGACAAGGCACAGGTCGTCGAGATCGACGCATTCTCCTGTTCCGTTAATTCACCTTGGAACTCCGCGCTATGTCATCAAGGCTTCGACCTCAATCTTCGCCTGGAAAAAGTACTCTTCTCTGTTGTACCTTGCTCAATCGCCTTGATCTGGGGACTCTATCGCCGTCGGCAGCTTCAGACTAGAGCAGTGGTCTCTCACGGACATCTTCGCCCAGTGGCTAACTTGATCAGCCTCATCGTCCTAAGCTTCCTGAGACTATTCATCGCACCTACTTCAATCGCCATCGCACCTGTTGCTATTGTTCTGATCTCCGGCATCGCCAGATATGCTGGGCGACGGAGCGGCGCGCGGACGGACCAAGGTTCGGGTCTTCTTACCCTCAAACAGGCCAGTTCAGACAGATACGGCTTGGTAGACTCATGAGGCTAATGTGCGCACACAGGTCCTCTGGCAGGCTCTCACGGCATTCCAAATCGTCTCACTCATGAGAGTTGCCATTGAAACAGAGACTCAGAGTCAATCTGGTATTCATCTTGCTTCATGGATCTTGTCAGTTACGACGAGTGTTCTCTTCACATTGCTATCAGAGCGAGAGCACAGCAGATCCTTGGCTCCATCAGCCCTCCTCCAACTCTTCCTCCTGACCACAATATTCCTCGACGCAGCTCGCGTGAGAACGGCATGGCTTCTGTCGCCGCAAAACAACAGCGAGGCGTAAAAGGCCCTGCTGTTGATAGTTCAGGTCATCCTCAAGGTACTCCTTCTCGCAGCCGAGTCTGTGTCAAAACCCGCTGTTATCGCGATCCCAGCTCGTCGGACCTCTAGAGAGGAGACATCAGGTATTTTTGGCAAGAGCTTCGGGACCTGGGTCGATCCGCTGCTACGCCTAGGGTGGCAGAAGAATCTTGTAGCAGAAGATCTCGATCCTGTTGACGAAGCTCTTGATGGAGAAGCGGTGCTTAAGCGGCTCTCTTCGGCGTGGAAGAACGGTTCGCAACCCCCGTCACTCACCCCTGATTCCATGCCCCTTCTTGAGGGACGCCTGATGCTAACTGAGAATGATTACAGTCAACCAGAACAAGAACCACGCTCTAGCCATGACGGTTCTGAAGGAGTTCCGGGCCGAGCTCTTCTTCATTCACGTCCCGCGCGTCGGCATGGTGGCCTTCGGCCTGACACAACCCCTTCTCGTCCAAACTACAATCTCGTACATCCAAAATCCCATTGACAAGCCCATCAGCTACGGCCAGGCCCTTGTCGTCGCATTCGCCATCACATACCTCGGACTAGCTGTACGTTTCACTTGGCAAGATTTCCGAACCTTCACAAAGTTTTCACGGACGCAGAACTAACCACCATCTCTTCATCTACGTGGATCTCCACTAGATGGTCAGGCCAACTCACCCATCGCCTCATCACCCGCATCCGCGGCGCCCTCATCGCCATAATCTACCAGAACATGCTCACTCTCCGCGCGGAGACGGGTAACTCGCAGGCAGCGGTCGCGCTGATGAGCACCGAGGTCGAGCGCATCACCGTAGCTGCTCAGTGGTGCGTCGCCATCGTCCCTAATCTTATCCAGCTCGGGTTCGCCATGTGGATTATGAGCGAGCAGCTTGGGGCTGTCAGCGTTGCTCCGATCATCATTGCGCTTCGTAAGTCAATCACCTGGCAGTAGATTCAACTGTTGGAACTTGTATTGATCTAATAAAATTGGTAGTCAGTGTGTCGGCCGGCATCAGAACGGGGCAGTTGATCCCGCCTCGCCAACGGAGGTGGATGCTGGCGATCCAGAAGCGGGTTGGCATCACCACAGAAATCATTGGCTCGGTCAAGGGCGTCAAGATGAGCGGCCTGACTAGCACAGTCCAGGACCAGGTTCAAGGTCTTCGAGACTTTTAGCTCGACGAGTCCAAGAAGTTCAGGAGAGTACAGATTCTCAATGTGCTTATCGGTAAGTTGGACAAGCTATGCCTTCTTGATTACGCGATGTCTAACAGTACCCAGGACAATTCCCATCAATAATGACTCCGTCCATCACCTTCGCCGCCTTCGGCATCATCTCAAAGTTGTCCGGTGGCCAGCCGCTCAACGTGGTTCAGGCTTTCACATCCCTCAGTCTCCTCGGCATACTGATAAATCCCGTCTCCGAGCTCGTCATGATCCCCAATAACCTCGGAGCCGCCATCGGGTGCCTTGACAGGATCCAAGAGTACCTCGTCAAAGAGAAGCGGGAAGATTACCGCCTTGTCAAATCAAAGACAGCTCCGGACCCCGCCGTGCCGCGAAGCAATGGAATTCGCGAGCCGCCGCAAAGTGACAGCCAGCCCCGACCGCTGATCAAAGTCTCGAAGGGTTCCTTCGGCTGGCGCAAAGACCAGGCCATTCTCAAGTCCCTGGACCTCGAGATCCACCCAGGGAGCCTTACAATCCTCGTCGGACCCGTCGGCTCCGGCAAATCTACCCTGCTCAAGTCCCTCGTGGGGGAGACGTACCGCATCTTGGGGTCGGTAGAGTACACAAGCTCAACAGACGTGGCATACTGCGATCAGGACCCCTGGATCCTGAACCAAAGCATCAAGGAGAACATCATTGGCGGCGTCGCTACGCAAGACACGTCCGACTTTTACGACAAGGTTATCCAGGCCTGTCAGTTAGAAGAAGATCTCAATCTCCTCTTGGAAGGCGACGAGAGTATAGTCGGAAGCTCGGGTTCGGCTCTTAGTGGTGGCCAGAAGCATCGGATTGTACGTAATCCCGCGCATTTCTCCTGAATTTCCTTACCCAGATGAATAGGAAATCTGCTATTGACAACGTCGCAGGCGCTTGCTAGAGCCGTCTATAGCGGAAAGCAAATCACCATCATGGATGATAACCTGAAAGGCCTCGACTCTAAGACGGCTTCGAAATGCTTCCATGCGCTCTTTGGGAACGATGGACTCTTACGTGAGCAAGGGTGAGCCGTCATCTTTGCGACGCACAATGGTAAGAATTGTTTAAGCTTGCTTCGTTTACTCTTCCTATACCCTCTCTCCTTCTCCTAGGTTGATCCCAAATACGGCTAACGTGTATGTTCAGCCCAATGGCTCCGATCCGCGGACAATATTATTTCCCTCGGTAGTGGCAGGACCATCTCGGAGACAGGCTTGTATGAAGACCTCTGCGAGACTGGAGGCTACGTCAGCACTCTGAAAGTCACCCAGAAGAACGACCACCAAGATGGCGACACAGCGGAAGTAGAAGAGATTCAAAAGAGTGCCGACAAGAAGGACAAGGCTGCCGCAATCCAGAAGCCAGATGACTCGGCCAAGGCTAAAACCCGCGGCGCTACGAACACGAGTTCACTCCTGTACTACATCAAGTCAATGGGAATCACACCCTTTGGGCTTTTTGTAGCCATGGTAATTTTTCAGACTATCTGCAGAATCATGCAACGTAAAAATTTTCCATGCTTGCCTCCTACCTTCTATGTCGCCCAGCTACGAGTCCCGGGTCGGGTCTTACTCAAGGTATCTATATTAACCTACCTACAGGCCTCTGGGTCAAGTTTTGGGTCGCTGCCGACGAGGATGGAGGACAAGAGAACCTGGATATGTGGGTGGGCGTCTACATCCTCTGGGGTGTCTTGACGGAGTTGGCCCTTGCCGTCGAATGCTAGTGAGTCCTATATTCCTCAAATTCCTTCTTCGTTTGAATGAGGGCAGGAATTTGGTCACTGACAGATTGACCTTTCGCCTTCAAGCTACTTCCTCGTTGTAATTGTTCCTCACTCGGCAAAGGGGCTTCATTTCAGCGTCCTCAGATCTGCTCTCTCGTAAGACTTCACCTAGACTTCTACTACACCCTGGTTGAGATATCTGACATTTGACATCATCCCAGCGCGCCCCTGTCTTTCTTCGTCAAGACAGACACAGGTATCATTATCAACCGGTAAGCCCGATCCATTGTCAGAACAACGTCTAGGCCCTCAACTGACCTTTTTACTCCCTTCAGCTTTAGCCAGGACATGAACCTCGTCGATCTTCCCCTCCCCCTCGCCTTCATGCTAATCTTCGACAGTAAGCCCATCTCCACCCTCAATCCTCACATCTCCTCGAACCAAATTACTAACAAAACAACCCAACAGACCTCACCCTCGCAATAGCAGACATAACCCTAACAACCCTCGCCACGCCTACCCTATCCCTATCCGTCCCCTTCCTAATCCTCCTCCTCTACCTTCTGCAACGAATCTACCTCCAAACATCCCGCCAAATCCGCCTCCTCGACCTCGAGACAAAATCCCCTCTCTTCTCCCACTTCATCGCCTCCGCCACCGGCCTAGTCACCATCCGCGCCCTCGGGCCCAGCTGGACATCCCGCGTGCAATCCCAGAGCCTGCAACGGCTAGATCTCTCCCAGAGGGCGTTTTACGCAATGGGCAGTTTGCAGAAGTGGCTCTTACTGGTGCTGAATCTTGTTGTCGCTGCGTTGGCGGTGCTGCTTGTTGCGTCTGCTATTATGCTGAGGGATCGCGTTGACCCCGGGCTGCTTGGTGTGGCGCTCGTGAGTGTCATGACGTTCGGGTAGTTGCTGACGCAGTTGTTGAATTATTGGGCGCAGTTGGAGACTAGCCTTGGGGCCGTGGCGAGGATTAGGGAGTTTGGGGCGGAGACACCTTCGGAGGAGAACAAAGACAATGGTGAAGATCCCGTGGTGAAGGGCAAATGGCCTTCCAAGGGACGGATTGATATCTAGAACGTCTTGGCCGCGTATGATGATCATCAGGTTCTCAGTGCCGTCAATCTTTCCATCAAGCCTGGAGAGAAAGTGGCCATTTGCGGACGGACGGGGAGTGGCAAGTCTACGCTTCTTGCGCTTCTTCTGCGACTGCATGAGCCGGCTGCTGACGTAATTGAGGTAGACGGCGTGGACATTCGCAGTGTGCCCGTCACACGGCTCCGAGAATCTCTCGTTGCGCTGCCACAGGATCCGCTCTTCCTGCCTGGGACTGTCCGTCGCAACCTGGACCCTTTTGAGTCTTGCAAAGGTGATGCCGACATCTGGGACGCGTTGGAGAAGACTGGACTAAAGGCTCTATTCGAAGATAAGGGCGGTCTCGAGGCTAATCTCAACACTGACTGGTTGAGCGCGGGACAGAGGCAGCTGTTCTGCATGGCGAGGGCCATTTTGAGGGATAGTCGTGTCTTGCTGCTTGATGAGGCGACAAGCAGGTAAGTTTCCTCCCCGATTGACTCCAAATCTCGTCCAAGAACTACAAGTACGCTAACGATTCCTAAAAGTCTGGACCAAGCCACGGAACAGGTCGTGCAAGACCTCATCGGCAGCGAGTTCCAAGGCTGGACAATCATCGTTATCGCTCATCGGCTACGGGCCATCGTGGACTTTGACAAGGTTGTGACGCTCCAGGACGGGAAGGTTGTGGAGTTCGATAGTCCCAAGAAGCTGCTTGAGAATGGCGGCATCTTTGCCGCTATGTGGAAGCTGCAAGAAGGTTGAGTGATTCCTGTCCCCCTTCGGATTTCGTTTCCTGTGCGTTGCTGGCGTGCAAAGCCGGTTGCGATGGAGGAGCTAAGCCTTTCCTTTCAACTAGTTGTTATCAATAATGGGCTTGCATTTGAAACATGTGCTGGTATTTAGAGCGAACCTATCCTTTCTCCGTATGAGTAATGGCCCTCATTGCTAGAGCATAAATACTTATTTTCGTGTGTATCATCATCTTCCTGTTTTCAAATCATCTGTCCTCAAGACGCATTCATCCGACGGACCGACCTCGAGCAACGGCATCCGCCCGTCCCTATTTGCTCTTCATCTTCTCCGCAGCCTCCTTCGCAAAAGCGCTCACCTCCTTGTCAGAAGTCGACTGCGACACCGCTGCGAAGCCATCAGTCCAGCATTGCCATCTCTCCTCATTCAGTCCCTTCCACTCGCGGTCTGCAAATTTGCTCCCCGGCTTGCCCGACTTGCCCTCAAAGTCCCGGCTCTTGGTGCCGAGCTTGTACAGGGCGTCCTTGGCGTAAACGGTCCACTGGTAGGCCAGTCTGGTGGCAATGGTCTGGCCTTCGGCGGCGTCTGCAGCCTGATCCTCCTCGAAGGCGGAGCGCAGGGCCCAGAGGCCGTAGAGGGAGAAATCAAAGGGGTCCTGGGGGTTGGTGAGGTCGGCGCGGGCGGTGAGCTGGGCGGCGAAGGCGGAGAGGTTTACCCAACTGGCCTTTTCCTCTGCTGATGCGGATGTGTCGAAGGCGTCTGGATGCGTAAGCTAGGCGTTGTTCACGGGTTCAAGATAGTGGTATTCAGATGGCATATCAGCCTGCTGCATGAGATGGGTGTACTCACCAAAGTTCCACAGATCGCGGGCAACCCATCCAAAGGTGGGAAGATCCTTCCAGACAACCTGACTGTTCAGTTTCAGGGGCTGGCCATCCGATGCTGTGACGGTGCTCTCGCGCAGGCGTTGCAGGAAATCAACGAGCGGGGTCTGGTTCTCTGGGGAGGTCTGCTTGGCGACGGCAAAAATGGCGTTGTATGTATCCCAGAGGAAATCCTCAATCTGGGACTCGGACTTCTTTGCCAAGTCTTTGAACTCGCTTACGGTATCTTCAAGTGCCTTCTTGTCGTCGGCCTTGATGAAGGATGTGAGGGACTTGTAAGCAGGCAACGCCGCAATGGCATCGTTGACGCTCATTTTAGGGGTATCGTTCTTTGGTAAGAAGTTGCTTATTTTGGGTATATGTGAGAATGAACAAGAAAGAGCACAAAGCAATGGCTTTCCGGAAGAGTTCGAGAGAGAGGAGGGGTTGCGATGTTGACAGGTTGACAGAAGATGTGGCGGTGGTGGAGGTGCTAGTGTTGATAGCTGTTTTATGGCGATGTCACAACGGGAAGGTGGGAAGCCTGGACGAGCCCAATCTCGGCCCACGTGGAAGCGACGCAGCTTCACTGACGTCGTCAGCGGGCAGTTGCGGTACGTACTCACAGTCGTACCTGCCAGAACCTGTGAGTAATAAGGAAGGTAGCCCCGCTCTCGGCTACCACGTTGCACCGTGCACGGAGAAGAGAACTGGGGGCAGGAGCCGGCCGGGCAGCCACGGAAGGCACGGCGGACAGGGACAAGAAGAGACACGCAAGCCATGCACTCTATCCCAAGAGTCTGAATGCATGTGGCTGTGCCTAGGAAGTGTTTGTTTGACCATTCGAAGTGTGGCACATCCAGCTGAATTATGTGCATTTATTTCCATTGGACCTAACTGCATCTCGTCTCGGTTGATCGGCTCCTCCCGCCTTCCAGCCCAGGACCTGGCGCTGCAATGAACCCAAATCATCCGGCCAATCGCCCCCAAAGGTGTGGAGACGGCGGCCTCTGGGAAACAGGCACGAGATTAAGCTTATGTTTTTCGTCAAGCTTTGATTGGTGCCAACTTTGATTTCACGTGACTTTTCACGCCGTTCCTTCCTGCCTCTGAACCCGGCTCACCTGAAAACGCGCTGGAAACGCCTAAAGACCAATAAAGTTTTGCGCTGTTTGGGAGCGTTTGGAAGTTGGGGGAACCGCCCAGCCTGGCCCCCGGCAGGAAGGGACGATGTGAGCTGAAATCGACTGGATTTCATTTGCATTTTCCACACTTGGCACACGGGATTCTCGAGCCGGCCAAGTTTCTCGGCAGCTTTGTTGTCTTTTCTTTACTCGCCTTATCCTTTCGACCAACCTAATAAAGCCTTCGCAACTTTTAATCGCGGGCAGGCCCATCTTCTCTTTGATTATTGAACCATCACAACAGTATCGCTCCTACCGCGTTTCAAAAGACTTCCCCAGATCCGCAAAAACACCACAGTACCCGACGTCCACGATCATCTTATCATCCATCCATCTTCAACCAACCCACATTCCACCAGACGACGCCATCCAAAATGATCTCCTTCAAATCCGCCCTCACCCTGGCCCTCTGCGCCGTTTCCGCCGCCGCGAGCCCCATCCCCAATCCCGAGCCCGAGCAGGCCCTCGAGAAGCGCCAGGGCACAACCGACGTCGGCACAGTCACCTGTGGCAGCAACAAGTACTCCAAGAGACAAATCCAGGATGCCACTGCCGAAGGCTGCCGTCTCTACGCCGCGAACCAGCAGATCGGTACCAGCCAGTACCCCCACCGCTTCAACAACCGCGAGAGCCTCGTCTTCGCCACATCGGGCCCCTACCAGGAGTTCCCCATCATAACTTCTGGAAACTACAGCGGACGTAAGTCGCATTTGAATCTCCGTACATCTCATCATTCCCCAAGAACAGGTCTCTTGGCATTTCAACTGTCATCTTTGCCGCTCTTGGCACGTCATCAAGCATGAGAAGACGCACTGACATTGTTACACTATGCAGGGGCGCCCGGAGCCGACCGTGTCGTCTTCGACCCGGCGTACCGAGGCAGCTGTGTCTACGTCGGCGCCATGACCCACACCGGCGCTGCATCGCGGAACGGCTTCGTCTCATGCAACCAGACGAGGTCGTCGTCTTCTGGAAGTGGTACATCTGCTGCATCGAGCCACAAGGGATCCGGCTCGATTGGGGCTGTTGTGTCTATCCTTTCGCTCCTGGCACTCACTGCCTAAACTCGGATTCAGCAAGCAATGCAAAGAAGCAAACTCCGAGTGAGGGGCAATGTGAGCAAGGGCACATGCTGACGCCGCTGGCCGAGGGGAAGGGGAATGACCCAACTCTCGACGTACAGACTCTGGTCTGGCCCTCGTCGGGCCTCGTCCCCGGATGACAGAGAGTTCAAGGAAAAGCAACAGAAACAAGGCTGTCTGGGCCCGATGTTTATGGTATTTGAAAATCGCCTTTTTTCGAACAGTATGGACACGAGGGGCTAGAGCTGGGGATTGAGTTCAGAGTTTGGCTGACCGCGGTATTTTTCCCGACCAACTGAGTTGTTGCCGCACCGAGGAGGCAGGGGAGCCCCCTTCATCGCAAACTCATGCGAGAGCGAACTGGAACGGGAAACCTTTATCAGATGGCTGGCCTTCCCCCACGATGGTGTGGCTTGACAGGCACGAGAGAATGCCGGAGAGGGGTTCCTCAGTGCCCTTGGGTTGGCTTTGACGCAAACCAGTTGAGCCTTTACTAATCACTAGCCAATAATGAACCTTCTTGGGCGCGAATTGCGCCCGAAATTCAGTCATTGATATTACACACATCTCATGTCAAGCATCACCGACCTTACATGAACATTCACTTCGTCTCCGACGCTGATGGCAGAAACGCACACAGCATCTCACATCCAATCAAGACCCCTGTCCGCGTGCTGCTCAATGACCCCACCGCTTTCAAGAAGTGCCATCGTCGTATCTCACTCTCAATCTCAGCCTCGTAAATTCACATCTCAATAAATGAGGATCACAGAATGAGAGTTCATGAGTCACTTTGAACCAACAATGATCATCTGTAAATTCTGTCAAGCTACGGTCCTTGATTCCGGGAAGAGCTGGGACTATCACCACCAGGACTCAGACTCATTTGAGGGCTCACTTCACTCTCGGTGTGTCTTTTGTACGAGGCTGGCCGAAGGCCTCGGTGAGATCAGCCCTTGGTTTGATCATGACCTCAAGGTCAAATCTCTCTATCGTTGGAACATCCGGCAGGCTGCTCAGATCCGTGAGACGAAGAGCCACGTCTCCATCACATTCCGACCTGTCCCGAGCCGCACTTGTGGGAAGCTGAAGAGCGAAAACCTACCAGAAGTCACGGTCTATCTCTTCCCCGAAGAAGGTTAGTCATTCCGATGAAGTTTCTGCCTCCGAAGCAACGAGTTCATTACTTATACTCATTCCCTTGTAGACCTAGGCGACATCCCCGAACACCACGACCTCGGAAATCGAACAGACTCGGAAGCATCCAAAGCCCAAATGGGAACCTGGATGCAAGACTGTGTCACCAACCACCCAAAATGCATCCGAAGCCACAGCATTAGATCCTTCATCCCAACCCGCGTCCTCGACGTCGGTCCCCCAAACACCAACACCAACCACGCGACGGAAACCCCACCCTCTCACATCCGCGTAATCGACACCACAAAAGAACCCATCACCGGCCCTTACATGACGCTCTCCCACTGCTGGGGTACCGGTAGCTTCATCCGCCTAACTGAGACCAACGTCAACGAATATACCATCAATGGCATCCCCTGGACAGAACTCCAAGCCAGCAACGCCAACTTTGCTGACGCAGTGCGCGTCGTTCGCACGCTGGGATTGCGGTATATCTGGATCGATTCGCTGTGTATCATCCAGGGCCAGGAGCATTTGGAGGACTGGAGCCATGAGGCGCCTCTTATGCATAAAGTCTACCGGAACTCGTGGTGTAACTTGGCGGCGGCGGACTCGAGGGATCATACGCGCGGGCTATTCCGGGAGAGGGCGGCGGAGGTGGTGCCTGTGAGGTACGAGAGTGAGCAGCCTTCTGTGACGTTTGGTGATATGGTATGGAGGATTTTCCCGGCGGATTTATGGGATCGGGATTTGCTGGGGAGCCACCTTTACACTCGTGGCTGGGTGTTCCAAGGTCAGTATCTGAGCTCCCTATTTTCGCCCTCATCTATCATTTCAAGTCAGCATACTGACATGACGAACATAACGTATGCTCTCACCACGCCTCCTTCAATTCACAAATACGCAACTCTTCTGGGACTGCGCTACGATCACTGCCACCGAATCCCTACCTGCCGGCCTCCCACCACCTCTCGACACCAAATCCGCCACTGACAGACACTGGCGCGGACGCCTGCAATCCTCAGCCCTCTCCGTACGAGGCACAGGCGAAGACTCGCTCGAAGAGTTCTGGAAGAGCGTCGTGGAGGCGTACACGAGCTGCAATCTCACATTTGCAAAGGATAAACTTGCGGCGCTATGGGGTATCGCGAAGCTTTTGCGGGATGCGCTGGGCGAGGAGTACGCTGCGGGTTTGTGGGGTATCAATCTCGCTGAGCAACTTGCTTGGAGGGTCTTTGATCGTACTCAATCAAAACTTTACGGTGAGGATGAGAAGGTCGTGGTCCCTGGTGGTAAGGCGGTTGGGAATCCAAGCTGGTCGTGGACTTCATTGAAGGGGAGGATCGAGGTTGCGCCGAGGGTGCCGAGGCTGGATAGATTCTACACTGCGTGTGATCATGGGGGTGGGAACGCAAAATTTCAGGTCAAGAAGCCGCTTTTTGGGCGATTTGAGGGGGAGCATTCGACTGTGTGGCGGGATGAGGTTGTTAACATGACGAGGAAGCTGAACCGGGCTTCGGAGAGGGTGTCGGAGAAGGCTCGGATGAATGTTACTACGATTACTCCTATCGTTGAGGATATCGCAGAGGAAGAAGTCGAAAAGGACGGGACGCCAAAGACGGCACCGCAAGGCGCAGTCACGCAGGCGGAAACGAAGAGGGAATTCGCCATGGACAAGCCCTCAGAGCTCCTCTCTACATCTCTCCGCCTCCAAGCCCACATTTGCCGCGGCTCGCTCGAGGCATCTGGAGACGGCAACTGGACTTTCACCTTCCCGGGCCTAAACCAGAGTGACGCGCTCATCGAAGCTTATCCCGATGTCCAGCCTCAGCAGGACAGCGCTGCATGCGAGATGCTCTTGCTTGCTGCGACTAAGGAGATGAAGGATAGGTGGGGCTGGCCGGTGTTTGATAATGGGTACCTTGAAGACGAGGATATTGCTGACGTGCGTTATTCCGGGACGGGAATTCTTGTAGAGAGAGTTGGTGAGGGGCGGTATAAGAGGATTGGTGCAGTTGTGTTTCGGCAGGTGAAGAGGGAGAGTTGGGCTTGTTTTCGGCGGGCTTGTGGGAATGGTGATGAGATGTTGGAGGATGAGCTTCAGGTTGAGGACGGGGAGAAGATTTGGCTTGACTGAGGGTCTAGGTGCTGGTCCACTGAGAGTTTTGGGGTTCAACAACGACTTCCTTCAAAGGTTATGGTATACCGTGATGGGCATCTTTGGCTACACGTAGTGTAGCCTGCTGGTACCATCAGCAAAAATTTGGACACACAATCAACAAATAAGTTTGACTTGAACTATTCTACAACCATCGTCATGTCATCATCATGTACTTCCGACTCTAATCGCTTTCCTCGCTGGGCACAAAACCAGACACCACCGCTATCAAAACATTGAGAAATCAATAACCAACTCTAATACTGTCTCCCTTTCCCCTTAGTTGGGCTTGGTAGGAACGGGGCCAGGACCAACGCCCGCACAACCAGTGTATCCGGCAACAGCCTTAGAAGTGCTTAACAAATTTGTTAGCAAGTGCCATTTACTCTTCGAACGACTCCCAAAAACTTACCAATCCAGAATACAGCCCTTATCCTTGCCGCCTTTGCCCTTGTCGCCCTTGTCTCCGAGGCCTTGGTCGGCTCTTCTCATCAAGACGTTCTTGGCTGCGCCGCAGGCGTCTATGCACTTGACGTGGTCCGCGGCAGTTTGTGTCTCACAGGCCGCGATGGCTCCTCCTTCTTTCTTTCCTTTGCCCTTGTCACCGTCGGCTTGAAGGTCGGCTGGTGCTGGTGCGGCAACGACGAGTGTGGCGGCGAGGAGAGTGAATACTGTTGAGAAACGCATGTTGAAAGTTGTGTGAGGTTGTCAGAGTTTTGCTGAAGGTTATCTTTGAAGCGTGGCTGATTGGGTAGATGTTACTCGAAGGTGAAAGATTTTTACAAGTCTGTGGTTGCGTGAAGTTGATATGTTTGCAGTTTGAGTTGAACTAGAAGTTGTAGTTTAAGCTATTGTGGATGTGGTAAATAGTGTTAATGGTGATGAATGGCCTCTTTGCTGAGGGGAGTTCCCCCGGCCTTATAAAGACTTTGGTGATCACAGAAGCTCCCCTCTAATACCTCCTTGATTCTGCGAATACGATCTTATCATACCATGTCACGATGAACATTACCTCAGAGTTCAATCAACACCCAACGGCCCACATGCATCTTGAAGCCTATTTCGATCAGTCCCTGGAACGTCAGTGGATGACGTCCGTTCATGCTCTCGCATTAAGCATCCATTTTAGGCCGTGGGGCACAAGAATTAGACTTTAAAGGGCCCACTGGCCGTTGTGAATTTATTAGAAACAGCAGGGATGGTCTTTACGGTCTTTGCCCATACAACATCGGACGACCGAATAATCCGAATACGCAAGGGAGCAGCCGCCAGACCAGGAAAGCAACGTTTTAAGTGGTGGCCTTGAGCGAGTTGGGTATAAGTGACGTGTCTGTGTACCTTACTTTGGATGAGATGCCGAATAGTTGATAAGGAAACTGAGATGATACTGTGAATAGTGTAGAAGTGTGATCGGGGTACCACCTGGTTGGGAAGGAACCTCGGAGGAATTCACGAGCCTCGGGGCCAACACGTGAAGGCTGTCGTTCTGAAATATGAATTGCATCATTTAGATTGTCGGCTGAAATGTCTTATTCCTTGGAAGATTCGAGCATCATCGAGTCAGGAGATCATGTGCGATTGGGTTGATGGTTGATGGCTGAGTGCCTCCCCATCCCTGACAAGACGCCAGGGGAGCTTCTTCCATCGGCTGGTCCAGAGTCGCATCGTATTGATCCTCGTCATTGTCAATCGATGTTCCCGGGTACCTGGGAGAGTCGTCATAGCCCGGTGAGCGGCTGTTCGGATGGCCAGCCTAGTCTAAAGAGCCAAGTACCTGCATGCCGAGAAGCAGCCAGATTGAGAAGCCACCTCGTCGTCCTATTACAGCCTCACTCTAAGCAAACGCCGGAATCGGTAATTCTCAGTTTTCGTGAATTCATCGGACATCCGCAGACAAGCCATCTGCGTCACGGCCTTCATCGCGCGTTGCTCTTGTAGGCTTTACGATCCCCTCTCCGTTCATGCAGACACGAACTTCATGCTAACCCAGTAGCCTCAGGATTTGAACGCTCTTCGATTGCCAGCACAAGACATCGGGGCATTCCCCTACTCCTGGTGAGGAGTGACTTTGTCATCGAATGACGCATTTCTACCCTCCAAGTCGGCAATTATGTTCACACCGGCCGAGTGAGATGGGATTATTGAAGTCTCTTGGTGAGTTGACGGCATACTTTTGAGTCCCAGTGCGCCATCATTATCATTGTTTCAATCTCTAGGTAAGGCAGGCGAGAATAACATGTTCATGCTAAGTTCCAAGCGCTTAGATTTCTCTGAGCCATGGTTCATTTTTCCAGCCTAGTTCCCTCAACTCTTTAATGTTGCGTACCAAAGATGGAGCTGTTTATTTCACGCATCTTGCTCGCCATTCTGTAGCTAGTCTCTACTTCAGCCTGAAAGGAATATAACTCTATGTGCTGAGGAATTATGGCCAAGGTATCTGCCACTGAAGCCTCGAGCTTCTGAAAGGTTTTTGAGGTTTCACTTCTTGAAACCGCTACATAAGTAGGCTATGGAGCTACTCACTTCTAAGACTTCCGTGATGCAAAAATTGACTGCTGTTTTTCGGACTTTTCTTGCAATTGCGACTAATTCCTAGTCATGTTGTTTGGCGACTGATCTTGAGACTTGCACTTCGGCTTCTAGCTGATACTACTCCATGCGTAGAATTGGTTGATGCAATTAGTCTGTTGTCAACTCTAAGACTTCCAATACTTTGCTTCGATAAAGTAGAATCTCTGTTGTCAACCGTGCATGCTAAGGAGAAAACAAGATGCACATCCACATACCTTAGTGATGCCACCGGCCCCCAAGGTGATGCCCCTGCATTCAACCACTGACCACTCAATCATGTGAAGCTGAGTTTACTTGGCATTCGACTATTGAAATACAATACGACGAACTGCAGGATCACGCGGACTGATCGCGGCTTTCTACTCAACCGATGCCTGTTCTCTTGGCCCTGTCGATCACCGCGTTGAGCAATCGCTTGAACCTGATGATCAGCAGGTTTTCCCGCCTTGGATGCGGGGTTGTTGTGGAGGATCCCATCGATAATCACCGTTAGAATGTGATGAAAAAGCTGGGGAAGAAGGCTATTCTCGGCTCCGAGATCCCCACAGTGGTCGTTTGGTCGGAAGACTAACCGAATTCAACCTGTCGAATGTGACGCTGCATGGCCTGGAGGTTCTGCTCATTCGCTTCACACTGACCCGAACCAGTCTTTCTACATGCGCAGCAACCAGAGGAATTCCCCATGGCTGAGCAACTACGTAATGTGTTCTGACAAGTGAATTGCCAAGACATTGGCATTGGGCATGTATACAAGCATCGCGAATGCCGCGCGACTTGAGTGAGATGCTCGATCAACTTCAAGTTCGAACCGAGTCTTCATCCTCTGTCAAGCAGCTCTGTTGAGACTAAGAGTCGCGATGCGTGCCTCACCACTTGCTTTGGCCGCTGCCCTTACCGTGGGCGGCGTAAATGCTGCCCTGAGTGTTGTTCCAGGGGCAACATGGACTGCCGTAAGTGGACCCCAGTCGCCCGAACAAGCTTATTCTGACTCGTCTATCCACAGACGAACACTGGAGAGCACGTCCAAGCTCATGGCGCAGGTATCATGTAAGTTGAACTCAGCCTTTGCACTTGCTGAAATGTGGTAATGATTTGAGAGCATGAGACACCTAACATTGGTTACTTAGTGAGGAAAATGGGGTATACTACATGATTGGCGAGGAGAAGACCGACGGTGCTGCGTTCCAAGCAGTCAACTGCTACTCGTCCACGAACTTGATTGAGTGGAGCTTCCAGGGACGCCTTTTGACTCGAACCGAGGAAGCCGGTGACCTCGGTCCCAACCGAATCATCGAGAGACCCAAGGTTACCAAGAATGACGCAACAGGAAAATACGTCCTGCACCTTCACATCGACTCTTCCGACTACAAGGATGCCAAAGTCGGTGTTGCGACGGGTGATAGCGTCTGTGGCCAGTATGAGTACATCCGCAGCTTCCGCCCGTTCGATTTTCAGAGCCGCGATATCGGCATCTTCAAGAATGATGATGGAAGCGCTTACTTGTTGAGCGAGGACGTAAGTCTAATACCCTAATGCTCCTGTGTCACTTTCAGCGTTGGTCTAATCATCAGACAGCGCGAGTACGGTACCCGCATCATCAAGCTCACGGATGACTACCTCGATGTTGCTGAGGTGACATTTGGTTGGGAGTACTTCGCCGAGTCACCCGCGCTTGTCAAGCGTGATGGCACATACTTCATTTTCGGCTCTCACCTCACCGGCTGGAACCCCAATGACAACGTAAGATTAACTTTACAAAACCTTGGGCAAGACTTGCTAACATCCTCACAGGTCTACAGCTACGCCACATCTCTCTCCGGACCTTGGTCAAACTGGACGGAGTTTGCCCCCGTTGGCTCGAAGACTCACAACAGTCAAGTCAGCTTCGTGCTTCCCCTTGGCACCGACAAGGCCATCTACATGGGCGACAGATGGCAATCGACAAACCTGGCGGCCAGTACCTACATCTGGTTGCCTCTTCAGTTTGATGGCACCACTGTGACTCTCAACTGGCATGATTCCTGGAACCTCGACACCGCCGCAGGCACCTGGTCCGAGAGCACAATCACATCCGAAATCGAGGGCGAGACTGCCGCACTTTCCAACGGCGCCCGCATTGTTGACTGTTCGCAGTGCAGTGGCTCTTCTGCTGCCGGATACCTGGGCGGTGATGAGGATGGTACTGCTACTTTCAACTTCACCGTGGCTGAAGCTGATCGGGTCACTCTTATCGTCAACCACAAGAACGGCGATACTGCCTCTCGACATGCCGCGGTGTCAGTAAATGGCGAAGAGCAGTCGGTTGCTTTCCTTGCGACGTCTCATCTTTCTACTACTGGGAGCAGCGCCTTTCACGTCAATCTAAAGGAAGGAGAAAACACAGTTACCTTTTCGAGGTCTGAGGGATGGGGTCCGGATGTCGACCAGCTGATAGTGCCCAGTGTATAGTTGAAGCAGTACACTATCTCACTTGGACTGAACTGCAGAAAGTTGGAGCTACTAGAAACCATGGGATCCCTGTAATAATTGATTCTAGGAGAGGAAGCGAAACTTAGGCAGAGTTTCTTTCAATTGAACCCATTGCCTAGAGGCTCTAAACGGATGTCTGAAAGAATGGGTGTAATACTGAGTTGCAGCGGGCTGGGGCAAACAATCGAGCCGTCAAAAAAAGAAACAAAGATGAGAGCCTTTGGTAAGAACATGAAAGTTCCCAGCGTGTCCTAATAGTCTTCCTCCGCGGACATATTCTTCCCCTTCCCTCGCTTCTCTGTCCCATTGACTTGCGCCGAAACTGCTTCGGAAAGCTTGAAGCCCTGTTTGCTCTTGTCGAAGTCTGCATTGAGGTAACAGTCTATCATGCTAGGAAGAGTGCATGAATGGCGTTTTCCGTGTAGAAAATCGGTACTCCATTGAGGAGAGCGGAAGGCCCTTACGATCTTCTCCGTATTCTCAATGGAGTATCCTGTGTAAGGTAAGGCTGGCTTGGGATCAAGTAGCCTGTGCCTGTCCATTTCTTTCGTGAGGGCTCCCAATAGAATACTGCTGCATTCAAAGTTGCAACCAGCAGTCCCACTTCGCAATGCGTCAAGAATTTTCTGAAGCGCTCCAAAGATGATTTCAATCGCATCTTGTCTGCGCCACTCGACCTGGTCTTTGCAACGATGAGCGTGTGAGCGAGTTAACTGAAGGTGGCTTGTCTAGGTACTGACCGATAACGATAGAGGCGATTGGAAGTCCCATGGTTTTTATAGGGCAGGCAGTCTTCATCACGGCTAGTTGTGTCATTTGTTGGAAGGTGTCGTTCTGTTGGAAAACGTGCGAAATGAAAAGCCAGAGGACCAGTTCTCTGCAGTAATCGACTGGAAGGTTCTTTCTCAGAGGCTCAATCCAGATGAAGCTGTAAAGTTCGATAACCTCGTGACAGTCATAGTAGTCGACAAGGACTGCCATCTTCGCCAGCGTCCCGAGGTCTATCTGTCGAGGCACACTTCTCATCTTTCCGTGGATGACTTGCATCAGTATAAGTAATACCTCGGGATCCCAGTCAGTTGCATCCATGTGAAAGCAGCCATCAGCATGCTTGAATGAGGCTTCAATCCACGGGCCAGAGAGCTTGGTCGAGAAGTATCGGGATGCAAGAGCTAGATGTTTCGAAGACACAAGGTATTTCACCACCGGCTCTTCATAAGACTCTTGTGATGGTTCGTTATCTGGAGCTGCAGCTGGGAGAGGCTCAGCTGTATCTTCAATGGGCAGAGAATCATGGCCAGTAGAGTCAGAAGGGCCGGCTGCTGGAGGTACATCGAAAGGCGGTGAATCGGTTCTCTGGACCGGCGTTTCTGCTACCTCCAATTCCGCCGCACGTATAAATAACATTTTCCTGTACTTCTTCTTCTGTGCCGCGGTGAGCCCGCGATAAGGATCTTCAGGTGTTTTCAAGGTGTCGGCTGCAGCTCTGCTATTGACGGAATCAGAAATGGAGGGAAGATAGCGGCAAAGAGAGACACGTTAGATTGTTCGTCCAACTTACAGTTCTTCAATAGTGAATGCTGGGTTTTCGGCTGACGCACTTGAATCCCACTCTGCAAAGGAAGCCCCGGGGTTTCGAAGGATAAGGACAACATCCCCGTCGGGGTCGACCCGATAGAAGGACTCGTGGGTCATGATGATGTGATATGGAAGACGAGCTCCAATGAGTAATTCTGGATGATTTCCGACATCCTTTGGACGAGAGAAAACATGCTCTTCTTGTAGGCGGCTCGTTGTAGCAATCATTCGCTCAGTCGTTAGACGCGGCAGCCTGAAAGTGTATGTGTGGAGTCAACGGCCTTCTGCATAGGCTGAGCAAATCAGCGGCAAAGGTTGCAGTTGTCGAGAACTAAGACTTCAATCCTGACTGCGGATTTGTTTTTGGCTGAAGGCCGAGTGGGCTGATGCATTGCTGTTTGTTTGTATGCAGCGACTTGCATGCACATCACTGAGGCTTTGCATGTTGCATGGGGCTCGATGCCTAAAGCCAGATATATTCTGCCTTAATCTTAGGCTTTGTAGGGACTCATTGGCACGCTGGGGTTGGTTTCGGCCGTTTGACTCTATATACGCATACTCCTGTCGTTGTTCAATGAGAGAATGGATTGAGATTGTGGCTTGGAGACTTTCAGCAGTCTAGTCCACTGAGAGCTTCTATCCAAACCTTTCGCGTGCCAACAGGTGTTGCTGAACCATTACGGATTATACTGCTTTAGATAGGAAAAGCTCACTTGAAGGGTTTAAATTACTCCGGTAGTAGCAACCGCTTACTGGGAGATTTTGCGCCGTTGTCATGGATGTATTAACTCTGCTAGGGCCGTGCATAATTCCTTCGTGAAAGACATTCAGACACAAAGGTAAATGATTTCCTTTGAAGTCGCAATATTTGAGTATGTTCTAGTGAAGAGATTAGGGCGGTTCTACTGCTGAGCTGCTGCTGTGAGCTGCTGCTGTCTGAGCGTTGAAGGTCAGCTGCTTTGAGAGCATTATTAGCTGGAAGCCACAGACTGAGACCTGCGTCATCCATAACGTCATCAGAGTCTGAGCGACAAATCAACATAAGGTCAGTTGTTGTCTTCTCCGTAGATGACTATTGAATTGAACCCAGTTTGAAAACATCCGCGATACACACTGATTGGTTCATCCTACCTGAACTTGCTTCCCTCCATCAACATGCCCGAAATCGACGTCCTCATTGTCGGGGCAGGTCCTACCGGCCTAACTTTGGCCATTGAATTAGCGTCGAGAAAGATCGACTTCCGCATCGTGGAATCAAGGGAAGAAGTATCCGATAAATCAAGAGCGCTTGTGGTGCAGCCTCGGACACAGGAGTTGCTCTATCGCTATGGAGATGTCCAGGAACTCATCTCACGGGCACGGCAACCGATTGGCATCGCGACGTGGATCAACCAGAAACCAGTTCTCAACATCACTTTTGGCAGCTCTGATGAACTCTCCCGCGAATATGGGACCGACTTCCCGCGGCCTTTGTTGGCATCACAAGCTGAGACGGAACGCTTCTTAAGCAAACGCCTGGAGGAGGTTTCGAAGGTCCTGCCTGAACGAGGAACTACGGCACAATCGATCACCCAGGATGAGACCGGAGTTTCGGTGACACTCAATAGGGGATCACAAGTTGAAAGTCTTCGCTGCAAATATGTCGTCGGTGCAGACGGATCGAACAGCACCGTTCGGGAAGCCGGCACGAAGTTCCAATTCAAAGGCGCAGAGTACCCGCAGGAGTTCCTCCTCTGCGACTGTCGCGTCAAGTGGAAGCAGCCGCAGGAAGGCAAGGCGATGTTCATGCTTGGTCAAGGCTCACTTATTGTCATCCCACTTGACGACGATGTTATTCGGCTTGCCGGGAGCAGCTGGCTCGGAAAGACAGAAAGAGACCCGACGCTACAGGACTTCCAAGACCAGCTCGACAAGATGGCTCCAGGCCAAGGGGAGCTCTTCGACCCTATTTGGCTGAGCAAGTTTCACTTGTCCAACCGTGGCGTGAACAGTTACCAGGATGGACGACTTTTCCTGGCAGGAGATTCAGCTCACGTTCATAGCCCTGCCGGTGGCCAGGGCATGAATACTGGCATACAAGACTCGATCAACCTGGGCTGGAAGCTCGCGGAAGTCCTGAAATGCAGGAGGGGTCCCAACTTCCTCGACACGTATAATAACGAGAGGTCACCGGTGGGAAAGACGGTTCTCGCCAGGACCGACCGCATATTCACAGTCATGACATCGCAGAACTTCGTTGCCACCTTCCTTCGCAATTATTTAGGGCCGATTGTTCAACCCCTCATATTTAAGGACTCGGATCGCTGGAAGATGGCCTACAGATTCTCATCTCAACTTCACATCCGCTACAGGAAGAGCGACATCGTGGCTACCGGCAGCAACTTTAGCGGTCCGGTCCGCGGAGGGGATAGAGCCCCGAATGGCACCTTGATAGGCCTGGACGGGCAGGGGAAGCTTCATGATCTCTTCCGCTCTTTGGACTACCAGCTTCTTCTGTTTACTGGACTGGGTGATAATTTCGTTTCCGAGAAGGAGTTGAATGCTGCTGCTTCTGGCTGTGGACCTATTGACGTCCACATCATCTCCAGTCAAGAAGATATGGGGTATTTTGATCAAGACGGGAGCTTGCACCAGTTATATGGATTTGACAACCCCGGGTACGTCTACGTTCGTCCAGATGCCTATACGGAACATATTGGCTTGCTTGATAGAATTGGTGAGCTTGAAATATGGATAGCAAAGCATAGGCAGGTGGATGCTTAGACTAGGAAGCCTGAGATGTACGTTGTAACGATTTCTGTATTCACATGTGTAATAATACTCTAGCGGTAGCCAATTTCTGCAGAAAACTTGACCTGTGATCCATTCATTGACTCAGCACATTATTAGGTAATTGTAAGCCCAGCTGCCAAAGTTGAAAGGCTTGTGCTCGAGACAGACGGGACTGTGGTAACATTGGACCGCGGGAAAGGTGTCGCCCTCGGGCAAGTAGAGGTGCCCCTCAGCCCCGCTACCCGCGGTAAACTCACACATGTTGTTATCAACCCAGATAAATACTCATGTTACTGCAACTTCTGGACGTACATGAAGTGAAACATCGTCTGAGCTTTTTTCCATCCTTACGAGCATCATTATCCCTCCAGCAATCATTCATCATGGCTTCCGAGAGCACAGCCGCCTTCTGGGCGAAGACCGACAAGTATTTGATGTCCACGGGGGTCCCTTACTCTCCTGTTATCATCACCAAGGCCAAGGGCACGAAGCTCTACGATGCCGAAGGTCGCCAAATCTTGGACTTCACGTCTGGTCAAATGAGCTCTCTCCTGGGCCACTCACACCCGGAAATCGTTCAGGTGGTTCAGAGATATGTCGCTGAGCTCGACCACCTGCTCAGCAATATGATCACTCAGCCTGTTGCCGATCTTGCTGAGAGATTGGGCAAGCTGCTGCCCGCTCCCCTCGAAAAGGTAACCCTCCTATTGCTTGGTCTGCCTGAACCATATTGGCTGATATCCGCCCAAAGTCCTTCTTCTTGAATACCGGTTCAGAAACCACAGAAGCTGCCATTAAGATGGCAAAACTCCACACTGGGAAATTCGAAATTGTCGCCCTGTCGGCAAGTTACCATGGCCTGACTTCAGGTTCCGGTTCCGCCACCTACTCCGCCGGCCGAAAGAACGGCGGCCCCGCAATGCCGGGCCAACTCGCGTTCCCCGCACCTTACGCCTACCGCTCCATATTCCGCACGGCCGACGGCGCCTACGACTGGGAGAAGGAGATGGACTTCGGCTGGTCCATGATTGATAGACAAAGCGTTGGGTCTCTGGCGGCGTTCATTATGGAGCCGATCTTGTCTACGGGAGGTATTCTTGACCTTCCCAAGGGCTACCTCAAGCGTCTTGGCGAGGAGTGCAAGAAGCGCGGCATGTTGCTTATTCTCGATGAAGCGCAGACTGGTGTAGGCCGCACTGGCCAGATGTTCGCTTTCGAGCACGACAATACCGTCCCGGACATTCTCTGCTTGTCCAAGACTTTGGGATGCGGTCTGCCTTTAGCCTCTGTCAGCACGACCGCCGAGGTTGCGCAAGGATGCAAGGACGCTGGCTTCCTCTGGCTGACGACGCATCTCAATGATCCCCTTACAGCCGCAGTTGGCAACAAGGTTCTCGAGATTGTGGAGCGTGACAACATTTGCCAGCGCGCCACCGACCGCGGAGAACAGCTCCGGACCGGTCTTCTGAAGCTTCAGGAGAAGTACTGGTGCATCGGCGATGTTCGTGGACGTGGGTTGCTTCAGGGCATCGAAATCATTTCCGACGCGAAGACGAAGGCACCTGGATCGGACCTTGGCCAAGCCGTTTCTGATAGGGCAATGTTCTTGGGACTGTCGTGTAACGTTGTCAATCTGCCGGGCATGGGCGGCGTGTTCCGACTCGCGCCTCCGGTGACTGTGAATGCGGAGGAGATTGAGGAGGGTCTGAGGATATTGGATGAGGCTTTTGGCTATGTCCTGGCGCAACGAGAGAAGACGACTCCTGTAGTATGAGAGGTTAATTGCTGTCGAGAACAATTCAATTAGCTTGCCTTTGCATCCGACGTGCGTCCGCAAGTCACGAGATGACCGGAAAACATCATCCTTGAATCAACATATTCGTCTTGGTTACGTTCGATCCTGAGCCCTTTCGGTATAAGTCGAATTAAGTACAAGACTGGGCTACCTAGGTTATTGAACTTTACCATAGATCATAACGATGAATTTGCTTTTGAGGGCCTGGGATGCCCCGATTGGCTGTGGTCGTCAGCCGCCGTGCCGGGAAAAATTTGGCCAGAGACCCGCAGGGTTCGGAGCCCTAGCCCACGATTCATGAGCCCCCTTTCTTGTTGAGCTCTCATCAGCATCCAGCGGCGGACATAGCTCAGTTGGGAGAGCGTCAGACTGAAGTCAACTTCAATCACTTGATCTGAAGGTCGTGTGTTCAATCCACACTGGCCGCAAGGAATATATTTTGCTCGGCGGCCTGTTTGTTGTTCAGTGATCTTGTCTTGCTTTTTGAGCTGGCTAGCTAGCCTCAATCCATGCGCGCAGAATGACAACTCCCATAACCTCGCCGTTAGCGCAATCGACAACCAGGCTTTCAAAGTCATGCCTTTATCCAGCAAATACGCAGTGGAGAACATTATCGGCGCATGAGTTGCGATTGAGGCGGTCTCTCAGCTCTTGGTCAGTAGGCACCTAGTACATAAAGTAAATGAGTGCCGAATTTGTTACTGGGTATTAATACGCTAAGGCAGTGCGCAAGGCGAACGCTTGGTCCGTGAGCCGGGGAGTTTCTGTACCGCTCATCTAAGACACAAACCTCGACATGAGCTTGCGCGCCCGCGATTTCTTTTGGTCCGATATTATGTCGCGGTCGGGCTAGATTCGTACTTGTCTCGTGCAGGAACTCCCATAGTGTCTGCAGAAATAGTATCCAATAAACGCTGTTTGACTTGGTCCCAGGAAGAGCTATTGAGTAACAAAGCCAGACAACGTCATAGCCCGTGCCACTGATACCCGTCCAACCCCCGGATAGTGGCTTCGTGACATTTCATATACTAAGCAGACGGCTTCGAAGGGGGGAGATTGGAGAGCAGAGTGCAAGAGATAAACAGATCACGCCACCGTACTCGACCATTCTATCCATAACTATAGGACCAGATCCTTACCTCCTTGCCACTGACGGCTACGCTTAGAGCCACCACGACGCTTCTGACTAGACCACCAGGGTTGACCATGGAATGGCGTAGGCCCGTGACGTTTGGGTGGATTTGAAGACGCAGCCTAAGGGGCTAATTACAGAAAAATTTTCGTCGATAGATTTCCTGCAAGAAGCCAAACGCCACTCACCTTTCGACCACGTTCAGATCCCGGCTCAAATAAATTTCTTAGATGCTCGTATATAAAGTCATATGCGGAAAAGTTCGGAGTTTTCCCGGCACGGTACTTTGGGTAAGTAGCGCGGTGACAATGTATTTTAACGGCATCAGAGAGGTCCGAACCCCTCGTTCTCGTATACCAGCTGCAAAACCTAATGTCAAGTTCGGCACTCTGTCATGACCGCGACTTGATCTCCGCAATGCGGTTGTCGGCAGCCGCACGTAGCTTGAGATCCTAAATATATGAACCCTGGAGCAGCTGCGGCTTGCCACAACACGTCAGGCCGACATGAGGCGAGTCAAGAAGTGCCAGAGAGCATGCATCACCGACTGGCCCAGACTTGGTACTCAAGAACATATATTATTTGAGACTTCGCTGCTTATTGTGAATATTGAATACTCGGGATGATTGCATACTGGATTCCAACATTCGAGAGGAGTAAAAGGACTTCTACTATTCCAGCATTTCGGCGCTTTTCTCGTAACAAGTCCGAAAAATGACTCAGCTAGATGAGCAAACCTAACGAACGATGAGTGCTAGTTCTTTAGCGGTTAGTTTTCTTAGGTCCTTGGGCAAATTCAGAACCTTATGTGCCTGTGGGCAATTTTGCAACCGTCCTTTCTTTACCGCCGTGTTAAGAGCCCAGCCCTCGTGTGGCCACGTAGGGGTGATTTCTGTAGATAGAATCTAAGCTGACGAGAAGAGATTTACAAGCGGAGCTTCCGCGGAGGTGGAGCGTAGGCGTAATGGAGCCCGCGCGGTCAATCGTGGCAGAATATCCGGGCGCTGGCCCGGATCCATTAATCGGGTCCAGCCCGTAACACGCCGGAACAACACGCTTGAGAAACATAAGCATGCTCTCACGACAAGCTTTCTAACATCTTTCCTATTGAAGGCTTATTTAAGTGATCTGAAAGTGAAGCTTTTTGACATGGGGTGTAGTCGTGGTGTCAACTGAACTCTGAGGGGGAACGAGCCAACGTGTAGACACTGCGGCCTAACAGCGGAGAGTCCGGATGAGCTAAGCGACCCTTGGTGTAGCTGTCCAGCAGAGATCACGACAGTCGCGGCTTGCAGGTAACCACCGAAGCGCCCGAAATAGTGTCAAGTCAACGAAATGAGCACAGCTTCACGGCTAGAAGAGACGGATGCCTCTTGCCTCATTGCAAAGCTCGACATTGTCTGAGCTCGCTTTGCAGGTATAAAAAGACACCGAATTTCCTCGAAGAATGGAAACAATCTACCATTTCCATCCAACACTCTTTCCCGCTCTCTCTTTCAACACTAAAACAGAATCAAATTCATTTATTCTCGATCTATAATTCTTGACAATGGCACCCATTATGAAGTTCTTCTATGCTGGTCTGCTCGCAGCCAGCACCCTCACCTCCGCTGCATTTGCCAGCTGTTGGTATTCCTTTCACAGGGAATTTAGTTCGAACCGTAGGGTCCTGGGGGTGACGAAGTATCAATATCTCTGTATTGATTGATTCTGCGTAAGGAGTAGAAGGGAGATTCCAACCGGAGGTTGGGTGGGTAGTCGAGGTCTAATTGTACTCCCTCGAGGTGGCCCATGCTCTGCCCTTACTCGCGGTCGAATTGGACTTCCAATCCGACACCAGCCCTATTTGACAACGCTGGCGTCGCCATTGAGGCTAGAGGTGAGATAGACTCTTCAAGTTCCTTTCTACAGACAGCCGTTTCCTTTGACTTAGGAAGGAATACATTAAGGGATCAAAGCTAATCTCGATTTCTTTTCACAGAAGTCAACTTCCTGGCTGAGGGCGTCGACACCCCAGTTAGCATCGAGGTCACCAACGGCGTCGCCGTTCGCAGCGCCGACGAGGTTGACGCTTCGCTCGAGAAGCGCGTCTTCACCTCCCCTCATGTCCGCAAGGCTTTTAAGATCGTTGCCGGCAACATGATCTCGGCCGCCTCCTGTGCCTTCAACTTCTGGGTCGAAGAGGACTACACGGGCAAGTGCACGGTCTGGTACAGCGGAGTCACCGGCGGAGGTGTTTCGACCCCCAAGATTGGCGTCAAGGGCGCTACCTTCATCTCCAAGACTGGCAGCGAGCTCGACTTGAAGGTTCCTTTGATTGTCAAGGGCTTCTACGCTGGAAAGGAGCTCATCGTTCACTTCGTCGTTCACATTCTCAGCGACGCTGGTGAGACTTCTGTTCAGTACTTTTACGACCGTCCCACGGCTACTATCGGCGGTCAGACTGCTCCCGTGACCAGCTGGGACTTTGTCAACACCAAGTAAACGTTATCCTTTACAGCCAGTGGAGCTTCGAGAAGAGGCTGCGATACAAGCAAGTGCAGATATGCAGAGTGTCTTACATTAGTAAAGTACTTATCTATATTGTGTCCTTATGATCGGCGTCCGACTCTTGGGAAAGTGCGGAGACAAGAACCAATCTGCTTTAAGCCGATGTGAAACTTCAGTAGAGTAGTTCAATGCATCAACTTTCTGCACACCTCATCAAGCGAACCACTAACTTGGAACTCACGCTATACAATCACAATTGAATTATAGCTCGCTCGTCATTACAACCATAAGATGCATCTTCTAGCTAAAACTGGGTCTAGGGACCTTCCATCCATGTCCGTAGATGTCATTTGTGTAAGTCTTCCATCATTAAATGGATGAGACTACCTTTTGTGGCTTCAAGGGTCAACGGCACTCGACACACTTCCACCACCTCCAACAATTCATGAGCCTCTTCGACGTCCTTTTCCCCGGAATCTAGGCTTTAAATCAGAGGGCAAGGTCTCCTCCTTATGCTTCCTCTTCCAATGTAGCCTCACAAGATCTAGCCGGATAGCAACGTAGCCACAACCAGTGTATGAGCAGTCTATCTTCGGAACGTCTTTCTCATGTTCTTTCTGTCTGTGTTTCCAGAGCCCAGAGCTCGTGGTGAATGGCCTTTTGCAGCTTGAGCATTGATGTGCCTGCTCCGGATGGATCTCGCTGTTTTCGGTCGGTCAATCACATGGCCCGGGGCGATGGAAAGTTGGTACCCGGAACTTACCTCTGGTGTGTGAGCAATGGAGGATGCTCTTCTGTCATATCTGTGTTCGATTGAGTGGGCGCTTTTGTGCCTTGGGGATGGGCCCTGGTGGAACGGTGAATCAAACGAACGAAGTTTTCATGCCCATGGCCGGGCTCAATGATTTCCTATGTAGATGTCAGAGTAAGATATGTGCGAAAGCTTTGGACAGCAGGAGTAGTCTTACGCGAGAGATCGCAACCAAGTAGTCCTGGACATCTTCGAGAGTTCCCAGGCTCCCTAGAACAACAAAGCTCTTGGCCACTGACAACAGCGCCAGAAACACCGCGTTACTGGACCAGGACTTTTTCATCGGATCAAGAACCTCTTTTCGTAGTCTCTTTTCGGCTTTTGATCTCTGACTGGCGTATGCTGAGCCTCGCCTGCTACCGCGAACTGTTTTGCCGCAGCCTGAGAGTCGATAGAAGAAGTCGCCAATATCTTGCGAGAATGCGAGGACAGCTGAGACCATAGAGGCATATCCCGGATTGACACCCAGATTGCTGCTATCATGCTTGGTGTTTGCAAAGTCTATGTTGTCTCCTTCGACGTTCAAGCCAACGGAGGCGTCTTGTACTGCAGGCGGCAATGACGCAGGCATCGGGGGACTGCTGATAGGCAAGAGGGCCCGAGTAGGAAGATGTTCCAGTGAAAGGCCAGAAGGAGAGGTTTCCAAGTCTATCAGATCGACACCAGAAGCTGAAAAGGAATGACAGAAGTTCGATTCCAATCCTTCAGCTGGATAGTTGCTTCGTCCAAGATGAGATGGATCTTCTTGAAAGAAGGAAGCCGTATCTGTGGATTGCAAGTTCTCCAGCCACTCCAAGTCCAATCCTTGTGTAGGCCAACGGTCAAGTGTCAGGAATGAGGGCGATCCTTGAGATAATTCTTGTTCCCGCCAAGGAGGTGAAGATGGGTTTGGAAATTCTCCTGGAAAGCTGCCCTGGTGGCCTTCTTGTTGGGTGAACTGGGGGTAGGGCAGTTGTGGCCCGGGAATCATTCCTCCCATCGACGCATGTTGTTTTTGTCCTGATCGATGCGAGGCTTTGTCATCATGACCGCCCTCGCCTTCGTTAGTTATGGTCCGTGGATGATCTGAAGGCCACATCTCTAGGGCAAAGGAGGCGAAAGCGTTGCGATTATCGATATCCGGGATGCAGTCTCCCCATCTCTGCAGATCGACAAGGGGATTGGTCTCGACGATTCGGCCTCGTTGAAGCAAGATATTCGTGATCAGGTAAGAAACTGATGTGAAGGCGACGATTTCGGCGAGAGTGTCAGGGATGACAAAGTCAAGAGCATCTCGATGCGCCAAGATGCCCATCTTGCTCATGCCTCTAGCGTTCTCGTATATGCCTGGAAGCCCTCGCACACTTTCCGAGGATGAGCTGGAGGCTAGCGATTGAAGCCTTTCGTACTGGCTTTCCACTCCCTTCCGTAAACCGCGTAGGTTGGTCCATGCTTGTTGTATTTTATCCGTTGAGCTTTGTGTATGTCGAGGCTGGGCCGTCGAGTTGAAAGAGCTTCCCTGACTTCCAGAGCGGCGGCCAATATCATCGAGAACCAAATCCTTATCAAGTGTGCGTTGCTGTGGTTGTGGAGTGGCGTCAGGAGGATCCTGACTCTCTTTCAGCTTGTCGAGGTATGTGAGGCCTGCAAAAATTCCATCAATCTCAGCCTGGGCTCGTCGTTTTCTCTCGCTGGTATCAGGAGCGACAACACTAAGAGTGATAGGTCCGCCCTTGTCGTTAAGGAAGCGGCTCAGTCGTTCTCGGTGGAGGCTTGGGGCTTCAGGGTTCACCGCCTGGACATTGTGTCGACCCGCGTCCATATTCGAAGGCAAACCCGACGCCTTGAACGCGCGACTGAAGTTCGCGTTGCCTGGTTAAAGAAGTGGCTAGAAGAGCTGTTGGTGCCGAGCAGGTCTGGCTGGTCTGCTGCCTTCATGTTGCAGGCGATTGTCAAAGAGCCGTCTCCGCGGCCTTCATGGAAGTATAGTGACAGGGAAGGAGGTTCTACAATTCGGAATTGGCGGACTGTTCCTCCAAAGAACGCGTTCCGGCGGAGGACCCCTGGAAGTCTTAGTTGGGCATCACTGATTGTTGGTCCAATTTGGTCCTCAGCCATGTGGAAAAACGCTAACTAGTTCAGTACAGCTGCAGTGCCAGCCGCTCAACCCATCAATCGGAACGATCTTCGGCGCATCCGCCCTGAAGAGGGGTGTTAGAGCATCACGTGCTCCAAGTTGGATTCATCAGGCTTGGCTTTGTGCCATGTGGTGAACAGCAAAGTTTTGAGATATCATTCAGATTAATCAGATCCAGTATATTATGCCTTTCCTGCGCTGCCGCAAATGTCGATCCACCTTTCGGTTTCCTTCTGCAAGATATTCATGCCATCCTCCATCAATTGCGTCAGTGGCTTGCTGGCGTTCTCTCTGAGATGGGCGTTCCAGACCTCCAGGAGCAGCTTATTGACATTGAGCTTGATGGCGCCGTTGTCGATGCATTTCCTCATGATTTCTGGACTGAAGTCGTTGGTTCCATGCAGAGCCATGAGGACACGGTTGTTAATTTGCTTGTTGACATTTGTCAAGCGCTGGTAATCGAGTTGAGGGCCCTTGGGGCCGTAGTCTCCGTGGATGTTGCCGATGCTGGGTGCCAAGAGATCAATCTCGGCATCGATGAAGTCTTCGACCTCCTCAGGACTCGTGAATAGGGCTATTTGAGTTAGCGGATGAAGGACATGGGACCTGCTGAGCTGGTCTCTAGACTTACCTTCCAAGTCGCCAGTGTCTGCGATGCCGTCTTCTCCGCCATTGATGCGTCCACTTTCTGCCTCTACAGCGATGTTATGGTCGTGGCAGACCCTTGTCAAAACCTTGGTCTTGGCGAGATTCTCCTCGTGATCGTAGTGGCTCATGTCAACCATGATTGAGTCGAATGGCAAAGTTCCCACGATGTCGCGAATTTGCTGCTCATCTTGGGCGTGGTCGAGGTGTAGGGCAAGTGGGACCTTTGCCGATTTAATGGCTGCGGCGACGGCCCACGGTAGAGTTGGGAGCTGCTTCACGGTAAGAGGAAACAAGAGAATCAGCATGGGTGATTTCTTGACCTCTGCTGCGCGAACAACGGCAGTTAGGTGCTCAATGTTGTAGCTGAAGCAGGTCTTAGTCTCATCTTCTTCTGACTAGGTGTGATGGTAGCTGATGATACTTACATGACCACGGAGAGAACTCCATACTTGCCCTCAGTCGCAGCTTGGAGAATCTGCAGACTGCGGTTTTGCGACTTGCTTTCCGCCCAGGAAGACATTGTAAAGGTTGTGTGGACAATTCCGTGAACTCCAGAATGAATAAAGAGAGCAGGAGACTGATCAAACTCTGGAGATGAAGCTTGAAATGTTGATAATGACCACCTCTTATCGTCAGACTCAGTTGAGTTGTGTCATTGTGAACTCGGCGGAATGGCCGATGCCCCGCGTTCCATCCTGAGAACCCCGCGATCAGAGTTTCTGGGGTGGAACCAGGGAGTACGTACCTCGAGGCCGCCCCCCTCGAATTCCGGAGCTGAACTGAGAACACTGCGACTCTCGCTGCAATCTCAAGGCCAATGATGGAAACTTGGGGTTCTATTACCAGAAACATTCAGAATGTGAGACTTCCAGTTACTCTCGAGGAAAGCTCCCGTTGATATTAACTCGCGTCTGTCGCAGTTGAGGTCACGCTGAGCTAAATTGGTCGCTGCCTTGAAACCCCCGACAGAAGCCGACGTGAGCTGAACCCCGATCAACAGTGAGCTGGCGTACTCTTGCGGAACTTCCGTACCGTCGATACCTACTCGCAATCGTCATGGATATGTAGCGGAATTTGGCCGGCAGATGGAGAACACTGTTGAATATAATGCTTCCCTTCCATATATCAGGCTTGCCTACTCAGAAGAGATGACCCCGAGCGCTCATCATCCTCGTTGTTAATGGTCGCGAAAGCTCGGATACGCGGCACAGCACACTTCGGGGCCATTTTAGCGGGCGAAGCCGCCAAGTCCTGAGCTGACATTCGACTTATCCAACTCCCAAACAGACCGCCTCTGGGTGTGTCATCCAGCCTGGTGTGGATGGTTTATCTTACAGACCGTATGAGTCTGAGGCTCTCCTGAGACTTCTTAGCATTCTCAATCTCTTTGTGTCGCTTTCTCGACATGAGGGAGTGTTCACTAACGGGCGGGTCTCAGGGCTGAGGCCCCAAAACGTGTCTCAGCAAAAACCGCCGTTGCCTGTGGCCTTTATTGTCCAGGTGATGCTCGTAGCTGGCCACGAGGAGTTAGCGTAGGCTGATCCTTCTGCACACCACCCGCGCAACCTCCAATCCGATGTGACGGTCCTCTGAGGCTCGGTCCGCAGCTTGTCCTCGGGACTAGGGGAAATTGAGGCTGGCGAACGATCCAGCCTGCCACCGTCAGCAATAACTATGCAAGCCTGGCTGCAGGTCACGCAGACTCACAGGGTTTAGGTCGCCTTGGTGGCTGCATAAGCAAACAGGCGTCCGGTATGATGACTGCGTTGTCGACATTTGAAGACAAACAGAATGAGCTTGGCAATAATCTCATATTTCCTTAAGCAAGACTGTTTCCCAGGTCGCTCTTCGCAGAAAAGGTTTCATGTCATTTTCTCGGTAATCCAGACTGATGAGGCAATATGTCGGAGTACAAGGACTGGACGCGCGAGACTGAGAACGCGGTCCTTGACGAAGTCGCGGCCGCTCAGCGCGACAGCCCCGAGAGCACTGATCCGCCCCAGACAATCCCGCCCGGCCAGCCTTCGGAAGACACGCAAGTTGATAGAACCCAATCGCCTCCGCGGCCAAGTACTTCATCGCACTGGGAACCCCGGCCAGGTTTCGCGCACATCGACGGCGATGTCAACGGACGCGGGTACAATGAGACGTTGGTCGACATCGTCTGCGTGCCGTGTCCCGGAGCCGACCCGGTCGAGACCTGGGCCCGCGACCCACTGCCGGAGGGATACTTCGGACGGGCCGCCGATGTGCCGCCGACGGCTTTGAAAGAGCTCGCGGGAGCTAGTATCCTGTCGCCGACCATCAACCGGCATCTTCCCAAGGCGACGCATCTTTGGGTGAGGCAGGGGATCCGAAAGGAGGTCAGCGAGGCTCGCATGCTGCTTTACCGGCATCGCGAGTTGGTCGAGGGAGTCACGTTGGAAGATCTTGCGAATGATTTGATTGAGCAAGTTTGGAATACAAGATATGGCAATGTGAGTTCCTACACCGTTTCTTTCGTGTTTTCACGGGCTGACATGGCTTTAGCAACGGTCTCGTCCATTGTTCTTCATCGCTCATAGCATTGGCGGCTTAGTCGTTAAGCTGGCTCTTTTGAAAGCAATCAAGAGCGAACATTTCAAGCCATTCATGTATAACTGCCATGGAGTTACCTTTTTTGGTAAGTCTATTCTTTTTTTTCGCGACATTGAGATGACCTTTAGATACTTATACTATCGTAGCAACGCCGCATAAGGGCTCAAGCTACCTGTCAATGAATAACCTAGAGGACAGTATTCGCCAACTTCTTCGTCTTCAGCGACCACTTCCACGCTCAATATCCAACGATTTGAGATTAGGCCACAAGCCCCTCCTAAAGATGGACGAGGAATTCTCAACTATTGCAAGCGAGCTCAGGATCTGGTCTTTCTATGAGACCATCGACTCCCAGCTTTCGGGCTCTGGGTCAACGAGTAGAGGCTTAGCGAAGGAAGTTCGATTCGGTGCCCCCATTGCTTCCATCAAGTCATCATTACTAGGCGTGAGGCAAGAACGAGTGTTCTCTCTGGATAGCGAGCATGCAAACTGCGCATCGTTCGGTGAGGGAAACACAGAGACAATGAACACATATTTGCACGAGCTCTCGGCTGCGGTCCAGAAGGCGACGGATCTTAGTTCCCAGTACATACACACGCCATTGAATCTCAAGAGACACGTCAAAGTCGAGATAATTGGCTTCTATGAAGACCCAGACGCAGATATGGAGTCCGCCATTCGTCTGTACTTCACGAAGCTTCATTTACAAGAGTTTCTGGACAAAGGCCCCGAACGATGCCTGGAAGAGCGGTTGAGAAGATCCACATTTCGGCCGCGGTCCGATCCCAATCCGCCTCACCCAAGCCAGGAAGACTCACAACCCAGCTCTCATGGTCTAAGAATCATGGCTGGTTTCCAAGAGCTGGGGCAAAAGATATGGCGAGCTGGCTCAGACACTGGGAGTCGGCCCAAGAGCTCGGATTCAGAAAGCCAGGGCTCGCCCGGCATCGTCGTCACTCGCCCGTCCATGGCTGGGGGCTCTAATTCGATGTCTGTGGACGCTCTTCGTCGAATGCAAAGCCTCAAAGTGCCGGATTTATCTCCGCCTGGGTTCAATAGGCCATCCAGCCGAGCCAGCAACGCCGACAGCACACGGTCAGACCCAAAGGAACTGGAGCTATCGCCAAGGACGCCAGATCCCGAGCCTTTCGCGGCAACAGGCGTCGAGAACAGCTATTCGGAGCCACTTTCTAGACGGCAAGACCGATACTCGAGGGCTTCTGCCTTGGAGGACCTGACGGCTGGGTTCTCTAGACCGGATCCGACTGATAGAAAATTTATGTGGATTCATACTCCATTCACCAATCCCTCTTGGGTTAAGGTAAGATCGAGGGCGCAATTATCCCAGAGTCGTGCTAATGAACGTACTGCAGGATGTTTTTGGTCTTCTAGCCAACCCCAACGACCCAAGCTTCGTGAAACTCTTCAACCATGATAACTGGGCATCGAAGCATGTCATTGGAAGGCATTCTCAATCACAAGCGTCATTCGTCAAACCGGCCTGCAACATGATTCCTCTCAACTCAGGTAGGAGAATGAACAAATGACCTCGGTGCAACATAAGCTGATCATGTCAAAAGCCCCCTCACCTCATCCGTCACCCAACCTCTCGGGCCGTGTTAGTCCAGCTGGGCCTTCATCGGCGTATCTGTACATGTACCTTCCATTCCTGCACTTCGACACATACATCGACATAGTCCGCCGACGCAACTTCATCAAGCAACGCACGCAGCATGGCAGGTCTCGTCCTGTTCCGCGAGAGATTGCGCAGCTAGACTCCGCGGAGCTTCGAATGATCTGGGAGTACATAGGATATGACCCGCCGCTCAACTACCGCCGGACTCTAGATCAGTTTGCGTATCCTTCCTTGAGAGACACCTGGGCCCGCGATGATGATCAGATGCTTTATAAGCTGACCAAGGATCGTGCTTCCACTGGCGTTGACTTGGAACAGCTAGGGCTTCAGAGGAGACAGACCTCGGGGTCGACATGGAGCCCGATGAACAAGCTCACGCCTTCGAGCACGGGGTTGTTGGAGGAAGAGGTCAATACGGACGAAGAAGACCAAGATCTCGACGAGGTTGTCAAGGATGGCAAGGTTCTCATGGTTGATGAGCTTTGGCTGTGGGCCATCGACACCAGTAGGTCATCCCAGGTCGGTCTGTTGGAAGAAGCAAGTAGAGAACTGACAAAACATCGTAGAAACCTTGACCACGTTCTTCAATAGAAGGGAATCAAAGCCTAAAGAGGGACCCCTATTTCAGCAAGCAGATCTCAGAAACAGCGTATACAATGAGCTCAACGGCGATCTCACAGGCCGTTGTGAGAATGCACTGGACCTTGCAGCCTTCATTGTACTCCACGCCATCACCGTTCTACTTGACCGGGCTTCGCATCCCGACCTCGAGATCTTCAGAATCTTTGAAGAAGCAATCAGCATGCTCGTGAGTTACCTCCAGTCTCTATTCGAGTTCCCTAGCCTTGAGACTAACGGGTACAGACCGAGCGCATGACTTCCTCCTTGAAGCACTTCCGCATGCAGACGTTCAAAGATGTGGGGTTCGACTCGGACTCGGACAGCAATCGGCCGGAATCCATCAAGAAGCGCCACAAGCGGGAGCTGGAAGAAGCCGAACGAGAGAACCGCGAGAACACGTCGGCGCTGATGGAACTCCGGGATCTAGAGGACGAACTCAAGTCCCTCGAAAGGCTATTCGAAACCCAGGATGGTGTGGTCCGAAACATGAAGTCGATTTTTGAGGGAGAAGACCTCAAAAGTGTCACAAATAACGGACAGATGTACCTCGAAGAAGCGTTAGCCAAGCTCGATGAGTATAAGAGTCAGACGCTTGAGATGCTGAAAAGAGTTGACACGACAAGAAATGATGTGAGTGCTTTTCTGTTCAAGCTTACACCCTTGGGTCCAGAATGTCTACTAACGAATCAAAGTACGAGAAACTTCTGGAAATGGTCCAACGCAAGGCTCAAGTCGACGAAGTCCGGTGGTCTCGACTTCAAACCGAGCTAGCATCCTCGCAAAATCTCTCCGTCATGATCTTCACCACATTTACCGTCATTTTCCTCCCTCTGTCCTTCTTTACGAGCTTATTCGGTATGAACACAGTCGAATGGAGCGAACAACTCCCAACCATCGGCTTCGTCGGCGCTGTCTCACTACCCCTATCCGTTTTCATAATTGCAGCAGCACTCATCGCGGCGTTCAGCAGTCGTGTACAAGGATTCGTTCGAATGGGGTACAAGAGTGGTAAGAAAGTGGTGCTATTCATAGCATCTGGCATCGAGAAGGTTGTGCCACGAAAGAAGAGGGAGAAGAGACGTGTCAACAAGGTGGAACGGGAAGAGAGACGCACGAAGAGGAAAGATGGTGGATATGACTTCTGGGAGAATGTGAGGATGGAGAGAGCAAGCGTGTATCGGATTCCGGATGTAAATCGCAACAAAACGAAAGCATGATACCAACGAGCTTTCAGGGACAATTATTCAATCAATCATGTTGCTTATAATTATTTACAAGAACGTCTAAGAGCGTATAGCGCTGTTGCTTCCGAGGGTTGGGGCTAGTGATAGCAACATAGTTACTTCATCAGGTTAACGCGGGCAGCCCAGCGACGGACCTCCAACTTTGGGTATGCAGTAACCCTGAGTCACCGTCCCACCCGTGAATGTGCTAGCAGCATTCTTTTTCGAGGGTCCAAAGGTCGCCTTATTCGTCGCCTGAACGTTCGCCTTGGCCGAGGCGCACCTCAAGTTGAGATCGCTGCATTTATTCTCCGCAAGCTGGCACGATGGGAGACAACCGCACGCAATACTCCCTTGCGAATTATTTCCACAGGAAACTGGGATGTTCAACATCGGTGTCCCGCCATTGGGACATTGCGAAATCGCTTGCGGACTGGTGTCACACAGCTGAAACGTTACCATTTTTGTTGAAAAGACCTGCGCTGCCGGGAGTCCGTTGGTAGTCTCCGGATCATAGTCAACTGTGTACTCGATCGCCGTCTTGAGTGTGGACAGCGAAACGGGAGTGGCCTTTGGCGGCGCTTTCGGTGCCGCGCCGTTGCGAACGGTGTACCCCGTCGAGCCCTCCACGCACATGCTGTCATCTTCGAAGGCAGCGCGGGCAACGTCTCGCCAAAGAACAGTCATGTTATTCACGTTGTCGAGGGTGTAGTACAAGCGGCAGTCGGCCGCAGAGTAGCGGAACTAGAGCGGGGTGGAGACGTCGTCCGCGCGGAGCTGGTCCCGGAGATTGAAAGCCGCGCAGCTGACGTACATGCCTGACTCACGGACGTCGGGCAGTCTGGCTGCGGCAGTCTCGCTCTTGTCCCGGGCAAGGGCGAAGTCGTTGTCAAGGAAGTTGCCAGAGTATATGCGGGCTCCTCGAGTACCGCCCGCCGCTTGCATTGGGTCGGGCTTGGGGGCACCGCCCACGACGATGGTTCGGGCTTTGCCTTGGGTGGTGGCCAACTCGAGGAAGAGAGCACAAGCGGATGAACAGGCACCATCAGTGAGCTGTGAGACATGTCAGTATTGAGTTTCTATAGCGTAATGAGCTACACGGTTGATTCGACTTACAATGACGATATTTTCCGGCTTGAACGGTGGAGACTTGCCAACATCTTCGTTGTCGATGTAGCGGTTCATCAGCCAACCATCAAAAGCGGCCTGGTGGAAAAACGGGTTGGGTAGGTCATAGCGTTCCTGGAGAATATGTGAGCTGAGAGCCATCTGTATTATCATCGTTACGGGCCACCTACCACTAAGCTGAAGTCGTCGTCATTGTATTTTCGCGGGGCCTGATACTCCTCCCATGAGGTAAAGTTCTCGTTCGTCTCAGCATTCAACCGAGATGTAATAACCCATTCATCTGCCACCAATTCAACTTTCGCTTCAAATTCGGTGGAGTTACTGGTCGGAAGCCCCTCCCAGCTGGTCAAAGTGCGGAATGCTGAGCACACCGGTGGAGATGTCGTCGTTGAAGTACCCTGTCACAACACCACCGTTTCCAGTCGCGTCCAAGTTGTGCTGTTGTTTGTTGTTCTATTTAACGCCATGGCGGCAAGGGCGCAGCCGCCCTTGCGGCAGACCTCCCGGAGGGTATGTGGCGTGAAGGGTCGCAGGCTCTAGCTATATACTATATAGTACACGCCGTATCCTGACGTCCTCCAAATCTTGCTCGTGAGCTACTATGTGTTTTATCCATCCCTAGTTCCCACTGGTGCCCTAGTTCCGTTATAACCCTCTGGTTTCTTAATAGAGGTAGTTTGTCGTTTGGAGGATAGGTTATGACCTATCTCCTAGTACCGCGGGCAGGTCTTCTGGAAGAAGTCTGTCACGCAGAGGAAGGCCTGGAAGCCTTCAGAGTCAGTGATTAGCCCCTTGAAGTAGCGATCGAGGGACCCTATAGGTCCTACGGGCTCCTGGCGGCTGTAGGGGTAGAGGGTGGGCCACTGTTGCCTCCTCAGTAGGGTCTTTCGGCAGTAGACTAGATGGTCTGCCTCCTTAACCCACCCACAGGAGCAGGTGAGTAGTGCTTCTGTGTGGTTAAAGCGTTGGTGATATTGTTTAAAGTCCCCGTGGCCTGACCGTGCCGCGAGGAGGTGATGAAGGGCAGCCCTAGGGAGGCCAAGTTCAGGAGGGCAAGCAAGGGTAGCCTTGAGCCCTAGTTGGGTATAGCGGGGAGTTGCCTCTTGTTTCCACCATCGTCTATATTGGCGTCTTGGCCGCTCTTTAGCAAGCCACTTGATACCTGATAGAGTAGCTAGTTGGCCCCTAAGGACTGGTAGAGTTGTTCCCTCCTTAGCTAGGCTGTCTGCTTCTTCGTTTCCTTTAATACCTTGGTGCCCAGGAGACCAATGGGTTTGTATATCGTGTATCCTAGCTACCTCCTGGATCTCAAGGAAGGCCGCTTGTGAGGAGTCTGGGACCTTACCCCGAATCCCCTGAATAACGCTGGTATTGTCGATGCAGATGTGTATAGGCTGGCCTTGGGAGGTCTGAAGGGCCCGTCGGAGCCCAGCCCTCGCCCCCTCCGCCTCACCATCCAAGTTGTGCTGTACGACGTCCGGGTTGGCCGGGAATGCTTTCAGACTCTCATTGTAGAAGCTCCGGCGTTGTTGCTGCGGCTCTATGTCAATGGTGCCGCCTGACTGGTCGCCACCTCCAAACGCCGGCGGCAGCGGGACTTCACCATAGGATGCTGGCAGCAGTCCGAGGACGAAGTAGTTGTAGAAGTCGCCGCCGGTTCTCAGAGGACCGGTGAAATCAGGGTTGTTGTAGATTGCTACCCAGTAGGTCTCTTCGACGGCGTTTACGGTCAGGCTGGGATCTTCGTAGGTGAAGTTAAGCGCGTCTCCTGGGTAGAAGGTACCGCTGCCGGCGAAGATGTTCAACGCCCCCATGATATCCTGTACGGGGTTGCCCATGATCTGATTCCAGTCGGCATGGGGTTCAAGCATGTCAACTGAGTTCAGCGCAGCATAGCGGGTTAGGAAATCGACAATTGGTTCGTTATTAATGTGAGAAATAGCGGAGATCTTTGTTCCACTGTCTCAGTAATCGCGAACATGAGCTTGATATCGAAGTCAGTAAAAGTCACACATAGTCTCTGACTGCACGGAGTCACTCACTGTTGGTATTCCTTTCACAGGGAAGTTGGTTCGAACCGTAGGGTCCTGGGAGTGACAAAGTATTAATATTTTTGTATTGATTGATTCTGCGTAAGGAGTAGAAGGGAGATTCCAACCGGAGGTTGGGTGGGTAGTCGAGGTCTAAGTGTACCCCCTCGAGGTGGCCCATGCTCTGCCCCTACTCGCGGCCAAATTGGACTTCCAATCCGACACTTACATTCGAAGTATATTTTGGGGATCTCCTTGCCGTCGATTGATGCTGTGACGAGGGACCAAGGGCTCGAAAATGAGAAGGCTGAAAGAATTCCCGCAGCAAGATCGACGTGGGCGTCATGGACTGAGTAGACCAAAAGCTGCAGATCGGCTTCAAATTCGTACTGATTCTTGTAGGCACCTGAAGTTACGTTCGCCTTCAAAAGCTCCAAGCCTTGGTTGAGGTCAAACGCAGGTTGTTGATAGCCTTCAGGAGGATTCTTGAGATATGCCAGTGTGCTTTGGAACTGCATAGTCTCGTTGTAGTACTCGATGAAGCGAAGTGCCACGGCGTCGTTGAAAGGAACGCTAGTCAAGCATTCGTATACGTCTGAGGCCCAGAAAATTCGATATCCTGAAATATGGTCAGCATGAGAGGATAGACTTCACTGCAAGTTTTGATCTTACCTTCATTCACACTGTCGATGATGTCGCCACAGATCGATTGCGGCGGAACAGTCGCGTCAGCCGCATCTTGTCGTCGAGGCAAACTCTTTGGAGCCTCAGATGGGCGAGCAAGCACTGCACCTAAGCAGTGGCTCAGCAGCAATAAAGGGAGGTTGAACAACATTTTGACTTGAATTCAACCAGAAGGATCTTTATTCTTATTATTAGCTATTTTAGCTATGTATTCTATAATGGGAACCAGACGACGCTCGACTTGACTGAAAAGAAGCTATCAAACACAAACTTCAGGAATAACAACCGGAGCCGGCCGGCTAGACTCTTCTTATTCATCTCATTCCATCCATGAGGCAAAAAGCAAAGTATACACCTACGGGCTAACATTCGGCCCCCATGACCCTGCTAGGCAATCGTAAATCCAGAGCCTGGAGACCAGACTGCTGGGCTGCATCGTGGCTGCATATTGTGTGGCCCGATGTAACCAATGTGCCTCCAATGTGAATTCAAAGACTTGGAGCCCGTTTGATGAGCATGTAAGTCTGCGACAGGCTAGGCAACATCATTTCTCGACGTGAAGCGTGTAACAACCATGAACTCAGGATGATGCCAACGGGCCGCAGAACAGTGATCCAGAACAGACTTTTTCCTATAGAATTATTCCCTCTATCGCTCGAAAGCACCTTAAGTACGGCGTGAATTCTCCGTATCTGAAGACAAGCTTGCGAAGCGTACATGGAGAATCGAATAGTATCATGCGATGCGTCAACGGCTTGTGGCTGCGGCCCGTTGTTGTAGTTTGAGTGGGACCTGCTTCTAGGGCTAGGCTGCTCGTCAGACGATTATTGAACAAGACATGTGGCTTGTTTGGGTCCCGTAGGATTCACGGCTGAGATGTTAGTCAGCACCTAAGCATATTACTTTGATTAGTTAGGCAAGCAAGGGAAGGTGATTTTGCGTGAGATTCCAGCAACTTGGTGAGGCGCAGCCCCTGCAGCTGCATGAATAGCTCGATTTCCCCCTTCCACGACCCCGGTAGCATCAACACACGCGATTTTTACGAGCCACCAGGAACGGTAAGGCGATACGCCTGCTGATAGAGCCTCTCTAGGCAGCCACCAAATCTCTGCACCCGTTTCTTGATGACACAAGGCGCTTGTGGACCCGGCAGTGGGTGTGATGGTTCTGCTTACCACGTGCATACTCGAGCATGGCGTTCTTCTACAGGTGGAAGTGATTGACTTTCTTGAACGGGTGGCCCATCTGCGATTCATGCTAATCCGATATTTCTTTCCCGTTGAGGAGCCCTATCCGTAGTGTCCGGTGGCACGGTGAACGAAAGAAACTTATCCAACGTTTCTTGAATGTCGGAAGTCCGCCGGCTACGTTGAATATTTGAACTTTACTACTCTGTTGGGGCCAAGCTACAGACGTTGCGCCGTTTCGACCCTAAGTCTTTCCAATCCCAAAACGGAGACCCCAAAACATGGACACCGTTGAAGAAGAAGAGGCACACCATCCCGCGGTGAGGGAACTGTTCGAGAGTCGGTCAGAAATGCACCCCGCATTGAGCGAGTCGCACGAACCGGGCGCAAATATCTGGCAGCCACTGTGGGACTGGGTGTTCATGAACGACATCTTTCAATGCTGGCAACGGGATGACAACAAGTGGATGCTGCGCTGTGTCGGTAGACCAGGGTCAGGCAAGGTGCGTACAAGTCGTTTTTTGGTTTTACCTTTTCCCTGGCATTTTCCTTTGCATTTCTTTCCTTTGTTTTGCAGGTTGCAGTTTGCAGTTTGCATGAGGGTCATGGGCCTCGAGATCGTCCCATGGGTTGATCGGATGCCAAGACGCTGGTTGGCGATGCATCACGCTGATAGAATTCATGCGCTGATTACCTACTTGCTGACTTACAACTCGTCCCATTTCAGACGACCTTGTCTGCGCTGGTGACTAAGAGGCTGAGAGAACAATACCATTGGGAGAGGGAAGCGGTCGCCTCAGTCTTTGTGCGGGCGGACGTGGCCTCGGGCGGTACCGCCTTTGTGGAAGACGTTCTGACGAGTATATTCCACCAACTGTGCGTCAACCACACAGAGGTCGACGAGGACGAAGCGTACGTCGCAAAGTATCGACTTTACCTCGACGCTAGGAAGCACGGCCATCGCGACATCTTCCGGATCAAGCTTATGCGAGAGACGCTACAGTCACGACTTGGCATGCTCGATCACGCGTTCCTTGTCGTCGACGACTTTGACAGGTGTAGTCCGGCCGTCGACCTGTTCCTTGAGAATGAGCTGGCCATCTTGGCGAACGACTCAGAGCTCAAGGTGCTCATCACCTCCCGCGTCTCATGTCTGAAGACAATACCTACTTGGCAGTATTGCGATTCTTGCGAAGACAAGGCGACGAAGTTTCTTCATGTCTATTGGCGATGTGAGAATTGCAAAACGAGAAAGGTGAAACTGGATTCACACATCCTCTGCCAAGAATGCAGAGACAATGGCAAGACATGCATCAACTGGTGAGTTTACCATGGCCGTGCCAAACTAAACACTGTCTTTGCATACTTCACCCATTGTTATGTTGCTTTTTCACTTCATGAAATGAACCTTTTTCCATTGCGGGAAGACGTGCGTGTCTCGTCGAACCAAGTTGGAGTTGAGACTCTCGAGTCGAATAAGGCTGACATCCGAGGCGAATGCGAAGCGGAGACGCCGCAGACTTCGTCCAACCTTTTGATCATATTGAGCTTGAAGTCGACTTCGATTCCGCCATGGAATCGGCCGCACGATTCATCGATTGGGACCTGGAAACGGAGCACGGAGACCTTGGCCTGGGCAGCCGCAGCAACAGCAGCCGGGAGAACAACCCAGACGAGCTACCACCACTCTCCGCCTTTGGCAGACGGCTGGCTGACCCCCGAAACCATGAAGCCTTTGCCGACTTGCGAGACCAAATTAAAAATCAGGCCCGCGGTAACATCGGTCTAGCTCGTCTGCGACTGGACGGCCTGCACCCAACCCAATCCCTCGACGCCGTTGCTGTCCAGGCAGATAAACTGCCTGCGAATATCGTCTCGTTCTTTGACGCCGGCATTCGACGCATCGAGGAGCGACCGCCTGCACAACGAGACCTCGGCTTGAAGGCGATTGCCGCCGTCGCGCATTATGATTTTCTGGAAGGTGGTGTGGCGTATGAGATTGTAGAGAAAGTCCTTCATCGAGCTGCCAAGGCCTCCGCTCGAGCTTCCGCCAAGAGAGCAAATTCAACTCCGACGGTATCATCGTCAATGAGGTCTAACAAGACTTTGGCGGCAACCAAGAGGCCAGAAGCAACAACATGGGTTCATGTGCCTCATCGCAGCCTCGAAGAGATGTTGCACGCAACGCGTGGGTTCCTGGAGTTCGGCAACCAGGAACACCGGCCACTGCGGGCCTATTGTGAGGCCTTCCACACGTACGCGCAGGAAGACTACAATGAGTCGCTCGTATGGGCGCACGCGCAGCTCGACTTTGAAGGAGAGGGCTTGGCGGAGTTCGGCAACAAAGGGATGAGGCGCTCGCGGACGGGCGTCGCGCATTTTGTGGAGAAGAGGGACCAAGCGATGACGCCGGGACCTTTGCATCAGGAACCACCACCAATCTGGACTGATAGAGAGATGGGTGAAGGAAGAGGAGGGGGAGCTAGTCTTGTTGGTGGTGGCTCGGGTGCGAGCCGTGGTAACGCTCCAGATGCTACCGTTACTGCCGCCGCCGCTTCTGACGGCTCGGGAGCGCATGGGGAGACCCCGTTTCGTTCTGCTGCGGCTATGGCTGCTGCTAAGCGGAAAATGGTCAAGGCCTCCGACTTTGAGCGTGACCAGACCTTCAAAATGGCAAGTAGAGGTACGAGCTGGGCCTGATTCAGACACAGATACGTTCGACGTTTACCTTAATCGATGTCTGGTGTGACTCCATACGGGGACTGGGGTTTCGGTTCGGGAGTGACATACCGCAAACGTTGGTCCATGTTACCCGATTAGGGCAGCGAAGAGAAACACGTTGGGAGGCTTGGAGGGCGACAGCGTTTGACGTACGTATGGACACGTTTCCGACAGGGACGGCGAAATTCGAATACAGCGCCCAGAAGAGAAAAGCTTGAGCACGTGTCAGGTTCGTTCAATCAAGAGTGAAGGCCACTGACTGGTGGTGGACCGCGGGGAAAAGATAAGTGAGAGATTGCGAGAGACAGATGAGTGAGAAGAATGATGTCTTGTTTGAGGGCTGGGCTGGGCTGACAAGGCGTTGAAGGTTCGCCTAGGAGCTGGTATCGTCCCTGTTGATTCCCTGTCTTCGTAGACGATCCTTCGAAATCGAAGACCCAACAGTCTGTCTGTTCCCAGAGATGTCATCCAACTACCCCCCCCTGTAACATGCCAGTTTGAGCAAGTTGAGGGGTGCAACTTCGTTCCGAAACCAGCCCTACCTGTGGTTTTCTACCTATGGTGCCGTAGGTGCCTTGGTGTGGCCCATTTCTGTCGGCCCAGGATCTTTCCGTAGGAGCGCTTGGGTATTCCCCTCCAAAAAATCTGATGTGCCTGTGTGTAAGTGTGTGGTTGGTGTGTCGCGATGTATGTACCTACGTCGTGGAAGAAGAGTATTATGTGCGGTCCTCGTCTCTGCCCACCCACGAGAGTTGCAGGTCCACGTGCGCCAAGCAACAAACAGGTTTCAAGATTATGTATCGAAACAAACTCCTCGAGAGTATAATAGTTCGTCCCGGTCGCCCCAACCATGTCACTGTAGCTCTTGTATTTCGTGCCAAGTTGATCTGTTTCGTTTTGACCCGCCTACTTTAATTCGCTTCCCCTGTCTATCGTTCACCTCTTTTTCTTCGTGTAAATTATTGGATATTCAACACACCTTTTCCGACTCTGAAGGATATTTCTCTGTACAACTTTGAACTTGGTGGTACGCAAAAAGAACTCGTCAACATGCAGCTCTCCACAACTCTCGCGGCCGCCGCGGTGATGCTCGCCGGCTTCTCGGCATCGGCCCCACTCGAACGCCGGGCCTTCAGTGCCGAACTCCCGATCAGCCCGGAGCAGATCAAAGTCGTGGAGGAAACAGCGCGAGGATCGCTCCCCAACTCTGCACCGCCGCCCAAGTTGGAGCCAAGCAGTTTGACGGCTTTCCAGCTCATTCAGTTCAACGAACAATTCGAGGTCGCCTTCTTCTCATCCATGCTGGAAAACGTCACCAATGGAGGACCTGGTTGGGAAACGACCGAGAAAGATAAGATGGTCGACGCGCTGAAGGTTATCGTTGCTGTAAGTTTCTCTCACCTTCGGTCAGCGAAGTAGCAAAAAGAAGGTTGTCATCGGGATTCGTGAACCTGGCACTGACAGCTATGACAGCAAGAAAAGCTCCATGCGCTCGACGCTAAAGGTGTCTTGGACCACTTCAATGCTTTTTCACCGCCGCCTTGCAAGTATCAGTTCCCGACCAACGACTTGAAATCGGCCGTGGCCCTCGCCGAAACCTTTACCTCTGTTGTTCTCGGCACTCTGCAAGATGCGAACCAGCTTTTGGCAAAGAATGGCGACGCCGGTCCCGTCCGAGCCGTTAGTGCCGTCATCGGCCAAGAGGGTGAGCAGAATGGATTCTATCGCAGCATCCTCTCGCGCCCGCCGTCGTCGCAGCCCTTCCTCACGACTTCTATCGCGCCATTTGCCTTCTCTGCGCTGCAATCTTTCGTTGTCAAGGACTCTTGCCCGTTCAAGATGAACCAGATCGACATTCCCCTCTTTGCTCCGTTGAATGTCATGCAAATGGCAGGAGGAGAGATCGAGGCCAAGAACCAAATGCTCAACTTTGAAGTCGACTTGCGGGAAATCGTCACGGCCGGCCGCTTCCTCGGCAAGGACAAGGCACCTTTGTTCGTCACCTACCTTAGCGGACTCAACGTTCCTCTGAGCGTGCCTGTCTCCAACCCGCAGTGGGACGGCGCGAGGATCGCCTTCCAAGCCGAGTTCCCCTTCGATAAGAAAAGCATGTTCGGTCTGTCTATCGCTGCACTTACGTACGAGGGCAAGTTCACCAACCCCGACGACATTCCGAAGGCGACCCTGGCAGGTCCCGGATTGATCCAGGTTAACAAATGAGAGGGTGCAACCTTTAGGATTGTAATTGTACAAATGGTGTGGCATGTTGGCAAGCGTCGTGTAGAAGATCTGGAAGATATCCCAAGCCAAGGCGTTTCTGGCGTTCAAATAATACAGCATAGACTAGCAATTTCACTTCTAAGCGTCTATTCAAGTTCGCATTTCATGAATGTGCGTTGACTATCCGCTTCTCTACGTCCCAACAACAAAACAATCAGCAAGGCTAAAGTAGCACAACACAACCTCACATCTCCTACTTTGAGTCAATGACGCACTTACAATAAGATCTCGTGCAATGGCAGTCTTTTTTGGGGCCTAACGGTGTTGCTTGACAATTCGCCAAGTCAAACAACGACTTGTCCGTCTTGTCTGCACCCCTCAATCCTAATCTAAGCTGATAGCGTCATGACAATAGCTATCACTTGTGAGCTCCACTATCAAGCACCTCTAATGACCGTACCTGCTTCTTCTCGGCTTCTTCAGATAAGAACGGGAAGTCTCGTATACCAGCCGATGACGCTAGTATGAAGTGTTGGAGAACATCAGACGATGAGTCCCTTACCGAGCACAGAATGGCCTTCCGACCTCTCGACGCCAGAGGGGGGAAAATCCCCGGCCCGATTGGGAAATCCTTCGCAACTACTTGGGCCATTTCCCATTGGCAACGAATACTAGCAGCTTCAAATCTCAAGCAACTAATCAGTGCGGGAAACCCCGTGTATGTCATTGTTCTCACATCTCTGTTCAGCAGGGTAGACGTCGCGCATGTGGTGTAGATCACTCCGAGGCAGACATGATCTCAACGATCCATTAAGACAATCACTAAGATCGCCAGAAACTTGTGTGTGCACCCAACGGCAACGAGAGACAGAACGCGATAGCGATTCCTTGTCGTGCCCCCCTTCTGTCCTCGGGGCCGTGACCCTGTGCACAGAGGAGGCCCTGTCACACGCTTCGTCTCAGACCACTGCCAACACTTCGGATTCAAGGGTTGCCCTTTTGACAGTTCGGACGTTTGCCTATCGTGTTGCAGTCGATGCAGTGCCACGACACAGGATAGCCCGGCACGGCTGGCGGATAAGCTCACCAGGGGTTCGGTACACCATGGTCCCGAACAGGAAAATCCGACTTGTGGGTTGCGCTCAAATACCCCAGAAGCTTAGATCTGTGACGAAAGGACTAGAATTTGCTGATCGGACTGCATGACTGACGGCAGTTTTCCCGACGTAGGTATGTCGGCTGATCAGTTGGCAGTTACTGTTGTTGGTCTCCATTCCGTCACTATCCGGGGCCGCTCCCAGCCCGCCGGTGTGCTCAGCCAACCATCTGTCACGGAATGCGAGGAAGAGGAATTGGAATGATTGATCATCGGGTGATTTATCAGTTGGAAGTTGAGAAGGAGGAGGGGAAGAACCGATGCGATCGCCGAAAGAGTAAACAAGGTGGGGGTGGTCGACTTTAGCCTCGGGTCGATGGCAGGCTGAAGAAACATGTGTCCCTTACTGAGTTGCCGAATCCCGGGATCAATGAGTGAACGCTCTCCAATGGTCAAGATTCCGAATATCCAATCCGGAGTAAGTTCCTGTCTGGAGGGTGTCCAAGGAAGCTTCGATCAACCGACGGGCCATGGAACGGCGATTCGTGACTTACCCCTGGGCCGAGTCATTCTTCCCGGAACTCCACGTCGGAGCGTTACCTCGCAACAGCGGTCAAATCTGCTTGGCAGTAAGCTTATTTGCTCTCAAGTGGGGGACTTGCAATGACTAAGGAACTCTGGCTTCTTTTTCTCGCGGTCTAGGCCGGCAGATCACTGCTTGTTTCCGATAACTCAGGGATAGAGCAAAGCCAGTAGTCGGTCATAGTTGTGAGATTGGTTTCGTTTTGTGACAGAGGCACGTGAGGCTCCAGCTCTGTCGGCGACTGTGCGGCTGGAATTTTTGGTTCCATAGAATGTGTGGTATGCCAGAAGAAACAATGGCTAGTTATGAATCTATCTGCTTGCAATCCTATTCGTCAGGGTAGTCCCAACGATGCGCCGTTGTATTCGGGTTACATATCAAGTCAGTACTTATGCTGTCAAATAGGGATGTGACGCAGGGTGGAAGCTTGAGTTTTTTTATTGAAAGTAGGTTCAGTCAACAATCACCTAATTCACAGCATCTACTCAATTATTACCGACTTGAAGTCTATCAACCAATGATCCTTGCATTTCTGGCATGGCTCACAAGGCAGAAACTTTGCCCCCGCGATCTGGGGTTTATCGAACGCTGCCTCTCTTTTAGCCCAAGACATACACAGTTAGGGATTTCAAAGTGCTACGAGTACACGGAAATGGAGATATCATTGACCTTGTAGCACCGGATATCCGGCCTATGTTGCTACGTGTAGTATTGGTGTCTTTCTTAGTTACCGAGGTGAGCCATGGCGTTCCAAAGGCATCCACTGGATGAAATTTGTGATTACTTTCTCAGGGAAAAGCTGAAAGTAGACATATTATCTTGCTTAGGCGTTCAAACTCTTGCAGCCCTAGACCCCTTGTCACGTTGGCTTCAGACAATACTGCGCTATCGGGTCAGAGGTGTAATGGAAAGTTGAACGCAGTATTCTCTGAGAACAAGACTATATAAAATTAGTCACACAACGTTTGTCGAATGGTGTCTCCGTAACAGGCCTGATCACGATTGCCTTTGATGCAGTATTGGTATTCGGAGAGCACGGAACACTGGGTTGGCTGCAACGGAATCAATGATAGCAGGAAGTCAACAGTAGAACTCTACCAACAGAAACAAGGCTCCCCCGATAATGACAGAATACCAAGATCATACAGACAATTTCTAAAGGCCGAAGAGGGCATCTATTCTTGCGGCTGAAGCAGGCTTCAAACGAATGGACAAGTAAACGCATAGTGGTTTCGATCCCAGTGCGGTATATTTCAAAACGGCAGCGGTACATGTGGATTGACCTTTGGGCCGCGTACCGTATCTGGGGACAATACATTGTGTTCGATGCCCTTTGTAAGATAATTTTCAGCTTCCAGCAAAATCAGTTGTGGTGAAGAACAGCCAGCAAGATGTTCTGTGATGGTTAGCAGATTATTACTTCACACTACTGCTTCAAGTCCATACTATGGAAGCTTTGCATGTCCCAGTTGATCCTATTGAAAGTGCCATCTAGAAGTCCCGGAGTCCGGGACGCATTATTGAAGAAGGCCCCAAACATTTCTACTTCAGATCAACCTTCAAATCATAGTGATTTGGGTCAATCCTTGATCACTCTCGTGGGCTGACAAGATAGCGTCTATGACATCTTGGGTTTTTTTACCATAGCCTCTCTTCCCTCCAAGTTTCAACCACCCGATCCTGCGATACAAGTTTCCGAGATCGCCAGATCTCTTGAGAATAAGACAAGTAACGTCATTCGTTTTACCAGTCTGGCCTCTTTCAACATCCCTCCATGAAACCTCCTGATTTCTCACGGGCAGAATGACGTCTCGCCGCTTTTATTCAGACTGTCTTCAACTGCGTTAAAGTAAGGCCACGTCGTGAATGGAGGAAATACTTTGTCTGTAGGGTCAAAATGAATACACCCATTCTCTGCAGGTGAAGATTTCCGCTTATAGGTAGTAGAGTACACCTTCGGCCGTACCGTTATGCTACCACCGGTTATATTGACCATGTCGTCTCCCTCATTTGTCGTTATCACACTTGCGTCAATAACCTCAGCTAGAAAGTGATTCCCATGACCAGGCAATATTGTCTGTACTGGCCCATCAATAGATACCCAAGACCAAGATGGAGCTCTGTATTTACTCGTGATCCTCGACTTTGGCATCCATGCATACCAATCTAGCTGGTATAGAAGACGTGAGCGCCACAAGCAGGCAAGATAAGTGTCACCTGTGACCTGCCGAAAGAGCTTGGCAATCCCCCCAAGGGCGTAGAGCTTATACTCTATTACCGTGAATTGGCATTGCGAGTAGGTAGTGACGATATCGATCCAAAGATCCAAGGCATCAAAGGACATGAGGCCATTGATCTTGAGCTCATCATCCTTTTCTTGCGACGAAAGGAGGCGCTTGATGCTCTTCGAGGATTTATGAAGTGGGACTCCTTGAGGAAACCCCTCACACCTGTGTTCCTCCAAGCACTCCCACATGATTTGACTTTTTGTAAAGTAAATCTGCCGTGGTGACAAGAAACGCTCCTGGAACACCCATCCCCTGCTGTGCAGAGCACCATCCTGAAGGTGGCGGTCCCAGTATCCTTTATCAAGTATGTAAAATTTCCTAGACTCTTGAGAAGCAAGTGTCGGATTGGAAGCCCAATTCGACCGTGAGTAAGGGTAGAGCAGGGGCCACCTCGAGAGGGTACAATTACACCTTGACGGTCCACCCAACCTCCGGTTGGAATCTCCCTTCTACTCCTTATGTAGAATCAATCAATACAGAGATATTGATACTTCGTCACCCCCAGGACCCTACGGTTCGAACCAACTTCCCTGTGATAGGGATACCAACAGCAAGCTTTGACGTGACGATACCTGGCCGAATGTCCCTTGCTACACGAGATCGAAATAATCCACCGTCGGGGCTGTTCGAAGCGGAGGCTGCAATATTGCAAGCTGCATTGGCATAGACATCTCTCATCGTGAGCGCTTCCTTTTCCCAGTCACTCCGGGAGTTTTTAATAATGCATAGACAGTCTATCCAAAGATACCGAATACCGAGATGATGTGCAACTATAACCAAATCTTGGAAAGTTTGTGGTAGTTCCACAATGGGACTCCCACGACAGAGTAGTTCTAAATTGTGTGTTGACAAAAGCAACTTTTGAGGCTCAATGCCTCACCGGTAGCTCAAGGTCAAATACCGAGGGGAAAATTGACAGTACTTCGGATCTAGATCATCTGACGTGATGACTAGTTTCCAGGTTGTCTCCCCCTTGGAACCAATATCGACGAGGCGGGTTGGCAGCCAATGGAGGACTGAGGTAGGCAGGCGCTTGCATTGATCATGGCCAAGAGAACACGCTTGAAACCAAGAATGAGCAAGTTCAAGAGTTCTTGCTGAACCGGTGCTTCCTTCGATCTTATCAATGGAGAAAAGATATTCGTATTCACTCTCTATTAATACTGTTAGCCAAGGCTTTGTCTTTGACTTTGCCGGATGAAAAGAAATGCCCTTCTGTGGCAAAACATACCTGACGAAGGAATCATCTTGATTCGGAAATCTGTAATACGTTCGCTATGAATTGAGGTAGGATCTCGGTAGATAATATTCACTCTGATCTGGTGGAGTTTGCCCTTGTAATAGTCACTGTCGACCTTGAACGACAATGGCCGCCATAATTGAGTATTTAAGGTCTCCCATCCTTTCCTTTGCAGCTCACTCAAGTTCCACAATTTTGAGCAGATGAAGCAGTCGCCCGACGCTGCCTTTCGAAAACCGTCAAGACTTTGGTCTTGTGGCGTGATGCAACGATTGGAAGCAGAGTCGCTTGACGTTGGCTGAACTACTTGTGTGCAAACAGTGCACAGAAAGACCATTTCCGTAGACATCTTGGAGTTAGAATCAGTTGAATGTTCTGTCGTTAGATGATACGAAGAAAATTGAGAGTTCACATTCATGTTCTATAAGATCTAGTGAAGGGAATTCGTTTCTCGTCAGGCTGCAGGTCAACGAATTTGAGAGAAGCTGACCCCGCTTCCAACATGAATTCATCACATGACTAGATCTCATGTGCTCATCCTCCGATTGGAGTTGTGACGTGCATTAATCCAGGTCAAGTCTATCTGCGAGGACAAGATGATATGCAATCTACCTTACTTACAACCCTTCTCGCGGTTGCGTCTCGATTGAAGCATGCGCAGATGCGTGAGGGTTGAGCCAATGTCGCCAACCAAACTCATACTTCGATATAGCCCCTAGCTCAGTAACGGACCGCGGGGTTTAAAGTCTCCAAACCAATACAAATACGGATTTAAAGAGAAACGCTCCGCAGTTGCTGACATACAATCCGTATCTTATTTGCAAGAATGAAGATAGAGTATCCGTAAGCACAATACAGAACTGATTGATTAATGATTACCATATGCCGGTCCCGTGGGGCAAGCTTTGGACAAGGTTGGCCCTGCCAGCGGCGCGCGCGGGCTGCGAGACACCCGCCTCAATACGGCCCAGCCATTCGGCTCTCTCGTCCGAACGGGGCACTAGCATAGCGGGAGAAGAAACCTTGTCAATCTGTCAGGGCCTGCCACCGCACCTAGGGCTAATTGTTTTGGTGTTGTTCCAGTGGGTGGCATTTGTTGGTACGGCTCCTCTTGGTTGCTGCAGTGCCCGGGTCGCTCACACTGAACTGAAGGTTGTTGGTTCCGGGGCGACAACAGTGCCTTTTCTATTCAGCGGCTGAAGGAGAAAGTTTCAGGAACGGCCAGACACATCATTGGCGTTGGAACGCATCTGCCGTTGTCCCATGTTCAGAGGAATGTTCGAGGGTTGGTTAAGATTAGGAAAGCTTGGAGCATTCTCAGTGCTAGGAACTCAGACTTGCGTGCTGAAAAAATATTTCTGGGGCCAATTTTTCCTGCTGATAGCGGATCTCCCTCAGGCTTCAGGGGAGTTTAGACTTTAGACTCATCGGACAATCGCTAGGATCAAAACCTCAGCTTAAGCCCCATCAGGCAGTTGGATCCATGCGAAAAGTCCCTTGTTTCTCGCCTCCTGGATCTCCCAGAAGAGCAGAGATGTCATCTCGGGCTGTCCGTTTTCGAGATGGCAGGGTTGCCGGCCTGACTCTTAGCCCTGGAACCCCTGAAGCGCATGAATCGTCAATCGCGGCTGTGGTGGAACACTGTTACGGATTCTACCGAGTGCTTGATATTTTTGGCGCATTGTCGCCGGAAGCGCTCTTGATTTACTCAATTCTTAGGCAAGCACTTCTTGGACAGCATCTGTTGTTGTGGAAATGTGCTTTGAGAGTGGCCAGTTCTTGGGGTCTTATACCGCCCATCAAGATCTTGCGTGTCTCAGTTTGCGTGTACAAAATTTCCCTTGAATACCACGGCCTCTTGGAGACGCCTCGGCGTGTCCAGTGGGGGCGCGATATCGACCGACGACATGGCTCCCTCGGTGCAACCGGCCGGCAACAGGCCTGTTGTTTGACGTTCAGGAATTTAGAAGTTAGACTAAGTGGGCTGGATTTGGTCTCCATCTTGGGGTTGTACCCACATTCACCCGGAGAGCTTTAAAGATGTCGCTCCCTGCAGTGTCCTTCGACATTAACCTTGCATTTCTCTGTTCGAGGTGTCTTGTGGTCATTGTCAACTACCGCAGATGCCTTCGCAGGCATTCACTCTCACGTGCACGTGAAGATTGCCTCAACAATTCGTAGGCCAGGCCTCCAAACGGCTCTTACGATGCCTTACCCCTTCAGAAGGGCACAGAGTATGTCGTCCAACATCGGAGTGCCATTTGGAAATCCGTTGCTAACCTCAAGGCAATCCAGCGTTGCCGACTCTGTCAGCCCAAGATGAACTGGAAAACGCCTCGATTCTCCGCAACGATGCCGATAACGGTCACTTTCGCGGCCTGCCTGCAAGCCGACAGTCCAAGATGAAGGTGCTTATGAAGGTTCTCTCACGATGGGCAATCACGATGGTCATCATCATCTCGATCTACGTCGTCATTTGGGCATATTCCAACAAGACGGTTATGACACAAACTACGAAGCGACAGTATAACGCCCTCATCACCGGTCTCTCAATTGCGCTGGGTCTCGCGGTAGCGAGCAGTCTCAACCACATGGTGGCCGAGCTGAGATGGTGGATCTTGAGCCGTCGATACAGGTCGAAGAGGAAGGTGGAATTGATATTGCAAGCCGACAACCTGAAGCACACCATTGCGTTGGCGGCGAGGTCAAAACGATGGTCAATTCATCTTGCTGCTGTTGGATGGCTCATCTTGACGATTGTAAGAGAGCACCAGGCGTCCGATGTGGTGACTTTGCTAACCTGGCCGTGCAGGGCTCTCAAATAGGTCTCGCAGCCATTGGTCTCTGCTACTCGACAGATACAGCCGACAAACGAGCTCTCCTAGTCCCAGGCAACGTCTCTATAGCCAACATGGCATCTATCGAAACGGAACGAGTCGTCAAGTCCAAGACCCAAGCCTTAGGTGCTTTGCAGTACACAGCGAACAGGTCGGTCCCTTCCGCGTTTCTAACGTACCTCATACCGGTGATCTAGCAGCTAACAATCTTCAAGCTACGGAACAATTTCTCTAGCTTACAACACGGCGGATATATCAGCAGCCCCGCCGGCCAGAGCGATCCACGTCCCAAGCGATCCCCTCATGTTCTGCACAGATACGCTGTGCAAATACGTCTTTTACGAAACCTCCACCGCGTCCATCAAGGATCCTGACGCCAACCCAGTCACCGTCGCAACAGACCGGAGCGTCAACGCCACGACTAAATGCACAGCTTGGCCCGTTATAGGCGGCGGCAACGGCACATCTACGAACGTAACGGTAGCACTCGAAAACAACCAGTCATGGGACATCTTCATCCCGAATCGAGGCGGAACCGACCAGACGACTTTCATGACCTACAGCCAATTCGATTGCGGCGAAGGATGCTCCATGGTCATGGCATTCGAGGCATCGGATACCTCACCTTGGTACTACAGCTGCAATGTCACTATGGGTCAAGTCGTGAACGCTACACGTGCCGAGCACCATATCGGTTCCAACCTCACGTCTCTCGCCTCGGCCAGTATCGCACTCCAGGGATACGCCGCTTCGTCTTTTGTCAACGACACCAACTTTCAGTACCAGATGTATCCTTCCGAGTCGGTGTTCGGCACGCCTATGAACGGTACTACCGCGGACATGGAGGCAATGCTGTCGCGGTTTGCTATCGGGGTGGTCGCAATCACCGCCGACAGCAACACAGATCTCGTTATCGAGGGGACCATGCCCATGAAAGGCACGAAGCTCAATGTCTCGCACTGGGGGCTGATCAACATGATATTGATCCTCACGGCGACTCTCCAGCTCATTCTCGGCATCGCGGCTGCATTGGTGGCTAACCGGGTGGTAGTGCCTGATGGCGGTGCGGTGGAGATGGCGCAGGTGATGAGGACGATGGCGATTCGGGATCGCACGACGACTGAACCCAGTGAGAAGGGTTCCACTGGTGAACCACGGTACAAGTCATTATGGATATATCGGGATACGCTGTTGTCCAAGGAAGGAGGGCTGTATGATCTGCATATGGAAGAGCAGCGTTATCATGCGAGGAGTGAGTCTGGAATGATTGAGATGAGCCAGCAACGGCCAGGGACGGGCCGTGAGTCTACTGCACCGTCAACGCCGACGAAATGATAGATGGTGGTTTCTTGCTAGTAATAAAGGGAGGTTGATTCATCTCTGTCACCCGTTCGTCAAGGTATCGTCAGCCTGAAGAGTGCTCTGAATTATCCAGATTTATGCAGCAGATGAAATGCCATCGGCACTTTTGTGCAACACGATCAGCCGAAGCACGGCCAACATCGGCCTAAGCCGGCTCGGTGTGGGACCGGAGGTTTTGAAGGATCCATTCGATTCCGATCCCGGAGTACCCGGCGTTCACGGTGGCAGACACGGACACGCGGAGTAGCCCCGAAAATGAGACATTTTGCGCATGATTTATTACGCATCCAAAGCATTTTTTGTGGGTAGAACCGCAGCGCGCCCTATGACGCGCCTTGGATGGATAATCCTGTTGGGAAACCCTTTGACGAATTGCGGCTGCGTGTTCAGGTCCGTTTGATTTCTTGGGGCAGAATTGAGCCTACGAGACCACTTTTGTGATACATTCTAGCAGTAAGAGGATCGTCACTCGAATGGATTGGCTCAGTAGTGATTGGGCAATCGCTGGATCAGGCCACTGCTTCTTAACTATGCTCCGGTTTATTTTATGAGCGCCCGTTTTTCGGCGCCAGTTCAAGGTCACTCACGATGAATGAAGAATGACGCAGTTGGCCTGGTCGGCAAGCCGGAAGCCAGGCCGAAATGCATGATTAGCTTCGACCAAGTGAGGGGATTATGCAAAGGTCTAAGCGATCAGGAAGTTTACCCCTCCCGACGAGGGATATATCACCCTGATGTCTCCCGGCTTTTCAATACCTTGCCTTCCAAGACATTCACCAATTGATATTCACATTCTCGTCAACCAGTACACCAACCACACAATAAACCAAGACCTGGTACGACGCTCGCGTCAAAGAGGCCATGGCATCTATCGCAATGGAAACATCTACAGATCGAGGTAAAGTAGGAGAAGAACGCATCCGGGTGTTCAACTCATCTACCGTGCCCGACACCAAAGGCCCTCTTGATATCTTTCATCGATTGAGAGTCGCACTCGGGTGGATTCGGGCACAGGAAATGAGTTGATCTGAGAAATACCGGTGAACTTGATCTGGATAATACCAGCGAAAGGACATGCTTCTTTGGCAACCCCTGCCCCAATGCACGAGTGATGAGAACCTGAGTGTACTAACCCGTACAGCATCACGCTTGATCTGTCAAAATGTCGACTGATAAGATCACCTTCCTCACCAACTGGTTAGGATTGCCCTGCGCGCGATGACTGTTACGAATGTTAGTTGACGAAGTCGTCAGGCACGCTACGCCCTACCACGCTCCGCTGTACCTGGCTCAGGCCAAGGGATACTTCAAAGACGAAGGCATCAAGGTCGCTCTTCTTGAGCCCAACGACCCTAGCGTATGAACCTCCCGACTACATGAGTACTTCGAGTTCCCGCTGACCCGATCGTAGGATGTTACCGAGATCATCGGCACCGGCAAAGTCGACCTCGGCTTCAAGGCCATGATTCACACTCTTGCCGTGGGCTTTACCTATTCTGTATCACTGGTATCAAGCTAACCCCATCCACAGGCCAAGGCTCGCGACTTCCCCGTTCTCTCCATCGGCAGTCTCCTCGACGAGCCCTTCACCGGCGTTGTCTACCTCAAGGACTCGGGCATAACCACCGACTTCCGCTCCCTCAAGGGCAAGCGCATCGGTTACGTCGGCGAGTTCGGCAAGATCCAGATTGATGAGCTGACCTCGCACTACGGCATGACGCCCGACGAGTACACCGCCGTGCGCTGCGGCATGAACGTCTCCAAGGCCATCATCGAAGGCACCATTGACGCCGGCATCGGTCTGGAGAACGTCCAGATGGTTGAGCTGGAGGAGTGGCTTGCCGCTCAGGGCCGCCCCAAGACGGACGTGCAGATGCTTCGCATCGACGAGCTCGCCGAGCTGGGGTGCTGCTGCTTCTGCACCATCTTGTATATCGGCAACGAATCCTTCATCGCCGAGAACCCGGACAAGGTGCGCAAGTTCATGAGGGCCGTCAAGAAGGCGACGGACTTTGTGCTGGAGGACCCGGAGCAGGCTTGGAAGGAGTATGTTGACTTCAAGCCTGTTATGGGCTCCGACCTGAACCGCAAGATCTTTGAGCGCAGCTTTGCCTACTTCTCGCACGATTTGAAGAATGTCCAGCGCGACTGGACCAAGGTTACCAAGTATGGCAAGAGGCTTGGTGTCTTGGACGAGAGCTTCAAGCCCAACTACACCAACGAGTTCCTCGAGTGGACTCTTGATGAGGACTCTGCGGACCCTACTGGTGACCAGAAGAGGATGGTTGAGCTGCAGAATGAGGTTTCTTGCCGCGGCGGCTTCCGTCGCTTGAAGCTTCAGTCTGCTGTCAAGGCTTAAAGTCGCCGTGTTAGCGATAGCGTGGGTGATGAATCGCCATGAAATTGTCACTCAGTCGAGCCCACGCTCTCATCTAACCTAGGTACTCCAGGAACTGTCTGTCATTCCAGATGAGCTACGTTCATTCTTTTAGAAGAAAATAAAAAGGATTCCTGGGAACATTTGCGCCAATTGTGAGATGTGAACATCAATTCTAAATTCCTGGTGATCTTATGTCGAAAATTGGGTTGTAAGAAAATCGAAGAGACTGCTCGAACATTAACTCGACGTCTGCGCCGGAGGCAAGCGGCGTGAAAGACGGACATCGCCTCGCCTGGCTCGATATTGCTTGGTCCCCTTATCTTGTCTCACATGAGTATCCGAAGCGATGTATCGACCATGAGGCATTGCTCCGCCGGCCCCGGGCCCAGGGCATCACGGCCACCCGCATCGTATTGGCCTCACAAAAGTACGTGCAACTTCGAGTCAGCACCGAGCCGTCTCATATTGTCATATTTGGAAGGTCCATACTGGAAATCCATGTGATTGAATATCCGGTTGCCTAAAGCCCAATGATGGCATCGAGGTGATATCAAGCGGATGGTTTAACTCTCACCTAGATCCCCACCGTAGCAAAAGTCCCCTCTACTGTGAGTGATCGTACCATCAAACAAGTGCGACATGATTCTTCTTGGCAGATGTCTATCAAGTATCTCATCAGGAAACAACTAGAAGTTTCGCGATGCAATTGGCCGCGACCTAATTTCCACGTGATGCCAATCCATGGTTCGCGAGGATCTGCTCGGATCCCGTCAACCATCCGATAAGAAAACCTGTAACGTGACGGAAGATTCGCAATAAGACAAGCTCCTCGACGGTCGGACGAAGCTGCGCAAATCACAATCCGTCGACGTCCCAACAAACCCCAGTTGTTGTACAAGCATGAGATAACAACCCGGTCCTTACATGGCACCGCCTGGTAAAGCTCCCCTGAGCTATGCTTCTTTTTCCCGCCGCAGACCTTAACCGCACGACCCCGTTACCCGCACCACCACTTACTTGAGAAGTTGGCAGAAGGAAACGTTGGTTGGCTACACAAAGAATTGAGACACGAAGATCCGCATGTCGGGTCGTTTCTCGGCGGCGTCTGGCGCCGGGCGAATCAGAGTCTCCAAGACCCCTGGTAACCGCCTCTCGAATCCTGTGGGTAAAGGTCATTGAAGCTATTCCCCGGTTGGGATTGGTTCGTTCCCCCATGTCCCAGGGACCCGCCAGCTCTGTGGCAGCTTCATGCTTAATTCTGAGTCGATACAACCCAATCAACCACTCATAGGAGCACAGCTAACACTTAGCATTAGGTCTTTTAACTGCGAGATCAAGGGGAGAAGGAGGAATAAGGCCGTACCATCAATAATGCCCCTCTTCATAACCTGATAAACGCTGTCTTATTGTTGCCTCCCCGTTTAAGTTGTCCCTAGGATTCGTTCTCGACGATGGAACATGGGTCTCTACCGCAGCTACTTCGCCCGATCCGCAAAGCCACTGCCGCGTCGAGGAGGTGCAGATAATGTTCCTGGACGGAGGGGGATCGACATCACAACACCCATGTCCGCAACGCCCAACACGACATTGGAACCAACGCAGACCAGCGCATCAAATCAACACCGTCGACCAGCTCACCAGCCCTGTTGGTCCGGTCTACCAACGCTTTCCCGCCCCTGGGCCCCGGCGGTGAACTTGCGTCTCGACTTGAGGCTCTCTGCGGCCTCCTGGTTGGTCCCCGGCACTTTTCACCGCGGGTCCCTTTAATTCAAACCGCTCCACGGGGCCCACGATACGTCTCTTCCAACGAGAGCGCCGGATCATGGATGCGGCTCGCTTGGGGAGCTTGGGTTCGAGCTGTCATCGACTGCGGATCTGCCCACCTGCCCAACTTGGAAGGGTAATGGGCACTCGATGTGGTTGCAGCGAATGGGAATAGGAATGGTTCGTAAACCAGCTCAGATAACTTTACTGCAGTGCGTTGGATCATGGTCCATAGATCATGCATACGGGTTGGACAATGGTATAAGACCGGCCGGTCCGCTGCATCTTTAATGTTGTGTTCATTAAGCATCGCCTTCAAGACTCAACCGGGCTTCTCAACCATCTCACAGGTCACAGTCATTCGTTTAGACACCACCCGCTCGCTCACTGCACACATCACTTGCTTATCACAGTACCTCACTTACAACCAGATCTTACCTCACGATGCACGCCGCAACAATCCTCGCCCTCCTCCCCCTCGCAGTCGTCGCCGCTCCCTCACGACGCGCCCAGCCCGCACCCCTCATCAAGCCGCGGGGCGCAACCCTCGTGGCGGATAAGTACATCGTCCGCCTCAAGAATGAAGCCAAGACGGGTGCCTTGCAAAGCGTCATGAAGACCTTCTCCGCTGACGCCGACCACGTCTACAACTTTGCCGGCGGCGACATCGGCAGCGTCCCCTACCTCCGGGGATTCGCGTCCACGCTGAACGCGACCGAGCTCGAGAGCCTCCAGAATGACCCGGATGTCGACTTCATCGAGCAGGACGCCATCGTGACGATCAAGGCCACGCAGAGGAGCGCTCCGTGGGGTCTTGCGAGACTCTCGAGCACACAGCCTGGTTCGACTACGTATAGCTACGATGAGAATGCCGGAGAGGGCACTTGTGCTTACATTGTCGATACCGGCATCGACATTTCGCACCCAGTAAGTCTTCTAAGCTCACAGGCCTACCAAGGAAGACTTGATTAGCTGATATTCCCAACAGGACTTTGAAGGCCGCGCCACCTTCCTCGCAAACTTCGCCGACAACTCAGACACAGACGGCCAGGGCCACGGCACCCACGTCGCCGGCACAGTAGGCTCCGCCACCTACGGCGTCGCCAAGAAGACCAAGCTCTTCGCTGTCAAAGTTCTCGACTCCAACGGCGAGGGCACCAACTCGGGCGTCATCGCCGGCATGGACTTTGTCGCGACCGACGCCGCCGGCCAGACGGGCTGCGCCAAGGGTGTTGTCGTCAACATGTCGCTCGGCGGACAGACCTCGACGGCCGTGAACCAGGCCGCGGCGGCGATTGTCCAGGCGGGCCATTTCTTGGCTGTCGCTGCGGGCAATGAGGCGACTGATGCGTCTACTTCGTCGCCTGCGAGCGAGGAGAGCGTGTGTACCGTTGGTGCGACGACAAAGACTGACGCGTTGGCGGAGTACTCCAACTTTGGAGCTTCTGTTGATATCTTGGCGCCTGGCACCAACATCATGAGCACCTGGCCCGGTGGAAAGACTGTAAGTTCCCCCCTTCACGTGATGGTTCCATCCATGAATCGGCTCCGAGAGGGAAATATACTGACTCGTGAATGTGTAGAACACAATCTCCGGCACGTCCATGGCTAGCCCCCACATCGCCGGTCTCGCAGCCTACCTCCTCGGCCTCGGCTCGGCGCCTTCGGACCCCGTCCAGCTGTGCAGCTACATCGCCGAGACGGCTCTCGACGGCATTATCGGCCAGGTGCCCCGCCAGACTGTTAACAAGCTCGCCAACAACGGCTTTGCTGGAAACGGCACCGCCAAGGCCACGGATGGTTCCGTGGTTGGCAGACAGCTGAACAAGAAGTTTTCCCTTCGTGCTTAGATGGACGGAGAGGCGGGCTCCTCGCTCTGGCGTAAAGCCATGAAGACTCGCCTGGTAGCATAGAGGGTGATGTGGCGCACTTGACGACGACACGGGTTTGGGCTCTCGGGAAGGGCCCAGCCTATGACATTCTATCATGTAGATTAGATCTCACTTTGAATCTGTACAGACAATCTTTCTCGATAAGCCTTGTGTGACTTGCCTTGAACAAAGCTTCATGCGCTTGCCTCTCCTTCCTTTTGGATACCTAGTAGTGAGTGAGGTGTCTAACGGCTAATCGTCCACTTGCAAATGTCGGAATAGATGACTTTGAAAGTATATGCCCATTCAATATCTCATAGCTAGACTCATACATCATTGAAGACAGAGCATGAAATCATGAACCTGTGGCGACCTTGGCGGCCTGTTGTCCTGCTATTCTTCCGTAAACCACACATTCAAGCAATGATGAGCCTCCCAGGCGGTTGTCACCATGGATGCCGCCAGTAATTTCTCCAGCGGCCCACAGGCCGTCAACGACTGTCTTATCCTCTCTCAACACCTGGGCGTTTTCGTTAAAGGATGCGCCTCCCATCGTGAAGTGGGTGATGGGCGTAACGCGGCCCACGCATACTTCCTCTTCACGGTTGGCCTCGCCCGCCGGAAGCCGCCAACGGCCAAACGTCCGTCTTCCAAAGGCCGAGTCGGTGCCTGACGCCACGGCAGCGGCGTACTCGTCGACGGCGCTGACGATGGCCGGGCTCAGGTCCTTGACTTTCTTCTTCTCCATCAGGCCCTTCCATAAGTAAAAGCCCAAATGGCCCTCAGAGACCTCAATCGCGCCCGGGTCCATGAGTAAGGTTATATCCCACTGCTTGACGTCGCCGTCTTCTTTTGGTGGAATATTCATGATGGCTTTGCTAACGTGTTCCCTCGTCTCCATCTCATTCACGAACCTCTCACCCTTGTCTGAAAGCAGGATGCTACCTTCGCCGCGCAGCATTTCGGCGGCGAGAATCTTGTACCGGACCTCAGGATCTTTGGGATCGACGAACCCTGTCGGGTGCACTTGTACGCTGTCCATGTCGACAAACTCTGCGCCAACTGCTTCCAGGATACCATGAGAAGCCGGCCGTGCGTCGTTGGTTGATGGAATGCCTGCCAGGTCTGGGCGGTACTTGGCGAGAAGTCCGTTAGCGTCACCGGCAAATCCACCGACGGCAAACACTACGGCGCCTTCCAGGTTGTGCTGTTCGCCATCCCGTACATAATGAACGCCTTTCACGACGCCATCGGTGACGTTGAGTGATGTGACCTCTGCGGAATTTGTGAGTTTGAATTCGGGGTTCTCCCCAAGCTTCTTAAGCAGAGTCGTCACGATGGCTGCTCCTGGCGGGGTCTTGCCGGCCCCTCGGTGGGTTCGAGCAAGGGAGTGACCGCCGAGAGGGGTAACGACGCTCAGGTCAACACCGATTTCATCGACAAGCCAGGTCACAGCATCCGCAGAGCTTTCGGTCAAGAGCTGAACGAGCTTCGGACGCTGAACCACGCCTTCGCCCTGGGCGAATCGCTTGCCACCGGAACGGACGGTATCGTCGTAAAAGATGTCGTCCTTTTCTACGCCAGCAGCCTTTTGAAACCGGGTTCCAGCGCCATTGATGCCGGATGATGCCTTTATGCTGTTCCCGCCGGGCTTCGGGGCGCGGTCGAGCATCCGGACCGATGCACCAGCCTTGAGCGCCTCTTCTGCTGCAGACAGACCGGCCAGGCCGGAGCCGACAACGATAACTGGTCTGCGGGCTGACTGCGCCATGTGTGCGTATGATGGGAATCTTGCGGTTTGAGAAATGAAGTTGAAAGCGTTTGTGATGGGACGGTGGTATAGCATGCCCAGGATGGCTGCGAAGATGCCGAAGACGAGAGCAATTATGTAGCGGCGGATCGGACGGATGAACATTGCAGGTTCAATGGGACAAAAGTGCCGACCATCTCGTGAGTGAGATGCCGACTATATAGTGATGCGTATCAGCCATGCTTTCGGGGTACTGTGGGTAATTGGTGACATGTCAGACGATTCTAAGTCGTACGATGTCGTTCGGGGAGAAGGTGGCCAGATTCGGTGGCTTTGAGGTGGGCCTCGGTGAGATCGGTCAGGGCACCTGGATTGGCGGGGTATCTCTCGGTAAGTGTCGGTGAGGAGTGGTCACGGTAAAGTTCAACTCCTTCCGTTTCCCCTTCCTCTTTCCTTCCACTTGTGACTCTCATCCCGACTAGGGAAGGTACCTTCTCTTGTCTTAGTAAAATATGGAAGGAGATCCCCATCCGTTCAACTTGCAGGAACAGTTGAGTGCCACGTGACTGTTTCTCTGATCTTCCATCAACCTCCACTGCCAGCATCCAACGTCTATCGTCACGTCACAACGACCTTGCAATCAGAACCTCGTCTCGTCCCATCTCTTTTACAGTTCCTCAGTAGCCGCAAAGTCCACTTCATAAGATGCGAGCGATGTTCCCCCACTGCACCAGCAATCACTCGGATAGTTCTCTCCGGCCATCTACGAATCCACCATACTTGCTTAGGATCAACACCGAGCAGACACACAACCCAATGTGCAACGAGAACGAGTAGCAATGAATCCCTAGTCTCCAGCACGTTCATGTAAGCAGTTCTAATTGCTCCTAGCCATATGCACGCAACATCGTATCCCCCCCCCGTGGCTGCCAATACCCTTCGCAGTGACTTCAGCAACTTGAAGCTCGCGTCCTTGAGAGCTGCTCTTCTCGAAACTTCATGGTCTGCAAGTTCGTCGATTCTCCAGACAGTGTTCAGTATTGTGGAGGCAATACTACTGTATTGGATCTGATGATGATGATGGGAAAAGCTGAGCGCTGGCTGGGCTGGATATCTGGGCAAGGTGTAGGTGGGGCAGCTCCGAGATGTGAAGGAGCTGCCTCACGTGACCCACCTGCACCTGCCACAAGTATCGAATCTTCCGGATCTGGCCACGACCACTCGTTCATCAGAGAACGACTGACTGCCGTATGTATCACGATGCCCAATGCGCGCCGTCGGCGAGATCTGTCCATCCCAGGTGGAAGAGTGTGACAGCACCTTGGAACAGTCGAACGGCATGCACCACTTGTTCCAAGTGATCCTGAGTACCCGCGGAGGGAACTGCCAACGAGAGGGCAAAGGAGCAAGTGAAGAGAAGCCCCGCAACCACCAGCGCTGCTTCACAAGTCGAAGGCGTCAAATTCCTTGCGAGTGCCGAACGGAACAACTCCAAAGCCAACGCCGTGTGGCCAAGGTCAGTTATCAACTGTTTTGACACGGGCATTCTGGGTCTCGAATTCGAGCCAGGCACCAAGTCCGAGGTTGCAAAGTGCGTAGCAGCAAAGGCAAGAATAGCTTGATGCACGAATTTCTGTGCCATCATGTGCTGCCCGATCGCTTGCTGATACACTGACAGAACCCCGAACTGGCTCGCCCGGCTGACGAGGGACACCGCCAAATGACCGAAGCAGTGGCCGAGCAGAAATCGACTGCCAGGTCCGAGCCGGGCCACTTCGGTGTTGTTAGAATTGGCAGAAAATTGGCCCGACCGACGCTACTTGCATCAGGATGGCCTTATTGCAGCGAAGAATTTGAGAATGCATCTTGCGACTCTAGCAGATACCGTAATACGCATTCACGTCCCCTCTTTCGGCAACGGCTGCACGCTGGCTTCTTTTCCTCACACTTGATAACTGATTAGCTAGGAACTTTCGGCGCACTCTTCTTCAATCCGCGAATCCTGACTTTGACTCGGCTTTCCTTACACTGGAGACAACCATGATGAGAGTTGGTATGTGGTCGCCTTGACGGCGTTGCATCCGGTTACTCTTGCAGACTGCTAAAGTTGAACCATAAACTGTGGCAACCCTTCGTCATGGCCAGACTCCCTCTCGAATGAATTGTACGAGGCAGCTCTGCTTCTCGTCGCTGAATTTTGGCAATTGATTGTGCGGCATGGAGAGTTCATGCCCCTGTCGCATCGAGAGAGAGCTAGCCAATCTCCACCAGCCGCTGCTGCACAACATGGTCCCTCCCACGCCACGAAGAACCACCCAACAACAGTCAAGGTGCCAGAGTGGTTAATGGGCTGCCCTGCTATCAGATCTTCTGATGTCAGCTTAGGCAGTGGCTTCGGTCGCGCAGGTTCGAATCCTGTCCTTGACGTGCGAACTGGTCCATCGACAAACCTTTTTGGAAATCGTCGATGCACTTCACAATATCAACTTGCTATGCAGGTATCATGGCTGACTCTGCTTCAAGGAAACCGTCCTTGTTGTACTCATGTGGGATGGATGTGTCGCATTCCTTCAAAAAGCAAGGAAGACGGCACCAGGGATGCCTTGTTGGTTGGGACACGTCTGGTGGGCCTCGTTCGGTGGAATTGACTGCGAAGCAATGACCTTTTCAATTTTCCCGTCTATCATCAGGCGCGTCCTGGGGGCTGCCTGCAATGCCTGTCACCTAATATCCTCTTACTTCGTCAAAGCGGTACAACCACGAAGCGCAACGAATGTGGCCGGCCGACTTCCCCAGTGCCATACCAACACGGCTTCCCACGCAACATCAATAGGCGCCGCTTTCGATTCGACCTACGCCGGAGCGCTAGGTTGCAGCTGTTTTACTTTGTCTGTACGAAGAAACGGCGGACGCCTCGCCGGGGAGTCAATCGGAGACGTGAGGGTTGCATCCGCAGCGCCAGCAACCCCAAAAAGGAATGTCATCAATCCCCTTTCAACCATCCTGCCAAACAATCAACTTTTGGTCGTCGAGATGCCACGGGCATGCATGGGTAGCCTAAACTTTGGGTGCTGCCGAGTTATCCGGTGGTGATCGTTTGCGCCTCCCTTCTTGGCATCGGCTTCCGCTCCTAGGCATGCAGGCAATGACGGCTAAATGCAACTGTTTGAACTTTGAAGGCCAGGATTCCAGAACGCATCTGGCTTTGGAGAGTGCACGGGGATTGGGGAGGAGGAGACCTCTAGCAGATTTTCTCAGGTCCTCTGGGTACCTTCGCATCACTCCAGTCATCTTCACTGCCTACATTCGAAGGAGCCGACGGACGGAAAAGGACCCCCGATGTTAAACTCCGGTCTGCCATCCCATCTTCCTCGGCTCGGCTTCAGACTTGACGAGACAGATCATAGAATGCCTCTGCCAAGCGAGTGCACAGGGGTTCCTCAACAGCAGCGAAAAGGTTGGGAATCCACCTCTCAACGCCGCGTCGAAGTGGGTGGAACGATTCTTGCCCAAAGAGGAGGCATTTCGGAGAAATGGAAGTTGCTTAGCAGCCTTAGCTCTCCTCTGACAGTGGACAACCTAGGCTTTGTACAACAGGCCCGGCCCTGGAACGCCACGCCACAGGCGGCTGCTGTCGGACAGGGTCCCGAACAACGTGCTGACGGAGCCCTGTGACTCTTGGCATCGCACCATCGACCTTCTAGGGGGCGTCTTTGCGGTAATTCTCTCACAAGTCTTAGATGGTTCCGCTACGAGAGCGGCCTTGGCCATATGGAAAAGGGGTTGCGAAAGGCAGAATTAATGACCGCCATTGGATTCTTGCCTTCTTGGAAGGTCGAATAGGTTGCGATGTCTGTCGTCCTCTGATCCTTTCGGCTTCCGGTCGAGCCTCAATCATTGGCATTACGGACCAAGGGGCTGGGCATCGAGAATCGATCCGCGGCTACCGTTGAACGGCGGCTTGCTCGGTCCAAGGTGCTGGTCAGAGCCTGGACAAATTCGACAGGAGATGAACTTTTCACCAGTTTGTAATTGTACACAGCCTGGCCGAGCCGTTCGTCCAGACCGCGGCACGGGGGCGGTCGAGGACGAAGGCTTGGACCTTTGCGCGAACTTTTGGCAAACTTCTCAGTGGAACGCAGGCAACGACCGTCTAGGTGCATAGGAACGTGATTCCCGCTACAGTATTCGACCACGCCGTCTGTCAAACATTTGGAATCCACGAGCGCTGTTAACAATTCCGCTATTGAGGTGGTCAAATCTGTGGCGTCTGTCGCCTTCCTTTCCGCTGACCATTCGGGATCTCCTCGATTTCCCCAGTCCGTCGCTCACTAACAACAACTAGTTGCTGCTATCACAACGCAACCCATAGCAAAGTTGCTCGGTATGTGCCAATGCCGTTGTTGAATTGCCAGCTGGCTCAGCGGAGGGACAAACGATTCGCAGCTGGCCAGGGGATTGAGAACCAATGGGCATCTGTTCAGGTGACATTTAGTTAGTGGACTGATGATCCCACGGAGCCGGCAGTAGAAAGAGGCAGTGATGAGCGGCCTAGTGTGGTGTCACTGTCACCGCTGCGAGAAGAGACAGCAGAGCATCCCACGTCAAGGGTTGCATGACAGGGCACGTACAGGCGCGGCATTCGTCAGAACAGGTGACTTCCACGGTGGCATCTTGCCATGTCGTCGTCTTGTTTGTCGGCGCCGGTTCGGAGCGAAGATATTCAATACCTCCGACGTCCAAGAATCCACGATTGTCGCCAAATTGACCTGAATTTCCAAGGTTTGATTGGAATAGCTGTATTGAATCATCTTCTGACAGAGTCAAAGTACGAGTACTAGGCCGGACAAGAGCTTGTAAGTTGAGAGACAACCAAGGCTGCCCATGTTCCGGACCAAAGGACGCAAGAAGAGTGCGTGAAGACCAGAACTCGCACGTCGTGTGGCTTACATTGAAATTCCCAGGAATGCTGGACTACGTACGACGCCGGCGCAGTCTGGGGAAATAGGCTAGAAGCCACCAGATCTGGGGAAAACGCAATTGCAAGCCAGCACGAACGATGGATACCTATCAACGACAGGGAGGTCCCCGAAGACTACAGCGGGAGCTCGAACACACGTCGCGGTTCGTCCGGCGCCTGGTGCCATCATCGGACCATTTGCACTAGAAGGTGTGTATTTCGACTCGGTATATGCATACGCACACGGAAGCAATGGGACTTGGTCTTTTGTCGATCGAGTGGACGGCAGAGGGTGTGCAGCAATCGCCCAAGCTTTCCCCGCAACCCACCGCCATGTGGCCGTCGATTCGCGCCTCTGATGGAGGCCATCATTGGGGTTGATCAACAAGGCTACTCCAATACTCCTTCCAGCACGGTCATGATGACGCTTAGGATACACTTGGCTCAACTTTGCAGGCCTTCACCATACGGACGATGGTTTAGAACGCGAGTAGAGGGCATAACGGTACTCCGTGCAGAAGAGCTCTCAATCCAACCTCGAAATGTTTCCTACACAGAAGAGAGGAAACGCCTTGGCGCCTGACGCACACCTCACAAAACTCCTCCCGGTCTTGCATCCGCGTCGATATCTGAAGCCGGAGTCAACGGGGCTCGGGGTGTCTCGAATAGGCTGGGATATTGCCAGTCCACCCCCAGATTCCCCATAACACCCATCTCTAGGGCACGGTTGATATGGATAGTCACCGGCAGAATGTGGCCAGATGACAGATGTATTGTGACAAAGGCCGGCAAAAGGTAGAAAGATCTCGCCCAAAGAGCTGGGTTGGTTGAAACGCGCGATGCGATGCAGGCCCGAAACAGTGGTGCTGTGTTCCCACCGTACAGACTACAAACTGGGGGAGTGGAAACCTTTCAATCTGGACGATACTTGCCGTTGACAGGATCAACTCGAAGACTCTTTTGGTCTAAGTCGAGATTCATCTCTTGGACGCTCCTAAGAAGTCCAGCAGCGGCCGCATCGCCAACCAGGCCAGTACTAATATCATGCCGACTGCCGGCAGATTTTGTCCGCCCACGATCCGCAGCCAAGACGGGGAAGAGCCGTGGCGGTAATTTGGCCGGTCCCCTCTTGCAGGAATGATTTTTTCATCGAGCACCCTTGGTCCGCTGGGCCTTTTGGTTCGACCATATTCATGACACACGGTATTATCGATGTGCCACTACAAGCTACAACTCAAATGCGACCTTTTTGCCGTCCTGCTCTATCGCCCAATGAGAGCGCGACCGCAAAGAGGGAATAATCTGGACGGAACTCATGGAAAGCCGGGCGTTAGGAACTCAGGGCAGAGCACAACGCCAGTCCAAAAGCGTTCAGACGGCAGACGCACCTCTTATTTCCGCTGCAATTATAGTTACATCAGGTGTTATCGCCACGCCCTCCCTGCATTTTGGGGCTCAATCTGGTCTTGGCCGGTCGCCAGTGCAGCACAGCGAAGCATTCGTAATCCCACGCATCACATCTGCGTCGACGTTGGGTGCTGGACAACACGGAGAATATGAGACATGCCACCTGGAGCCGACAGTCTGTACTCTGTAGCCGGGACCCGCGACGTTTTTGGAAACCATATGGACGAGGCTTCGATCCATATGGTATCTCAGTCGCTGCCTCTTCTTTGACAAACGTCAGAGGCTAGATCCTTGGGGGTCGTTTTCGACAACAGCATGCCCAGGCCGCTTATGCAATAATGATTTGCGTTCCATCACCCCCGCTACTTGCTAGTTGCAGACGGCGACAAGGACAGCCACGCCTAAAAATTTGGAGAAGCTTTCTGGTGACGGAAAAGGTGGGAATGACATCAGCTCGTGGACTGATTTCCCAAGTGGCCCGAGGCAGAGGTTGGTTTGGTCTCCTCCATTGGCCTTTGATCGTCGCCTGCTTCCTAGCCATACTCAATTGGCATACCCAACACACCTAATCCGATCGCTCGAATTCGACAGTGGCTCAAACCCGTGGGGATGGACGAAAGGATGGCCGTTCAAAGATGTCTCAGAGTTCGAGGACTGCAAGTCTCGTCTCCCAACTCGGTCTTCTCGCCCTCGAATACCGTACATACATGTACGGATGCCAGCTGGGCAAACCCAAGTTACCTTCACCAATCAACCAATTGTCCCCCCGCTACTTGCATTGAAGACCGGATGGCCGGGACGTAAGCAAAGACTGGCCGAACTGTACGGAGTACCTTATGATGGGATGAAGCTCCTTTTCTCACAGGGGCTACACGCACACTACTGTGCCAGTTCTAGGTGCAGGCCGTCTCCGTATGATCTGGGGATGCCGTCTTTGAGCTGGCATGCTGCTTCCACACAATTGGCGATGAAAACTCCTTCACCAGCAGACATGCTCCTCTTCCCTCCCTTTTCGGCCCGTCTGGCCTCTGGGGAAGACGGGAGGAGACTTTTATTCGCGCCATTGCGGATTTTCTTCTGTGTCATTTCCAGCAGATCTCGCCTTCCAATGGCGGTCTCCGACGCCGTGTCAGTGGTCACTCCACCACCACCCGACATCGCAACCTAAAATATTAAAATAATGAATCTATTATGGAGCCTCTGTTGGACCCCATGCCCATTTCGTCCCCCGGTTCATTCTTCTCTGGGCTTTAAAGATCGGCCCTTGGAAGCAGACGGCTCGCCTTTCGCCCTCACACCCTCTTAGTCTACAAACATAAGCGATCTTACTCGACCCACTCCCTCCCTCCTCCTGCTGCAGACGACGCCTCCTCTCCTCACTTGTCCTCCACGCCGCTTCTTCTCCTCCTCCTCCTCCTCATCCATCTCCAGTTCTCCGCGCCAGTCGGGCCCACGTATCTGTACATACCCCAGACGTTCACACACGTTCACGAAGCTACCGGCCCATTAGCTATCTGCATTTTGCGCTGACCCTCGACCCTGGCCTCCGTTCGTCCTGGCTTGATCGTTTCTTGCCTCGAACCCCGTTCTCCCCCATTACTTAAAGACTGCTCCCCACCCCTTCCCCGGAGTAGAAAGAAACCCTCCTCCATCAAAGTTGTGTGCCGTCTTCCGTGGAGTTTGCCTACTCTTGCTACAAGATACCCCCTATACTTATTCTTCTCTTGGTTACATCCTTGCCTTATTATCTCTTACACCCGGAAGACTACACACAATGGCCACGCACGAGGCTCATCACAACGCCGTCCCTCCACAGGACGTGGAGAAGGATGTGCATACCTCTGGTGCCGACCACTACAATGGTGCCAATGGTGCTCAAGTAGGCCAAAACACATACTCACGACAAGCCGGGCCTTTCTCCCGCGTTGCCGACTACCGGAACATGACTGAAGGAGAAGCGCAGGCATTCGGCGGTTCGCTCCAACCCGGCGTATGGAAGCCGTATGAGCACAGAAAGTTCGCCAACCCGGCGCCCCTCGGTCTCTCGGCCTTCGCCCTCACGACGTTCGTCCTTTCTTGCGTCAACCTCCACGCTCGCGGCGTGACTGCGCCCAACATTGCCGTCCCTCTCGCCTTTGGATACGGAGGTCTTGTCCAGCTCCTCGCTGGCATGTGGTATGTCCAGATTTTTCCTGCTTCTCTATTGTTTTTTCTTTTTTTCCGTACCAGGGTCCCCGAAACTTCCCCAACATCTCATCTCAACCGTCTCCACGATGTCCCCCGCAAGCGGAAGCTCCGGTGTGTTCATGTGGAGCATGGACGCGCTCCTCTGCGCCGGAGTGGACCTTGAGCTAGACACCAACATGGGGGACTCGGGGAAGGTTGGTCCATAGGATGCTTGTCTGGGTCCTGGACCAGGGGAACCTGTGGAGAAGCTTTTGTAATACGAGCATCACAAATCAGTCATCATTGCATCCTTCATCCGCGCCAATGCTGACGGACGGTTGGTGGTTTACAGGGAGATGGCCGTTGGCAACACCTTTGGTGCCACTGCCCTTTCATCGTACGGCGGTTTCTGGATCGCATACGGCATCCTCTTGACCCCCAACTGGGGCATCACCGCCACGGATGGCCCCTATGCCGCCAACTACTCTGACCACTACTCGGCTGTTGGCTTCTTCCTGACGGGCTGGTTCATCTTCACGACGCTGCTGCTTCTCTGCACCCTGCGCTCGACCGTGGTCTTCTTCTCCCTCTTCTTCACCCTCGACTTGGCCTTCCTCTTCCTCGCCTGCGAGAACTACGCCGCCAACAACGGCGCCTTGACCGCGTCGCGCAACTTGCAGATTTGCGGTGGTACTTTTGGTATGCTTGCCGCGTTTTTGGCGTGGTATTGTGCTTTGGCAGGTCTTCAAGACGATAGGTGAGTTTCTGCAATCCATTCGCCCGGGCGGCGATCGGCTCAGGTCTAGGCTAGACTGAGCCACCGTCATTGCCGTCCCCCTCCCCTCTGCCGCTATGCTTTCATGATGAATGCGCGCGATGTGGATTCCGTTTGCTAATACTGGAAATTTCTGCAGCAACTCCTTCTTCCAGGTTCCCGTTTTCCACCTCCCATGGTCCGACAAGGGCAAGGAGCTTCGCCGGGCCAAGAGCAACGTCGCCTAAGTTGAGCCGTATTGCCATGAGGCTTCATGTGTATGTTATTCATTTAATACGCGGGATATGAAGGGATGCGTGCGGTCGATGCGCCCGCGATGATTTAGGATACCCAATTACGAGGGGTGCTGTCGCGCTTGCGGCTTGCATGTGGCCAAGCTAGGCGACAAGAGAGAGAAGAGCAGCGAAGTGCAGAGCCAATGCAAACAATCTTGCGGCTACTTATATAGTGTTAATATCGTGAGGGAAAATTCTCACATCAATTAGTTCCATATTGAATGTTGGTAATCGCCTCGATTCAGGTGTTGATGTTTCCTCGACTGAAACCCTTGAGATGATCGATAAGATTGAGCTACCGTATACATCCCCCGGATCAATTCACAACTACCTGAAAATGTTCATTCTTCATCAAGGATGACGATAATAAGCAACCGCAACGAGTGCTCGCCCTTCAGAGGCGCAAGTTAGTAGTTGGCTCTTCAGACTAAGTAGGACCAAGATGCAGTGACGTCGGACAGCTACAGAGCCCTTGCCGTTGCGGCGACTCGGAGAAGCGTCACTGGTGTCTTGGCGATGAGGCGAGTAAACAGCCGTTTCCGAAGGTATGATTAATATTTTTGCTTCGCGGAGGGCGGGAAGACGGACGGGAAGAGGGGAGGGAGGATTTGGGGGCGGCGCTTGAGGGCTTGGCGTACCTCATTTTTGGGGGGGGGGAAGATGCGGAGGAGACAACGGCGGAGAGAGAGGCGATTGCTTGATACTTGGCGGCTTCGAGGTAGGTATTGGGCTTGGGTCACGGGTGAATGTTTTGATTGATACGTTAATGTGCTCACGGCTGGGCGGGTTCTTGAGTGGGAAGAAGGGTGGCGATGTTTTGCTTGTTGTGTGTCCAAGGTAGATACGCCTGGGATTATGCAGCTGGAACGCGACTGCGAGGGAGGAGATTGAAATGTGTTTTCGAATGAAGATATTCTTGGACCTACCTATGCCACATGAATGTTGATTCTTTGGGTCGGAATGGAGATGTTTGATGTGGTGTTCAACTCATGTCGATAGATGAATCTGCAATACTGCATAGTTCGTCTTGTCTTGGGGCAATTACCGATAGATTGGACTCAGAGACCAGAGCGTTCGTTTGAACTCTGTGTCCTTGACCTTGAGCCTTGGAGCTGTTGGTTGCGTTTGGTCTGAGTTGACGTGAGCTAAAGTCAATGTGCCAGACGTGACTTGCGATCAATGATTCAATCAACTTGAGAGAAATCATCGCCAGAGCCTTCGGGTTCTTCAAGAAGCCCGGCCCGACATTGTCGGGAGATGAAACGATGCAAATTCTTGGTACATAAAGCACGTGTTGTGCAATTCATGCCAAGCTGGATAGATTGAAGCGCCATCGTTGGTACAGGCCTGGGAGTACATGACTTGTGCACATTCTGCCTATGCACAAATCTGCATAACTCCGTCTGTTAGTTGTTATCACGCCTGCCGTGTAACTCTGGACGGCTTCTTCTGCGACCGTGATCTGCTGGACGACTTATGCTTCGAAAAGAAAGTGGTATATCTGGAGGATGCGGCTTTCGAAGTCTGCGTTCTTTTTCTCTTCCTACCGCAACTCCGTGTCTCGTTTGACTTGTATTCGATTTAAATAGGCTTTTCGACAACTAAATCATTCACAAAATGTCTTTCACTTTTGGCTCCCTCACGATCTATCACGGACTGTTGCTTGTCCCCATTGCAATCATCGCGGTCAGTCCACATCAACCCTCGATGCCTCGCTCAATCAAAGCTAATAATCTACAAGACAACCATATACTACACCGCCCTCACACTCTACAACATCTACTTCCACCCCCTCTCCTCCTTCCCAGGTCCCCGCCTCGCAGCCGCAACACCATATTGGATGGCCCTCTCCTATCTAGGCGGTCGCACTCCTTACGATCTCCTCGAGCTACAAAACAAATACCGCCCGGTCGTGCGCACATCCCCCGATTCCCTGTCGTACATCAAGGCGCCGCAGTGGAAGGAGATTTACTGACACAAGGCACCTGGCCAGCCCGAGTTCAGCAAGGATAGCAAATACTTCTCTGCGCTCAAGGGCGATCCCGTGATTATAACTGCGGATAGGGAGTATCATTCGTATATTCGCAAGCTGTTCGCGCATGGGTTCTCTGAGAAGGCGATGAGGGAGCAGGAGGGGGTGTTGAAAGGGTTCGTTGATATTTTGTTTGCGAGGCTTGGGGAGGAGGGGGAGGGGGGACGGGCTGTTGATGTTGTACAATGGTATAATGTGAGCTCTCCGATATCGAGGTTCACCATGGGGGTTGGAGGAAGATTGTGATGCTGACTTTGTGATGCAGTTCCTTACCTTTGACTTTGTCGGGTTCCTCAGTAAGTTTCCCTGGAGGTGCTACCTACTTAGGCCGCACTGAATTGCATTCCATGACATTCTCCATTGGACGACAGGTAACCCATCACTAATAACATCCTCCAGGCCTCACATACCTCCTCCTCAAGAACCCCCGCGTCCTCGCCAAGCTCGCAACCGAAGTCCGCTCGACTTTCACTCACCCAGACGGAATCACCTTCACGGGCGTCAATGGCTGCAAGTACCTCCTCGCCTGCATCGAAGAAGCCCTCCGCGTCTACCCGCCCTCCCCGCAACCGCACCACCGCATCGTGCCCGCCGGTGGTGCGACCGTCGAGGGCGTCTTCTTGCCCGAGGGCACGTCCGTTAGTATCCCCATCTATGCTGCCTCCCACAGTTCCGTGAACTGGACGCTGCCAGAGGAGTTTATACCTGAGCGTTGGATGGCTACGAAAGATGGTGGTCATGGGAAAGGGGATGGTGATGGTGATGGTGACGTGGACGTGCGGCTGTTTGCTGGGGACCAACGCGATGCGTCGCAGCCGTTCCAGGTTGGACCGCGGAACTGTATTGGGAGGAATTTGGCGTATGCGGAGATCAAGATTATCATGGCGAGGTCGGTGTGGCAGTTTGACATTGAGAATGCCATGGATGGGGATTGGATTGGGATGCAGAAGGTGTTCATGGTTTGGGAGAAGGCGCCGCTGTGGGTGAAGTTACATCCTGTTTCGAGAGGGTGAATAGTAGCCAGACTGACGAGGAGGTCATGATGGAGTCCCTTTGCTACCGAGATCGAGTTCACTCTTCTCTGAATTAGTTTCACAGCTGTACTCTTGAATTCAGCGGCTGTCGTTACATGTAGTCTTGCAACAAGGCATCCACGCCCTCTTTTAACTTCAAAATGGTCGCAATGTGACCCGAGGAATCCAGGATTAGATATGCAGTCGATGTAAGAGTGAAACCCTTGATTAGTGTACTTGTATTTGAAGCACGCTGTGGCGCCAGACGCGAGGTTTAAAGGTGGAAGACGCAACAATATCTCGCGATGGTGCAACTTGGTTGAGCAAATTCGCGCAAGTCGATGTGGATTCAACCACCATCTCCACTAGTCAACAAGCACAATAGCTCAGGGGTAGAGCGCTGGGCTCATAACCCAGAGGTCCCTGGATCGAAACTAGGTTGTGCTATTCCCTTTTGCTTCTGCGAGCTTTTGATGGTGGAATTGGTCGCGCCTTAAAATCCACCAGTTGGATCATCCACATGGACAGTCCAAACTTTGCAACTTGCCTCTTTCAGATGTTTCGAGAACGCTCGTCATTATTGCAGATTGGAATACGAGATCCTGTGCTGTAGGTGGCTGACAGTCGATGCACCTCTTTATCACGCTACCTTAATGGTATGCATGCCGCTACACACTTGCCCTGTCCGGGCTATCTAAAATACTCCAAAAGTTAAGGTAGATTAAGCTCATGGATGCGCGCGAGTTTAAAAGTGCCACACCCGGCAGCTAAAACTGACAACGGCCCCGGCTTCATCGGCTAGGGCGGGGAGAATCGAAAGATAGGGATATCAGAGCACATCGAACAATATCCAGGATGTAGATTAATCTAAGCTCGCCTGTTCACCTTGTTTTTGTGACGTGCTCCAAGACTGTAGCGGCGTGCGCTCGGCCCACTGTGATATTTGAATACGACCTGCGGCCCCACGACCTTGAGTTCGGTTGTCGGCCGACGGTGACTGTCGCATTGCGGTGTTGGAAGTGAGTTGGGGTTGTCTCCAGCTCACGGTCTCTATCATGTTAAGCCCTGATGCCCATGCTGAAGCTGACATGAAGTTGGCCCAGTGTCTCTGGATCTCGTCTCGATCCGTACACCTACTACTCAGCCGATTATGACAGTAGGAAAAACAGACAAGATGTGAAAGCGAGGATATCTTTGCCGGCTTGGCAACTATCAAGCAACATAGTTGTCATTGTAAGCTCAGGTAAAGATCTCCACGAACCCCAATGGCCCAGAAATTTCGCTACCCATTCGGGAAGGTCCCAATTTCTCGTATTCACTCACGATCCGTCGCCCGTCACTTGCAGGCTCGCACATGTGTGTTCCCAATCCCGCCTCCAAGTTATCGAGAGCACTGGGAAAAAATCACCTGAGGATTATTATTGTATATATACGCTCACGATGTGCTCACTAGCCTCTTGTGATGGAATTCCGGTTGTCACCGACGGTCATTCGTTTCAATTCCAGCGCCCACCGCCACCATCATGAGGTTCTCCTCCAACGCTTCCCTCCTGCTGGGGCTCCTGGCCTCTGCATCGCACGTCGTCGTTGCCGCCGATGATGCTGCTGCACCCGCCGTTCCCGCAGTCAACGAAGATGCCTTCGTCCAGGGCGCCTACATCGTCGAGCTCAACGGCGAGCAAGACCCGGCAGCGCTCTACGACGAGCTGCGTTCCGACGGCTTGGCCGTGAAGCCCCGCCTGGACCTCAAGTTCGGCCTCTTCAATGGCGCATCCTTCAGCATCGACAACGCCGGCGAGCCCGACATCACCACCGCCAGAATAGCAGATAAGCTCAGCGTCAAGGGCGTCTGGCCGGTCCGCAAGATCAAGATGCCCAAGCCCGTAGGCACATCCATCGGCCGCAACGGAACCGCCTCCGGCGCCGCCCTCTTACGCTCTCTCAAGGATCGACGCGACGAGGCCGCAAAGGATACTTACAGCACCCATGTCATGACGCAAGTCGACAAGCTTCGCGAGGCCGGGTTCACGGGGAAAGGCATCAAGGTCGCCATCGTCGACACGGGCGTGGACTATAGACACCCGACCCTGGGAGGCTGCTTCGGCGAGGGCTGCCACGTCGCCTACGGCTGGGACTTTACGGGGGACAATTACTACGAGAGCTCCGACGCGCCGACGCCTGACGCGGATCCCATCGATACCTGCCAGGGCCACGGCACGCACGTCGCGGGCATCATCATGGCGCAGGAGAATGAGCTCGGTTTCACGGGCGCTGCGCCGGATGTCACGCTTGGCGCGTACAAGGTTAGCGGATGCGCTGGGTACACGACGAGCGAGATTCTAGTGTCTGCTTTCTACCGCGCCTACGAGGACGGTAGCGATGTCATCTCGTGCTCTGCGGGCTCTGATTCAGGTTGGGCGAGCGACGCTGCTGGTGTCGCTGTCTCGCGCATTGCTGAGGCTGGTGTCCCTGTCGTTGTTGCGGCTGGCAACTCTGGTAACTTGGGTGTCTGGGCTGTTGCCTCGCCGGCGTCTGGAAAGGCTGTCGCCGGTATTGGTTCCGTTGACAACACTATTTTGCCTAACCTCATGACCCGGGGCTCGTTCGTCAACGAGTCTGGCGAGTTTGACTTTGGATGGGCTGACAGCACCCCGGTTACTACTGCGAATGTCACTCTTCGTCTGTGGATTGGGGGCGCCAATGTGACGGCTTGCAACCCGATTCCCGCAGATATTGACTTGACTGATTCTATTCCCTTGATATCTATGGACGCAGAATGTCAGTCCGATGTTCAGGCCGCGAACCTCCTCGCCAGAGGCGCGCAGTACATCCTCTACTACCCTGCCAGCGAGTCGTAAGTCTAGTTTCCCTCACCAAGGTGAACCTACTGTCTAGAAGTGTGATTGCTAATGGGAGGTCAGTAGGATCTATCCCCCGTACGTCTATACCGAGGGCATCCTCGGCATCGGGATGGTCATGCCCCGCCAGGCCCAGGAGTGGAAAGCCCACGCCGAGAACGTCACCATCACCATCGGACCCCCCGAGACCTCCGGCCTCTTTGCCGAGCCTATCACAAACGGCCCAACCGCCGGCTACACCAGCCCCTTCTCCAGCTACGGCCCGACTTGGGAACTCGACGTGAAGCCCCAGTTCACCGCCCCCGGCGGCGGCATCCTCTCCACCTGGACTTGGGACCAGGGCGAGTACATGGTCAACCCGGGCACCTCCATGTCCACCCCTTTCGTCGCCGCTGTCTACGCTCTCGTCGGTCAAGTCCGCGGCACGCTCGACCAGGAGACTCTCCGATCCGTCATCGCTGCCACGGCCCAGCCAAAGGCCTGGAACGACGGTACCGTTGCTCACGATGACATTCTCGCTCCTGTACCGCAGCAGGGTGCCGGCCTCGTGCAAGCTTGGGACGCCGCGCACGCCACCACGATCCTTGGCTCCACGGGCATTTCCTTCAACGATACGGATCACTTTGTCGGCGAGCACACCTTTAGCGTGAAGAACACGGCTGCCGAGGAGGTCGCCTACAAGCTCGGCCACGCCAAGTCCGTGACGGTATACACCTTCACCCCGGGCGAAGCCCAGCTCAACGTCGCCCGCGCCCCGCCCCCGACCGTTGACGAGTGGGCGACCATCAACTTCGAGACCGACTCCCTGACCGTCCCCGCCGGCGGCAGCGCCGAGGTGAAGTTCACTGCCGTGCCGCCCTCTGGCCTCAACGCCACGCTGTTGCCCGTGTACAGCGGATACATCACCCTCGAGGGAAGCAACGGCGAAACCCTTTCCGTGCCGTACCTAGGCGTCGGCGGAAGCATGCGTGACACCCCTGTCCTGGTACCCGGCCTCGGCCTGAACGGGGTCTACCTCTCCTCTACGGACAACCACTTCCTCATCCCCGTCGCCGCAAACCGGACTTTCACCATCCCTCGGCCCGGGACCATGGGAAGTGCCATTTACCCCAAGATGGTCGTAATCCCGACCGTTGGTACCACGGATCTGCACGTCGAGCTCGTGGCCCTCGGCAGCAGCGGCAACTCTACGCTCAAGGTCACCGATGTCCTTGGGTACCCGACCCTCGGCCCATTGCCGCAGTCGCCCGTTACGTACGCGCACAGGTTTGGGTACACATGGAACTTTGACGGCTTTTTGGCCGATCGGACTATTGTGCCCGAGGGAAGCTATGCGTTTATTGCGCGCGCGCTGAGGATCTTTGGAGATGCGAGCAAGGAGGAGGATTGGGATGTTGTTGAGACTGTGCCGTTCATTTTGAAGTATCTTGCATAAATGCATAGCCGCGGGTCTGATTCCCGAAGAAGATAGTATATATTGCAAGCCTCATTACATCGCAACTTTCCCAGACTCAAGCTGCCATGTGTTCCTGCACGAAACTAGCGTAGTCAAAGATTGCCCGCTTGTAGAAACGCTCTTGGGTCGTCTGGTTATACCCTTGCACACCGTACTTGTCATCATACTGACCCCATTCCCAATTGTCGAGATACGACCAGCCGTAAAGCCCCTTGACGTGGACATTTTCGATGTTGATTGCCTTCAGAACCTCATTCAGGATGGGGACGTAAAACTCAGACTGCGCCAGGTCACTCCGGATATGATCCGTTGACATGTCGGAGGCTTTGAAAGCAGGGAGACCGAACTCTGCGATCGTGATGCCGTCTTTGGTAGGATAGGTGGCCTGCAGGAAACCAAGAATCGCCCGGACGTGCTCAGCTGGCACCTGATGATGTTCAGTCAGTTGCATCCTGACAAAGACGAAGGGCCCATCACTTACCGCAGGCCTGTCGACATTGCCATGAAAGTTTGCCTCCCACCCTCCTGGCGAGGGGGAGGTGACGGTGCACTCGGGATACAAAGGATGCTTCGAATCAGCAGCTGTCGGTATACACGTCAGCAGGGCAACCGTACGGTTGGAACGAAGTGTTAATAATGGTCTATTATTGCTACGTCTGGAGGTGGAAGGAGGAGATTATGGGCAGAGCCCACGATCTCCCAGAAGTGGTATATAAGTGAAAAGGCCGTTTATAAGTACCCATACCGCCTTCTAGATCCATCTTTTCTACCGACTACTTAGAGATCCAATACTAATAGTTAGTTTTTTAATTATAAGTAAAAAAGATAGTAAATTTAGGGCTGGATTCTATAGTTAAAGTCGAGACTATAGAATCTAGGGGTAATATCCCCTTGTTACGAGCAGGACAAGGCAACCAACTGTGGCACAAAGCAAAAGCTTCGATAATGATGACTCCGGCATCATTGTCCCTTGTTCTGCATTATATAGCTACGCGCCCACAGTGACAAGTTTGTTACGACCCAACATGCATGACCAAGAACAGGGCCTGCCCCGCAGGCTCGCGGCGGTTATAATACACCACATATGCAGGAGACAAGGGACACTAGGCACCCTCTCACGGAACGGAAGAACTATGGTACAAGTCACGTGATGATAAGATAAGACATGAGCGGCCATGGTGGGGCCATGAGCGACCATGGTGGGGCCATGAGCGCTCATGCCAAGTAATGAGCGCTCATGCCGAACGATGAGCGCTCACCCGATCAGAGGAACTGATCATTGACAAGGGATATGTTCAGGACCAGGACTTGTATATAGGATGGACTCGAGCCGGACTCTAGGACAGACTTTCCATAGCTCTTCAGCAATTAACTTCGTATCAGGATTAACATCCGCTTTCAGCTACTACCTTGACAAGACTACGATTGATCACCGAAGCCTTACCTACCCTTACGATTGACAGACATAGTTTCCTTGAAACTATTCCACGACTACGATTACTGTTACCAGTTCCGCAGCCTCAACTTCTGCAAACTACCCCTACGACTAGCTGGCCGTAACAACGGGGACCATCGCTTTAATAGCTTTGGTTTGTATCGCGTCTAGTTGGTGTAGTAGACTACTAACCCCGTTTGAGATAGTACGTCCATTCTTTATCCGGCTCTTGCCGGGCTACTATGCTTTAGATACATAGTACTAAGTAGGTAATATATAAGAGGTGATCGCTCGACGAAGTAAGTACGTAGGCGCGCCCCAGATAGTGTTCCCTAGTCCCTGTAGTCCATTAACTACTTAGTATGCTTTTGTAGAGAGGTTTCTTACGTGACTCTTAAATATGAGTTTACGGTCGAAGTGAACGCCGAGCCAGCGTAGAGAAGAGCCTTCTTTGATAGCCTGGACTATATAATGCCTCCTATCCGGCAAACCTACTATGATTAATAGGTTTCCGTCTTTTCGTCTCTTAGTAAAGTAGATTAGTTCGGACTTATCAAGGTCAAAAGTGATTCCTTCCGTCGCGCCCTATCCTAAGGTTTCTTTCCATTCCTTAGTTAGGATATTACAGTTATTCTCTAGTAATGTTAAGCTTGCTAAGATAGCGACGTTATCGGCGTAGCCAAAACGAGATCGCTTCCTTCCTAGGCGAGCTATACCTAGCTTAAAAAGAGGTTCAATATAGAGCATAAACAGAATAGGAGATACGGGTGAGCCTTATGGTAGTCCGCATTCGAGACCGAAGACGTCTCCTACCTCCCCATCAAGCCTTATTCTTGCTCTCCTTCCGGTAACAAAACTTGAGACCCAGCGTACGAGGTTCTCCGGCCATCCTTGTTCGCAGAGGCGTCGGACCAGTCGTCCTGGGAGCACGGCGTCGAAAGCCCCTTTTATATCGAGCGTAAGCATAGAGGTAACCAGGCCTCTTTGCCAGGCGCACTCGATGTCGTGGATGGCCGCTGCGATGAGGTCGCTGCAAGAGCGAAGAGGGAGTGCTCCAAACTGTTGATCGTGCAGAACACGATGTTTAACTGCGATCCAGGCAAGTCGTCTGGCGATGAGTCTCTCCAAGCCTTTTCCGAGGACGGCCAAGAGCGCAATTGGCCTATAGGAGCGCGGGAGTGTCTTGTCTCTTTTTCCCGGTTTTGCTAGGATCACGAGAGTTGCTTCTTTAAAACAAGTAGGATGCCAACCCTCGCGTATACACCCGCTATAAAGTGAGAGGACAATATCCTCAATAACTGGCCATGCTATTTTCAAAGCAGTCGTAGTGATTCCGTCGGTCCCAGGAGTCGTGTTTCCCGCGGTGAGAACCGAAGACCGTACCTCGTCCTTCGTAACCTGCGGGAAAGGAAGCGTAGCTTGCCTTTGTAGGACTGGGCTTTCTATTGGTATGTCCTCGGAGATTGCAGCGTTTCTAAGGAGGACGCGGGTAAATAAGTCGCGCTTCTCTTTTGGTTGTGAGACAAGCGTGTCTTGGTTGTCTACATCTCGGAGTGGCGGGGTCTGAAAGGATCCTGTGGCTTTGTGCCAACCGACCATTTCAAATATGTCTTTGCTTGAGGAGGCTGAGGAGATCTTATCTTTCCAAAAGGCATCCTTGGAGCGTTTAAACTCGTAGAGGAAGTCCTGTTTTAGAGCTTCGACCTCCTCTTCTTCCCATTGGCAGTTCACTCCGGCTGCGCGGAGTCTTGCTAACATCGCTCGCTTACTCGCATAGGCTCGGTGTTTACGTGTGCAGCTCTCGCTCCAGTATGGTCTCCCTGTACCTTTCCCGAGCGTGCGCTTTGTGGAAGCCGTGAGTGCTTTAATAAGACAGTCCGTAAGCTGTTGTGCTAGGAGATCTAAAGACTGTGGGTCTTGGATGTTGCTTGCAGTGCGGCGTATGGGTTGTAAGTTGCGTTTAATGATGCCGAGGAAAAGCTCCTCGTCCATCGTGTCGAGCCGAAACCTTCCCGGGGTCTGGCTGATATTCGTAACTGTGGGAACAAACGGCAATCGCTAGGTATACACGGAGCCGAGCTATGTCACGTGTCTTCGGCACGTGACACACCTCAGCTCCCTCCTTCCATATCACGAGCCTTCGCGTTTAGATACTCTCCTTAAAGACGGTAGCCTGTAATATAGTTTAGATTAGTATAGACCATGTCGGCATAGCGCCCGGCACGTCCTTTTGTTACCAGACGTTAAATACATCATCATCATCAAGATACTCTCCTTAACAACAATAACAACAACAAGAACACCAGATTAACCCAACGATATTGCTACCGATCGCGATACCAGGAATACCTGTGTGACTAACCTGTGGTACACGCAAACCAACAGTAACAATTCGTTGAATCTGCCTGAACAGAAAGATGGACTGAATCGCTTTTTTCTTTAGCAAGAGGGCTGCCATACTCTCCGGAATATCAAGCCATTGGGCATAACATCATCGAACCATTGAAATCACTGGTCTCCTGAATAGAAGACGAGGTACATCGGATTCCGGACATTTAGGTACATAAGCTTTGCAGAGTGGGTAAGATGGTAATAAAACTCGTAGCTACGTGTACCTTACTTTCCACGCAGGTGGTAGAGCGGTGGCTGGCAGGCTACACTGCAATCAAAGTTAATTCACTTAACTCGGGCTGACGTGTGATGCATTGCGTCGATACTTGCATGTACGCTAAGCACTATTCTCAAAATGGCTCTCGTAAGCTAGGCAGATACACCATCTCCAGCCAATTCCTTGCGCGCAAGATATCAAGCCCCTGCATGTCACGGTTCTGGTTGAGATGTGTACCCTGAGACTCTTGGCCTCTCACAAGACTAGCTAGGCACACAAAATACTCGGATCTGGCATTCAGGCCGCTGTATTGAGGTAATCGACTCATGGTTGAACGAGTAGTTCAATGCTGTGCCGTAAAGGACATTTATTTTGAGCTGCTTGCATGCAGCATGACGTGCAACCACATCACATTTGCTTAACGATGTTGCAAAATGACTTCGATTAGAGGTGTAGAATGTGGTTACATTGATTATCTGGCAGTGCAGCAACATGGTCTTATTGCCCTACTTCCTCTCTACCTCGAGAGATGCCAGGACGAAGGCTGATTCTCCGAGAAGACTATTAGGCAAAAGCGGCTGATGAGTGTAGTATTCGTAAGATGCTGTAGAGTTGAGACTGCACACAGCGACGGTCTTGTTGTATCCGATCGTACCGTTTCCAGTGTCGACAACAAAGTTTCGGGTGGTGTAGTCGTAAGCCTTCAAAGCTGCCTTCTTGAAGTCCACCTTCGAGTTCGACAGAAGCCCAAGTCTCTCGCCCTTGAGCATCGAGAACATGAACAAGGCCGTGCTGGAACTCTCGAGGTAGTTGCCGCTGCGTCCAGGGAACGTCGTCAATTGCCACCAAACTCCGGTCTCAGGGTCGGCGTAGCGGACGAGAGACGTAGCCAATTGAGTCGTCATGTGTTGCAGTTGCTTGCACAAGGCTTTGGCCTCGTGCTTGTCGGCGGGACAGTCGAGGGCCTCCCACGTCTGGACTAAACCTGCTACAAACCAGCCCACGGCGCGGCCCCATACATACGGGCTCGCACCTGTCTCTTTGTTTGCCCAAACGGAAGTCTTTGAGTAGTCGTATCCGTGGGCGACCAAGGAGGTGTTCTTTTGGAAGCAGTGCTCGTAGAGCAGTGAAACCTGCAAGCTGATATCGGTATAGTTGGGCTGGGGCTGCGCAGCCATGAATGGCAGCACTGAGAACATGCCGTCCAGGTAACTCCATTGAGGGTAGACGTAGTACCAGAAGCCTCCAACGGGGTTGCGAATTTGAAGCGACAGAGATTCGTTGATCGCTTTCGATGCTGCCGACGCCGTGTCCGAAATCGTCGCGATTCCCGACTTGAAAATGGCGTTGATAGCGTTCGCTACTGAGAAACGGTCTAGGGGTCGGGTTGCGACGTAAGTTGCATTAACCAAGTTGGGAGTCCCCTCGTTGAGAACTTCCTCCAAGTAAGGCACATATTGGTCCTTGAGGTCCGGGTACTGCTTGAGTGCAGCCTCCATGGCGATGGAGAGAATGCCCGTTTCCAGGAAGCTGCTTGATTCACCGGACGAGATGATGCCCTGCTTTCGCGTCTTAATGCTGTCGAGCATCCATGTCGAGTATCGCCGGTCCTCGCAGTTTGCGGCAGTCGCCAAGCCGCAGAGGGCCAACAGCCGGATCGTGAAATGACGCATGTTGGGAAGCACGATTGATCACGAAGGTGAGGAATTCGAGATCTCGCAAACGCTATCCGTACCGTGGAGCTTCATCTTTTCTTAACCCCGCCACCGGCGTCGCGGACACTATATATTCGTACAAAGTACAGTTACTTTTCGTATGAGTCAAGCTAATTGCACTGCTAATTATTGCGGAAGCCTATTTGTTTACCCGGCTCGTCATTGGGCCCTCTCGCCAATGCGGCAATCATTCCCCTTTTTAGTGTTTCCCCCATGCATGCCGGTACTTCCGCGGGGAACTTCTGGGCCCATAATAGTGCAGTGACTACTAAGATTTGATCCTCTAATACCTTACCTTATGCTGCAGGCTGACGACTTTGCGTACCGAAACTTTGGTATGAAGGCTGTAGGCTACCGTTGAAGAGTCTGACTGGTCAAGAGGTTGCATTCGATGTTCCTAGATCTTGTTTGAAATGACGGGGCGATACTAGGGCCAGGTCGAGGTAAAGAAGCTGGTGGCCTTACCACTGAGCAGAATGAATTTGAAGGAACCATCCCGTGCTAGGCAGTAAAGTTTCAACGGTAGGGGCCACAGTTTTGGACGCGAAAGATTTCCCGCTACGAAATGAGCACAGAGGGGTAAGTTCGTACGGCAGACTGCAAGAGGCACTCCGCCAAAACACTTTTTCTCAGTAGACTTACGGTAGCCGTACAATTAGGTACTCTAAAGTACCATACTGTTACGGCCAGCTAGTCGTAGGGGTAGTTTGCAGAAGTTGAGGCTGCGGAACTGGTAACAGTAATCGTAGTCGTGGAATAGTTTCAAGGAAACTATGTCTGTCAATCGTAAGGTAAGGTAATGTGGGACTGTGGATACCTGAGGCAGTGGCTGGTGCCCCAGGCACCAGCTGCCTGATCCACCTCCTGGTTGATCCAGCCCACCGCAGCCACCTTCACCACAACATCACCAACCAACCGTCAATACCAGTCGTATTGCCTCATTGCTTGCCTCGTTGGTCCAGATGTGCAGTGTGTACTGCCCACAGGTAAGGCTTCGGTGATCAATCGTAGTCTTGTCAAGGTGATAGCTGAAAGCGGATGTTAATCCTGATACGAAGTTAATTGCTGAAGAAGCTATGGAAAGTCTGTCCTAGAGCCCAGCTCAAGTCCATCCTTATATACAAGTCCGATCCTAACTGAACAGTGCTGAACAGTCCCCTTTGTCTGGATATGTTGGATATGCCGAATATCCAACATATCCTTGACTCGGTTGGATATGTCGCATATCCAACATATCCTTATCCCTTATCATATCTCTTATCATCACGTGACTTGTACCATAGTTCTTCCGTTCCTGGGGTTTCCCCAATGTTCCGTCCCGTCCTGCATATATGATGCGCCGTAGCCGCTAGGCGTCAGCGGGGCACGCCCTGGTCTCATGTTGGGTCGTAACAAAGTGATGTAGATAAGAAACCGACAGTATATCGGCAGAAACTTCTCCACCTAACTATATTATTAGTATAAAAAACAACAAACTTAACGAACCCCAACCTGGGTCACGACTACTTACTTATAGGTCTACGGGACTAGACCTTTGAGAGGGAGAGCTAATATTACGGCCCAATATATATAACCAAGAACAGGGCCTGCCCCGTAGGTGTTACGCCCGCCGCAACTTGTCACTGTGGGCGCGTAGCTATATATGCAGAACAAGGGACAATGATGACCGGAGTCATCATTATCGAAGCTTTTGCTTTGTGCCACAGTTGGTTGCCTTGTCCTGCTCGTAACAGTAGGCTCGCAGCGGTTATAATACACTATATATGCAGGAAATAAGGGATACTAGGCACCCTCTCACGGAACGGAAGAACTATGGTATAAGTTACGTAATAATAAGATAAGATATAAGCGACCATGGTAGGGCCATAAGCGCTTATGCTAAGTAATGAGCGCTTATACAGGAACAATGAGCGCTCACCCGATTAGAGGGACTGATTATTAATAAGGATATATTCAGGACCAGGACTTATATATAGGATGGACTCGAGCCGGATGTTACAACCCAACATGCATGACCAAGAACAGGGCCTGCCCCGCAGGCTCGCGGCGGTTATAATACACCACATATGCAGGAGATAAGGGACACTAGGCACCCTCTCACGGAACGGAAGAACTATGGTACAAGTCACGTGATGATAAGATAAGACATGAGCGGCCATGGTGGGGCCATGAGCGACCATGGTGGGGCCATGAGCGCTCATGCCAAGTAATGAGCGCTCATACCGAACAATGAGCGCTCACCCGATCAGAGGAACTGATCATTGACAAGGGATATGTTCAGGACCAGGACTTGTATATAGGATGGACTCGAGCCGGACTCTAGGACAGACTTTCCATAGCTCTTCAGCAATTAACTTCCTATCAGATCTTATGATCGCTTTTAGCTATCTTCCCTGAGAACCTCTTTGATAAGACTACGATTGATTACCGAAGCCTTCCCTTACCCTACGACTTATAGACATAGCTTCCCTGAAGCTATCCCCGACTACGAATACTGTTACCAGTTCCGCAGCCTCAACTTCTGCAAACATACCTCACTACGACTAGCTGGCCGTAACACGTCAGAGTCGATATAGCTTATACTTTATCGATTATACTCGAGCTTATTATTAACTAGTTAGATATGCTAAAGATTCTAACTATTATTTATACCGACTTATAACTACTTACTTTATAAGTAGTTATATAGTGGAGCTCGGATGTTACGAGCTGAACAAGGCAACCAACTGTGGCACAAAGCAAAAGCTTCGATAATGATGACTCCGGCATCATTGTCCCTTGTTCTGCATTATATAGCTACGCGCCCACAGTGACAAGTTGCGGCGGGCGTAACATTTAACTCGTGAATTTGCTTTTTTATATTTATTAACTAACTATATCTAACGTACATGATAAGCGAGTGGGCCAGACAAGCGAGTGGGCCACCCAACCACGACCACATGACATGAAGGAGCAAATATCAACACCAACCTCATGGATTCAATCCAAACTATTCAGAGTCCTCTTCCTCAGACATTTCCTCATTAAATCGACATGTTCGCGCATTATAACCAGTATTCCCGTAGACGCGACATCGTCGTTAGCCCGTCTTAGTCCTCGGTCAGCGACCACTACTCCGGCGCGTTTCCTCCTCTACCTAGGCTATAGCCTCTCTCTACGACTAAAGGTCCTCTCCCTCAGCTATAGTAAGGCTTCCTCCTTATCAAAGACGGTTTTTCTTAGCTCTCTAGCATCGACTAAGTAGGTTATTCTCCTTTCGAAGGATCTGATTCTCGGATCTTAATAAGGCCATCTGGTACATAAATCCACGAGCCCCCTTAGATAGATCCTCTATAGCTTTAATAATTGAAGTTAGTGAGCTGTTTTGATGACGGGAGATTCGATTCTTGATGAGTTCTAACTAAGAAGATACTTCCGTTAAGTTGTTTAGTATCTAAGAAGTCTATGCCGGTGGTGTTGTCGGGAGGGATCCTGGAGGCGTCGGAGTAGGTAACTTCACATCAAGCTTTGAGAGCACACTCTCTGCACTTAAAGGCACAATTCCTACCCCTATGAATCCTCCCTGGATGTTTTCCTCCGTAATCGCTTGCGTAAAAGCCCTATAAAACGCCGGGAAGAAGTCCTCCTTAGTAATATACGTATTGCCCCGACGCATCTTGTCCTTGATTTCTCGACCATACGCCGTTTTTAAAGGCCTAAAACATCTAACATCTAAGGGCTAGAGTAGATGAGACGAATAAGCCGGCATAAACAGGGTAACGATGTTATTCTTCTTACAAAAAATCTCGAAATCCGCGGAGTAGTGACTTTCGTATCCGTCGACGACGAGGAGGCGGTATTGACCCTTTGCACGCGGTCTTATATACCGTTCGAAGTACCGAGCCCAGTCTAGACCTCTTTCATTTATTGTCCATCCATTTTCAGACGTTGCGATGACCTAGTCGTGTAGGAGACCGGATTCCGTATACCAGGTAGAGAGGTAATATTGGCCCGCAACGATGATATACGGCGGAACGCTATAGCCCGACGGGCTGATGGCCTGAATGACCGTAACCCATTCACGATTGCTAGGCTATATTATTTTCGTGTTTGAACGCCTTTTGGCACTGGTCACGACCATGCCGGTTGAGATCTGGCCCATCATAAAGCCAGTCTCGCCAAAGTTGTAGATATCTGAGTCTACGATGCCGTACTTCGCGATTGTGTTCGCCACAAGCAAGAACCACGCGTTAATCGCACCCGGATCTTCGCATTAGGCCCTCTTATAGTCGTACTTACGAAAACGACGCATACGCAACTCTGGTTGTCGCTTTACGAAGTTCGAAGCATATCGCTTCCCAACATAGGGCGCGTCACGATTAGCGAGCAATCGATTCGCCATTTCTTCAACACCGCGAAGACGGGGAGGAAAACATCTGGCGTCCAGGTCGAGGATGTACTCAATCAGCTTCTTCTCTTCTAGTAGCGTTAAATTCCGTGAGTTGGGTGTGTTATTACGTCGTGATAACGTTCCCTCTAATCTGCGGCCTAAGGTAATTAACGCGACTAATGTTATAGATCTTTGCCGCGGCCCGAATACTGGGATTTCGGTCTTTCTAGGTAGCCTGAACCGCTAAGTTTAATTGGGTATCTTTGTTATGTACTGTCATTGTTTTCGATGGAGAAATGCGTATTGTGATGATGTAGGTGGCACGATGGCGGTTGGGTGGCCCACTCGCTTATCATGTACGTTACCCTTCTAGCCTATTAGAGCTTATAGGACCTATAAGATCTCTAGAGCGGTACTATAAGGGTTAATTATTAGGCCTATAGGATTCTAGGCCTTCCTTTATATAATAGATTTCTTTTAAAAGATCTATCTATAGTATTAAGGACTAGGTTTTAACCTAGGCCCTATAAACGAACCTACCCTCTTAGAGGGGTAGATAGTAATAACGGAACTAGGAACGATAGAACACATAGTAGCCCACGGGCAAGACTTAGAGGACGATATGACGAGGCGTGTACTGTAGAGTATATAGCTTGAGCCTGCGGCCCTCAACGCCATATACCCCTCGGGAGGTCGGCCGCAAGGGCGGCAGCGCCTTTGCCGCCACGGCGTTAAATACAACAACAACAACAACAACAACAACAACAACAACATCTCATATAACTTTTGTGGGCAAATCTTTGCGAGAAATGATGAGGGTAGTTGGGTTTCATGAGTACTTTGGATGGGTACGGCGTGCATGTCAGCGCCATTCCTCATGTTTTCTCCGAATTTGCACAACTAGCACCCCAAGATGAGTTCAATCAATACACACTTAATTTTGCGCGCTCGATATCATGAACACTACGGGAAACGACTGTAGCGGTCTCCGCGATTTGCTGTAGATTGGTGCCAAGCATTGGGTTGTACGCTGTTCATTGACCACCCTCGACAGCAATCATCGAATGCCGGTGGGAGAGTTATATTAAAGTGCGGAAGTGGAATTGGCCGGGTATGCTCGGATCAGAGCGAGCAATCTGGACCCATACTAATCTAGGTGAGACCAACCAATGAAAATGCAGGAATCCAGGTGCCTCAGATGAGGGATATTCCTGGCTGCATCTGGAAAGGAGAGAACACAACAACATAGATAACAATATGATCACGATTATCCACAACAAGTTCAGGCAGTACACAGAAAACTGTAGTTGATGCTGCCAAGAAACATGTGACGCTTTCTTCGGTAACACAGCGTACTCCGTACACGATGTTGCCAACACGAACTTTTAGGGTCGTTGACTTAAAAGGACATACCTAGATCACCTAATATCTATGGGGCTGTTATGGCTACTGATCTAAGGCATAGCGGTCTCACTCTTCATCGCAAGTGATGGGGCCCGCAGCATTGAACCATTCCGGTGTACGACTCAAAAGTGGGCAACGGACTTTCGGACGTTGAAATGTCGTCTGCAGAGGTTTGCAAAACCGATGGTAGTCCCAAAGATGCGGCTTTCGAAAAATACAGTTTACCCATATGAATTGATCAAGTTCTTGGCAATCCTGTTGAAGATTAGTGTTCACTTATATCCAGGAGCAAGCGAGTGGCTGTTCAAGAAGCGCCGGTGGGATGAAGCCTTGGTGCAGCATCCGGCTTTTGTATCATTGGTTTGCATCAGTCAAAGCTTCAGTTGGTCTCTTGTTCCCCCTTGAGATCGAAAGTGCCAAGAGCATCCCTTCTCAAACCTTATCCGCAACCCCTGCCAAGATTTCAATCTACACGCCGGCAAACGGCTTGTTCCAACTCTGCAGGTGGGTTAGCGCGAATTTCATCTGCCATGGTGAAATCGATTTAACCACAAGCCAGTTAGATTAAGAGGTGAAATTTCCACAGCATCATCCAGGGATATCCCAACCCCGCACGGAAAACGACGCGGTGCCCAGGTCGGCGGTCGACCAGGGTCGCATTTCCGACCATGGCTTCGGAGGAGCTATTAAAGACGCTAGATCGCCAGTGCTATAGAGAATGTTGGAACCAATCTGTGTCAGACTGGGTCGCTAGTTGACTTATTCGCAATGTTGGGTTTCGACAAGTTCTCTGCCGCCTGGCTTATGGCCATTATGTCTGTCAAGCCAGTGACATCGACCCTTCTCTATGCCGCTTCGCACGCCGGAACCGTCACCACCCTCGATCTTCAGACTTCAGAATCAGGAACGACTTTAAAGGCGATTGCAACGAACACTGATTGCGCGGCGAACCCTTCTTGGCTTACCCTCGACCAATCAAAGTCTCTGCTCTACTGCGCGGACCGAGGACTCACCAACCCCAATGGCACGCTCGTTTCTTTTCAAAAGTCTGAGAAGGGAACTCTCGAGCTGCTGGGAAAGCTACCTACCATCAAAGGGGCTGTGAGCTCCGTTGTGTATGGCAAGAATGGTGGAGGCATTGCCTTGGCCTCTTAGTAAGTCCCACTCCCTGACCCCGGAGAGATTTCCACATTCGTCACCGAAGAAGCTCGTTCTGTGAGATTTGGAAACATTACTGCCCATCGTTTTGCGGAACTCCGCTAACTAAATTCAAAGCCCGGCGTCATCCTTTGAAGTGTTTTCCGTGGAGGATCCGACCGACATCAAAAGGCTTCAATCTTGGACATACACTCTGAGCCAGCCAGGACCGAAGCCGGCACAGAATGCCCCGCATCTCCACGAGGCCATCCTTGACCCCACGGGGCAGTACGTGCTAGTGCCGGATTTGGGAGCGGATTTGGTCCGGGTTTTCTCAATCAACCATGAATCCTACCAACTGACGCCCGTTACCCCACTGAATGCCGCAGTTGGCAGTGGTCCAAGACACGCCAGATTCCTCGTCACCAAGGAAAAGACTTACTTCTTTGTTATTGCTGAGCTTGGAAACATCGTCACCACGTACGAAGTTCATTATGGTCTCCACAAGACCTTGAGCTTCACGGAAGTTTTCAGCGTCGGTACCCACGGTTCTGACAACACGGTGCCCGTTGGAGCTGCAGCAGCTGAAATCCACATTTCTGTAAGTACCTGCTCAAGCTGATTTCTCGATGAGGATAGTCCGTCAGAGATGTGTTGCGTTCCTAACCTTGCATCAGCCCGACTCTGAGTATCTTGTTGTCTCTTCGCGAAACGTCAGCACCTTCAGCATTCCAAACTTTGATACCACCAACAGTACCGAGATCAAGAGCGACGCTCTCGTCACCTTCAAGATTGATCACAAGACCGGCCACCTGGGCTTCACTCAGATCTTCCCGTCGGGTGGCATGATCCCCCGACAGTTCTCGATCAACAAGGCCGGTACCCAGGTTGCGGTGGGTCTGCAGCAGGATGGTCGGGCGGTCATCATCGACCGCGAAGTGAGCACCGGTCTTCTGAAGGGGTTCGCCGCGAACATTTCTATCGCAGGTGAAGTTGTTTGCGTAATTTTTGATGAGTGATTCTGTCAATCGCTATGGTACTTATATGTAGAAACATGTTTTGGATTCTCAGTCAAGGAGTGAGACAGCCTCCTAGAGTGGCCACTTTCCATCAACCTGCATCCTTTCTTTCTCCTGTCTCCAGTGTCCAGCATCAAATTTCCAGACCCAAACCTCCTGCTTCTCGTCGTAACTTGCTTTGTGCCGTCCCTTGAACCTGGAAAGACCGGCTGCCCGCATGAGTGCTCGCCAAGGTTCATTGTCGTCGCCTGTCTCTGTCCTAAACACCTCGCACCCAAGCTCGTTGTGGGCATACTCGATAAGGAGGCTGATCAACTCGAGGCCATAACCCTTGCGCCATTGTTTGTAGTCGATGATGATGCCAATGTCCGTCATGTACGTTTCGCTTCCCGAAAGTGTCGTCTGGTCAAGGAATTCGGTCGGGGCGACAGATTCAAAGGTGTTGTACCCTCCGTACCCAATCAGCTCATTTGTATCGCGCAATTCCACGACTAGGAATGCATTTTTGCCCTCCGCCGACATTTTAGCGAATTTCTCAATCCGAGCACGAAGCTTTTCAAAACTGAGACCCTGTTCTGGTTGCTCAAACGGGAAGTTTTCCGGGGCTGTCATGATGGCGTGAAAGGACTCTGTGTCAGATTCTGTAACAGTTCTAACAATCAGTCGCGGAGACAAAATCTCGTACGACGCCCGACAAAACTGAGAAGAGCTCATCATGGGGGGGTAGACGGCGATTCGATGATTTCCGTTTCAAATTGAAGCCTTGCTGAAGAAGTTACATGTACGGACCGAAAGTTCCCAACATGAGCTCCGTGGAAGACCTCAACTTATATGAGCAAGTTTTCAACACATCTTGGCTTTTTCCCTGTCTACATGTTTGCGTCTGAGGATCCGCAACGCCGCGTGGTCTTGTTGATTTTAATCGGTCGAAGGATCAGAGTCTTTTGAACTTCCCGATTTGGATAAAATTCCTGGTGCGCTGTGGACCAACATTTGGGTAGGTTGGTTGATTGCCAGTGAGTCACAATGGATCTGAGTCAATGAAAGAAGAGACGAATGCATTGCGAACCGACCCACGTGCCTACTAGCACCTACCTGTTTTTTGTTTTTGTTTTTGTTTTTTCAGATTTTCGTGCGCGATGATCAATACCAGCCAAGAAGTTGTTAGCCATTTCCATCTTGATAAGGTTGAAGTGCAGCACACAGGTTGTGTAGATTGATGGCATTGTCAGGCATCTCAGTTCAGCACTGGAGTCTTTCAAGTCAGCCTCAAAAGTGAAGCGTCCCGCAGTATGAGTGCAATCAGATGCTTCAAGTACGAATCGTCCCATGAGTGTCGATATAGCGAGACTTGGCAAAACCTGGATGTCGATGACTGCCCCAAGCTCCGCAACTCTTCCCGAGTGACTCCAAGTCCGGGGAAACGGCAATCTTATATGCTGGAGATGTAGCTTAAACAGCTCATCAGACGCACTTGATTGCAACGTCACGGTTTCGTCCCAGCTTCAGCAGAGTGATTGCGGCCGATCAGCCCCTGCAAATGGTTCTCGGATGGACGCACGACCGATGCAGCCCGCAAAGCCAAGCGCGCACGATCGACAGGCAACATCATACCCGGAAACACGGATAGGGCAAGTGAGACAGGAGCTCGTGGCTATGTCGTCAGCCACTGTAAATGTTCTACGCTTTTTCTTCTTTTATGACTGTCGTTCTCTGGAAGCTGTCGAAAGGAATGCGAACATGGTGACAGCTGCGCGAGTCAGCGAATGGTGGTTATTGCCCATTCTTAATGACTTGGTCGGGTTCTCTGGGCCGCTTGACCGCAAATCAATGCCCAAATGAACGGATGTTATTCGACATCTAAAGCACCTTGCCCGTTGCGAGCCGTGAAGGCGGGACTTGCTCAGGGAGAGTCGTCCTGTCAGCGATTGGACGATCAATCTACTTTTGTGCCCGTGCTCACAGCTCATAAAGACTGTTGAAAATACTTATTTCTTTGCCGTCTCGTCCTCACCTGGTGTTCGGTACCTGCACGTACATGTACGCAGAAGACGCCGACTAGCTACACGATGTCATCATGGACCAAATCTCACCAGTATGCGCAGATTGGAGAAGCAAATGAAAATGGCGAGATTGTCCAAGATAGAGAATCACGGCGGAGGCAATACTGGCAAAGGGGCAGAATCCACCTCTTTTACGCGATACTCCTCATCTTGGTAGCTGCGCTCAGCAAACATACTGCGCCTAGCAAAGCTGCGCCAGATTATTACGGCGTTGAACCCGTCAGGTCAGAAATGCGATGTAAGATACCACTAGGCGCCACACTCCTTTCTTAATACAACTCTAATACAGCATAGTATCAACCATAAGCAAAACTTTCGAGCTAGATCTCAAGTATGCCATGCCACCATCCCCACAAGTTGACGAAGCTTGGGCCTCGCTTCTTCCTAAGGAGGGCGGCTTTTTTCAACACTCTAAGCTCGCGCCGCAAAAGAGCTGCATAGCGGTGTTCCACCAGCTTCACTGTCTCGACATGATCCGCCAAGCTCTGTACGAAGCGCGGCCCGACATCATGGAGCAAGTCAACAATGGGTCGCACCCTATCCATAAGGCGGGCCATAAGGCGGGCCATAAGACGGACCACGACGCTTCTCCCGATCACAATCACGTCAAAGACATGTATCACATCGGCCACTGCATGGACCTCGTTCGCCAATCTATACTTTGCAGACCTGACCTGACCGTAGAGGTTGGCAACCTAGCGGTAGGTGGTGTGACGGGGTTCGGCACTGAGCATCAGTGTGTGAATTGGCAGGAACTGATGGACTGGATGAAGGACCATGAATGAGGCAATAGATGTATCCCATCGGGTGCGGATGGACGCCATTTTCGCCAAGCCCCAAAATACCCACTACTTATCCACTATTACCGCGCATTTAAAGGGGTACTTTGATGGTACGTCATTTATCCCTATGCTCTGTTACCTATTATCACCACTATTACTACCAATTTGATTGATGCTGTAAGTGTGTGTTATATTTAACGCCGTGGCGGCAAGGGCGCAGCCGCCCTTGCGGCCGACCTCCCGAAGGGTATATGGCGTGGAGAGCCGTCGCCCTATAACTATTGCTAGATACAGTTCAAATCGTCCTCCAAATCGTGCCTTATGGCTACTATGCGTTCTATCTGTCCCTGGTTCCCGCTGGTGCCCCAGTTCCATTCTTGAATTTTGCGGCTTAAGGCCGGATATGTCTGGAGAGGGCGGCCTGCCGAAACAGGCCCCTCGTACATGTTCTGATTTGTACAAGACCATTCCTGCCCCAGTACTTGGTTGACGACGTGTACTCGCCGCATATCCACTTTGTCTTGGTCGGGGGGTGTGGATATGAGAAAACCCTGGCGAGGGCCCGGAAAGGGTCCTAGGCCCCGCATTGGGCTCTGCCCTACCCTTCCCACAGGTAGTTAAAGCAGTTGCCGGCGGCTGGAATCGAACCAGCGACCTCTGGGCTCCAGAGGCCTTGCCAGGTGTATGCCACTACACCACGCCGGCTTGATGCTGTAATGTCTTCTAATGATTCTGATTCTGATGCTTCTATTACTTCTGTACGCAGCTGTATAGTAGTTGAGGTTCTTCCAGAAGACCTTACTGCTGCCTGCAATACAGACTGTACGCCCGAGCGCTGTGACGCAGCAACAGTCCGGCCCTGCGAACCTCCGGCTACCGAGCATGGTCTTCCGGGCTCCTTCCGGCCCTTTAACGTGCCGGCCACTCGAAGGACAACACGAAAGGGCTACTTAGACTGTAATGTACCGTTATGTATTGATAGAGATTGCTGGTACCTCTGGCACACCCAAAATCTATAGAGATTGGAGGTACTAGAGATCTATTGGTTAACTTAAAGGGTTTCCAGGCCCTTATTGGCTCTACCCCGCCCTTGGCGAAAATGGCGTCCATCCGCACCCGATGGGATAACATGACGACATGTGCTAGCCATGACTGACCAAGACGGATATAATTGTAATACAAGCCTTCAGCGTGAGCTCTACTCGCTTCAGCGAAGAGCAACATAGCATTAAGTTCCAAGATCAGAGTTGTGCTGTTACAACGATAACGTACAACGCACCGAGTAAAGCGCAGCACCGATGCAAATGGGGCTAAGAAAAGATTGATATGTAGGGTAGAAATGAACTACCGCCATGCAGCAAAGAAGATCAATAAACATTCGGACGGAGCTCATGATAAATCGAGAAAAACTGCCACAGGAATGGGTTAAAGCTACCTGAATCGGCAATCAAATGTGGACGTAAAGCCAGCAAAGCGAGGCAATCACCGATGCGCAAGACAACGTTCAGGATAGAAACAAACTCGCCCCTCTATGGCAAAAATGGCAGTTGTGGTTTACAATGCTCATTTTCCGAACTCAAATCTATCACAAAGCGAGGTAGCAAGTGGAAGACATGTATAGTAGAAAGTGGCTTGATTCCTCTAAGTGGAAGATCCGTATGAGGGTCATATCTATCCCATCGGGTGCGGATGGACAGCACTTTCGCCAAGACCACGAAATACCCACTATTTATTCTCTATTACCCCGCATTTAAAGGGGTACTTGACGATACGTCACTTATCCCTATGTTCTTTTGCCTATTATCACCACTATTATTACCATTTTGATTGATGCTATGATGTCTTCTGGTGATTCTGATACCTCTATTGCATCTAATGCTTCTGTTACTTCTATACGTAGCTGCATAGTAGTTGAGGTCTACCCAGAAGACCTTACTGCTGCCTGCAATGCAGACTGTACGCCTGTTGGAACAGCAAAGGCTGATAAGGAGTAATAGGCAGGTACCATGGGCTGGCTGGCACCTGCCCTGGGCGAAGTGGGACAACTGGCTTAGTCATCACGGCCGGATAAAGGTGGGGCAACCACCCAGGCCGTCACTACCTACTTCGACCGACTCCTGCCTACAATGTAAGATAGAAGAACAACAAGAAGAACAAGCAATAGGATCACCAACAGACGAGTGATAATTGCTACCACTATTTGTCGTATACGACCCCGTGAACCAACAACGCCAGAACGCTGCGACGCAGCAACAGTGCGGCCCCACGAACCTCCAGCTACCGAGCATGGCCTTCCGGGTTCGTTTCGGCCCCTTGACGTGCCGGCCCGGGCCCAAGAGATACGGGGGCTGCCGGCAAGCCCGCTTGACCTATTCATGCAGTACGTTCCGCAGGGCCCCTTTGAGCAGTGGGCCCAGTGGACGAATGCAGCACCGTTATCTAGGGAGGGCCCTAGGGCTAGACGGGCTAGAATATATGAGTGGGGGAAGACTTCAACAGACGAAATCTACCTCTTCTTAGGGATCCTATTATATATAGGGATCTGTCGGAACAGCAAGGCTGATAAGGAGCAATGGGCAGGTATCGTGGGCTGGCTGGCGCCTGCCCTGGGCGAAGTGGGACAACTGGCTTAGTCACCACGGCCGGTTAAGGTGGGGCAACCACCCAGGCCGTCACCACCTACTTCGACCGACCCCTGCCCACAATATAAAATAGGAAGTAACAAGAACAACAACAGCAATTATCACGGACATCGACGTGATTGTTGCCAAAGATACACCCTCAGGAGGAAATGTATCACGCCTGTGATGCCAACAGGATCCATAGAGAATCTAGATTATCAACCTACTGGTCAACCCAGCAGCAGAGAGAGGATCCTATCCACCTATTTACACGGTTTATGTCCCGGGACCGTTTCCAACTACTACTCCAGCGACTACGGATTTTCAATACTGCGGAATTCCAGCCCGAGCAGCGCGCCCAGCCCAGCCCTGCCCGGCCCAGCTAACTAGGAATTAGGTCAACCAATTCACCTGGAAGGATAATGCCCTCGTACTCTTCCTGTCAACTGTCTTCCAGGACGGCCAGGAAGTTATTCGCAGCCGCCGCCGCCCGGCTGGGGATACCGCTGCTAAGAAGGCCACCCGGGAAGTCTTCGGCCCGGATGTCCGCAAAGACCTTCTAATCCCTAGGGCAATTGATGAATATAATCATAAGATGAATGGAGTTGATGTGAGTGACCAGATGAGGTCCTACTATCAATATAACCACCCTATTCGTCGAGGGGGCTGGCAGTCAGTTGCCTGGAATTTCCTACTAGAAGTGGTAGTTGTGAATAGCTTCCTACTGCAGCTCTGGGGCAGCCCTAGGTGGAAAAAGGTGAAAACCCACTACCAATGGCGGCAGTTGCTGGCTGCCTAGCTTATTCAACGGTTTGGACCATTGGCAGGCGGGCGAAGACTATCACGGCCTAGACGGGCTATAGATAAGAGGAATATTTCTATCCCATGGGAACAGCATAGGAAGGGATCAAGGAAGGTATCTTCACCTTGTACCTATTGTGGTAGTAGGAAGGTTTTCAAGGAGATATCTGGGAATACCATCACTCGGCAACGACGGCAGACAACTCGAAATGGTTGCTTAGATTGTAATGTACCATTATGTATTAATAAAGATTGCTGGTACCTCTGGCATACCCAAAATCTGTAGGAAACAGAGGTACTACAGCCCTATTGGTTAACTTTATAGATTTGCAAGCCCTTATTGGCTCTACCCCGCCCTTGGCGAAAGTGCTGTCCATCCGCACCCGATGGGATATACCGTACAAGACGGGTAATCGGCTTGTAGAAAGCGGTATCGTACGGCAGTAACCGGCAGCGCCACGTGTGGCGCTGCGACAAAATCACCAAAGCACATTCCTCGTTCAGCCATAGCGCTGCTCAACAAGCTTTGTTGCAACATGATCTGCACTTTCCCCGGAAATTACGGACCGCTAGAAGATGGCACTGGCACATCTGCAGACTGCAACCCCCTGGCCAAGGAAATCGAAGCAATGGTCGAAGCCAAGCTGCTGCAATCGGTTGCGTTGGGCAGTTGAAGGAAAGTCTGCATCCGATCGTTCTTGGCAAGCGGGATGGAATGTTCGTCCCATGTTCGTCAAGCTTAAATCATCTTCAATCGGCATCGTTCGTCCAAACAGGCTGCCGAGTCAGCTCCGGACCTCGAAGGGTGTTCCTAGATCGCCCCCAATGGATCGCCTAACGGGAAGTTTGACTCGGTTCGTATAAGAAGTTAGAGTTTTAGTAATCATGCCCGTCGTTAGTTTTTCGAACAACCACGCCTTCTCCGAGCGACCCGGCTGTCAGTTTAATTCAAGTTTCCGTTCAAGGCATTTCACGAATGAGGTGCTAGACTGATTCCACGGGATAACCCACCAATGACCTGAATTGAGCAGGGATTCGCTCTCCTAATCCAACTCCTCTTAGAAAGCTTAGTATTCAGGGACATATTGACGATAGCTTAGGATTACGTGCATTCGAGTTTCAGCGAAACGAGCCGCCTATGACTCTTCCATGCATGCCGTGCCAGCAATCAGCTCCTTATCTGACGTAGTAATACTGCTATCAGCTCAGATTACAGGAAGCTTAGTTGCGGATCCAGATGTTATCCGAGTTGCTAAGCTTCCTTCTGTGCATTGAGCAAACTGAAATAGATGATTTGAGGAACCTTTGATAGCCGATGTTGCAGTGGTCTCAGCAGCCCATCAGCCAAAGCCTTTGGCCCGTGTTGATGCCAAATTGACATGTTTATCAAGATCGGTTTCCCCCTCGTTTGAGCCTCGTTTGAGGCTTGTTTGAGGGACAACATTGTCAACGTCATTCGGGACCCCAGCTTAACATCGCTATGGTTTCGGCGATGTCCATCCGTCACCTACTGCTGGCATTGTTGCCATGCACCACTGTCCTGGCCGATTCTTGGCGAGTTGATGGCTTCAACCCGGTCAAGAAACTCGCAGAGGCCAAGCGATTGCCTGCTCGCCGCCATCTTGAGCGTCGTCAGAGTAGTGAGAAGTACCAGTATCTAAATGAAAAGACTGAGAGTATGTCCGCCCAGTATCACCCGCTTTTGTTCGTGCACTAATGTAGCAAAGAGTACCTTGTGAATGGAACGTCTATTCCACTGGTCGATTGGGATCTAGGCGAATCATATGCTGGTCACATACCTATCTCGAAAGAGTCAAACGAGACTCGACAACTCTTCTTCTGGTACGTATATGCGCCTCTTCCAGCCGCCGTCTGTCTTGCAACATTGACACTCATCCCCACAGGTACTTCCCTAGCACCAATCTTGATGCAGCTGAAGAGGTCACCATTTGGTAAGTTTCTCAACACACTCACCGAAGCCAAGTCTCAAACTCATTCGTCTACTAGGTTGAACGGTGGCCCGGGATGTAGTTCCTTCATTGGATTGGTCCAGGAGAACGGCCCATTCACATGGTTCCCGTCTGCTTATCGCCCGGTCTACAACATCTTCAGCTGGCCCCAACTCTCAAATGTTCTTTACGTCGATCAGCCTGCCGGCACCGGCTTCTCGGTCGGCAAGCCCGGAGTCAACACGGAAGAGGAGACCGCCCAGCAATTCCTCGGTTTTTACCACAACTGGATGGAGACCTTCGGAACCAAGGGCCGCAAAACTCATCTCACCGGCGAGAGCTACGCTGGTCACTACATCCCCTACATTGGTGACGCCATGATCAAGTCCAACCATTCTGCTGACTACAATCTCTCTGGTGCCCTGATGTTCAGCCCCTACATCAGATCTGATCCCGGTGATTTCCAGCAGCACGCGGTTTCGCTTCCTTTCGTCGAAGAGTACAACAACGTTATGGGCCTGTATCCCGGCGTTGGGGACTACTACGATCGGATCAATGCCGCCGACAAGGAATGTGGCTACGCCGATATGCGTGAAAATTACTTTACCTTCCCTCCCAAGGGTCCCTTCCCGCCCGGAAACAACAGCGATGACTGCGCAATCTCGTCCATTGTCTACGATGGTCTTGCAGAAGTTAGCCCTTGCGCCAATATTTATCACATCTCCCAGAGCTGCCCCAACCCATCGGACCCCCTCAGCTGGGCCGTCGAGGGGGACAACGCCTCCGTACCCATCAGCTTTGACAAGGCGGACTGGCACTCTTATCTCAACCTTCCCGAGATGCGCAAGGCCATCCACATCCCCACCGGTCAGAGAGATTGGAAGGAGTGCTCCGATGAGAACCCTTTTGGCCCCACTGGCGATGTCAGTCTTGACCCCTTCGCCTCTGGCGCTCTGACCCGCGTTATTGAGCACACAAACAACTTCATCATTGCCAGTGGCAACCTTGACTTCCGAATACCGACCAACGGTACGCTCATGGTACTCCAGAACATGACTTGGAATGGACAGCAAGGTTTCGACGAGTTCCCTTCCAAGACCTTTCACCTTCCTACCGCCTACAGCGATTTATCTTCTCAGAGCTCTGCTGGGAATATTGGTGATTGGGTTGCACAGCGAGGACTCACCTTTGCTCGTGTTTTCAATGCGGGACACGGTGAGACATCTTAGCAAAGTAAACAGTCCTAACTATATACTGACTTTCGTCTTCACAGAACTTCCTCAATACGCTCAGGGAGCCGGGTACCGTCTCCTAGAACAGCTTCTCGGCCGTGTAACGGACTTGACCAGCGACGTCATGTTCACTGCCCTTCCAGGTGACTTCACGGGGTCAAATACAACGCATGGGTCTACCCCTCACTAAGATAAAGGATACAATGACGCATCTTTGGGGACTCTTGGGACATGAGTTTCCAAACCTATTGGCCAGGCCTTCGTTTATGCTGCGAAGAAGGCCTAGTAGAGCCCTACCATCAAGTCACTGAACATCACTTCCCAAGAAACCGTCCTTCCAAGGGTGCCTTATCATGTTGACTTCACGCATTTCTAAAGCTACCTTATTTGAGTATAGCAGTCTTTAGGTATAACACAGAATTTGAGTGATGCAATGTGATATGCAGAGCTATTTTACCGAGTGATGTGATGTTTGTGGTCAACTTCCACTCCGTCACAGTGAATGGGTTGTTTGCAATGATCAATAGATGGCAAAAGCAATCTTCGTACTAACCCGTAAACTGCAAAGTGTTGTCAAATACTTAATTATCAACATTGCGTGGACAGACAAAAGACATACGAAGCTCATTGTGCAATCAACAGTAAAGAAACAAACATCGCCCAGTCAAGTAAGGTAGAGCAATACCAATATTTTTCTGCCTGGATTGCCGCATTATTCAGAGGACTCGCAGCTAGCCCACTACGTCTGTGGTGTCTTGGCTCACTTGCTCGACGAGACCATCTCTGCCATGGTCTATCGCTGCCTCCAAAGCATTCTCGTACTCTGCGTGGCAAAGGCTTTTGTCGGCTCCGTGGTCAAGCAGCAGCTCTACAATAGCCTCATGGCCCTGTACGATGGCCTCGTGCAGTGGTGGCCAAATTCTTCTCCAAGCGGGGTTCTTCTCTGGTTCGAACCGCATCTCTGAGTCTAGTCCCTCTAAACGCTCAACGGATGAGCTGGCTGGGCCGGGCCAGTAACGGTAATCTCTGGGATATCGATGCTCAACCGATGTTTCAATAGGGATCCACCGTCCTCGATGTTCATGTGCGTTTGGGTCTATTCCCTTTTCAAGCAGTGTCTTGGTCATTGTTGCATATCCATGAGAAACTGCTAGTTGGAGGGCCGACCCATACGTGCCCTTTTCGTTCACGTTCGTCGTCACTTTGAGAAGTAAGTCGGCGACACGTTCCTGCCGCCAGATCAGAGAAGCCTGCAGTGCAGTTCCATATTTTTCAAATGGAATGTTTGCATCTTCACCATTTTCCAATAGCAGTTTCGCAATTTCAAGGTTCCCATAGGATGCCGCTTGGTGAAGTGCTGTGCCGTCCCACACGCTGCTGTAGTCCACATCGGCCCCGTGTTTCAACAGAAAATTGACGATATCCAAGCGACCTTTCTGAATCACTTGTAGAAGGGTTTCGTCATATTCACGGCCATGGAAAGCTTCAATAGACCCATTGTCGATCAATAGGTTGGCAATATCCAAGTGGCCTTGCCTCAATACCTCTTGAACTGGCGTTCCGAAATAGTAATACCCGGGCTCAGAGTTTACATCTGCGCCCTTCGTGAGGAGCAATTCCACGATGTTGAAATGACCATGCGACGCTGCTGCCTGAAGCGCGGTTCCGTATCCCTTGTGTCGAAAACTGATGCAAGCACCATTCTCGAGCAGCGTTTTGACTACTGCCAGATGGCCATTTCTCGACGCGGCAATTAGTGCCGTTCCGTACCTCTCACTCTCGGCGTTGACGTCGGCACCATTCTTCAATAGCAGGTCCACTAGATCCCCGTTTCCTCCTTGTGCGCAGGCCTCTTCGAGTGCACTGGACTCTCCGCAGTGGACGTTTGGATCTGCGCCCTTTGTGAGCAGCATTGATACAATGTCTCTGCGTCCGTTACGCGAGGCTATCTCCAACGGCGTTTCACCTTCTTCGAACTGGGCGTTGACTTCGGCGCCATTCTCAAGCAGTAGCATCACGGCATCTTTTCGTCCGTCGCTTGTTGCTCGTCGGAGGAGAGTGGTTCCAATTCTCCTTCGGTAATAGGAGGGATTGGTGTCAACACCTACCCTGAGAACTAAACGCAAGCATTCCCGGGGGGTCATCTTAGAAGGCTCCGGTGACACCATCTCACTGCAATCTACGCGACTGGGGTATGTGACCTTTTGGTTTATCCCAAAGCCTCTTTCTAGAAAAAGTGTCACAACTTTTCTGTGCCCCCTCGCACACGCCAAGTATACTGCATCCATGGCCCTTTCGCATCGGACGTTGAGCTTATCGAATTGGTTAAGAAGTACACTCACAGCGTCTAGATGACCTGCCGCTGACGCCAACTCTAATGCTGTATATCCGTATATAAGGGCGTTCCCGTCAGCTCCATTTTCGAGCAGGAGTTGCGCAATCTTGCTTGATATATTGCATGACAATACTCGATGCAGGGCCCTTGTGCACTCTTCGTGTAGGAGATTGGTGATAACTGCCTCATCAAAGCCGTTGAGGAGGAGCATCTGTACATTGCCTTTGAAACCGTAGGCCGCTGTGTTGGTATACACGTCAGCAGGGCAACCGTACGGTTGGAACGAAGTGTCAATAATGGTCTATTATTGCTGCGTCTAGAGGTGGAAGGAGGAGATTGTGGGCAGAGCCCACGATCTCCTAGAAGTGGTATGTAAGTGAAAGGGCCGTTTGTAAGTACCCATACCGCCTTCTAGATCCATATTTTCTACCGACTGCTCATAGATCCAATACTGGTAGTCTTTTAATTGTGAGCAGAAAAGCAGTGGATTTGGGGCTGAGTTCTACGGTTAAAGTCAAGACCGCAGAATCCAGGGGTAGCATCCCCTCTCCAGCCTTGCTATAACCGATTACTGAAAATTTGGTATAGCTTCCGCTGTAATTACCGTATAAAATGTCTAAAAATCCTATTCCCTAGATCCTCCTCCTGAACCTCCAATTTGATAATTTGAATACCTATACTCATCGGAAATCGACGAATCTAGCGTAGTTGAAAAAGAGCTTTCTGTCGGTCTGGCTATGCCCCGAATACGTGCGTTTCTCTCTAAGCCGAAGCCCGAGAGGTATATACGTTCGCTGGATAACTTGCCGCCTGTAGTGTACTGCTATTTCAACTGTGTGTTACCTATCCCTCTATTTTGACCGTGATGGTCCTATCGCTGATGAATCGCTTAAGGCTCTTATTAGCATTGCTTTTTGTGAATCCGTCGGCAGGGTTATCGTCACCACTAATCCAATGTACCTTGCAGAGCTCGCGGTGTTCGTATGACTGCTAAAGAGCCATGATATTAATTATGAGTCTCTTCTTTTTTATCGTTCCGAGTTTTATTATATATTTATAGAGCGAGTACGAATCGGTGTAGATAATGGTTAAGATCTTCGGTATATCTAACTGGTTAGTGATAAGCTCGAGTATGGTCGATAGAATGTAAGCTATATCGACTCTTATGACCATGCCGTAGACTTTTGATATTAGAACGTTGCGAGTAACCTGCTTACTTTTTATGGAGCTGAAGCGGACGAGATTGCCGTGGATCGTGAAGCTGTTGTCTATCTGGGTCTTATTAGCGAGGATAATGGCAAAACTAAGCTGAGACGACATGTCGGCGTTGTTGGCGAATGAGCTGTTTATAAAGACGAAGAGCTTAGCGGTGGGTAGATCTAACGGCGTAAATGTGAGCCCGCGTTCTAAGTGATCTATTTGCTACTTTAGACGACGATTTAGCGCTACGTAGTCGTCTAGCGATGGATTCACTTGATGCTGAGCTGCGTATGATGTGTCGAAAGACGCCTCGGGCTGATAGATCGACGTAATATAGGCGCCTTGCGCCCGCTACTTGATAAACTGCTTCTGCGCGTCGTGCCACGGGATCGACCAACTTGAGCTTCTTACCTTGGTGCTTCTGGCGTAAGGTGACGTTGCCGTTGCTTAGCAGAGAGACGATGCTACCGTTAAAGATCAGCGGCTCGTCAATTATGAGTATCTGCTTGGGCTTGGCCAGAAGCCCGGCGCGCTTAAGCTTATTATCTTCCTTCTTAACAAATTCCTTGTTAGATAGACCTATGGTATTGTCAGTCTGTATGCTAATAATGCCGAATGAGCCACTTTCAGCCGTTGAGATCAGCAAGTATGGATCATATGTCGAAGTTACTATCTGGAGGTTCTTGATATGGTGCTTGCTGTATGTTACGTACTAGTATGTGCCCGCTTCTGCTAAGCCGTATAATGGCCAGACGGCGTGGATCATAGTGCTAGGGGGATATTTGTTACGGATCCGAGTAGGTGGGTAGGCGAGAATCATTCTTCTGAGTGCCTCCTTGGCCTGGGTGTATGCTTGAGTAACATCACGGCCCTAGATGAAGTAATCAAGGGGCAGAAGTATAGGGCCGAGTACTAGAAGTAGACGCTGGCTTGCGCGCTGAATCGTCGGCGACTGCGTAAGGATGACCTTTTTGCTGTCGTCGTTGTAGCCTTGGATGACGAGGCGGGTTTTCTCGTATGGCTTGGACCCGATGCCCTTGATCTCGTCGACGAAGCGGGACTTGAAGATCTTGATGCCCTCGTGTTTAGGGCCTAAATTGACGAACTTGATGATGCTATGCTTAATGAGGCCGGCGAGCTCTAGCTTAGTGGACTCCTGGAAAGGCTTGCCGGGTGCGGTGATGGTGCCATCTTTGCGAAGTTGAGTAGCTAGCTTAAGGTTGGCCGCTTCCTTGGTTATTAAGTGGACGACGGCAGTGGCATTCCGTCTTCCTAGCGGTCGACGGATCCGCTTGCTGCGTCGGGCTGACGACTCGTCTGGCCCGGGTGCAGCAATGACGATCTCATCCAGAATGACTTCGTCTGCGCGGCCGGCACCTTTAACAGGCTGATTAGCAGGTAAACCTCCTGGTGGGCGCTCAACGTGCTCCATCGCCGTCGAAGTATCGACTGCTTCCGTATACCACGGCTTGACTATGGTAGCGCGGAAATCAGTTGGACCACTCGGTAAGTCGAGAGTATAAGTGGTGCCGTTGGTGGAGATTAGCTTGAATAGGCCCTCCCATCCCCTGCCTTCCCGCCAGACCTTAACGTCTAATTATAATGGTAAAGTGATGGTTAAAGTGATGTCGGGTCTATTACGAGTGGCGAGTGCGTCTGCGACTTTCCTTTCGGCGTTAAGACGGCGGATCTCCTTTATTGACTTCTTGACTGCATTAGCACGCTGGGTGATCTCTGGTGATGGGGGAGAGTTGTCTGTGGTGCGAGGGAAAGCTCCGAAGACGAGTAGTGTAGGGACGAGGCCATTAGGACCGGCGGTATCGTTAATTGCCTTGACCGCGGTCTAAAGTGCAGACTCGGCGTTCGAGGAGGGGCATTCCGCCATGAGGATATCGTATGCCCTCCTGAGGTCCTTGTGGCGCCTCTCGACCATGCCCACGCTATTATGAGCCTCGACAGGTACCTCCTTGACCTCGATCGAAAGTGCTCGAGCTGCCGCCTTGAACTCCGCAGAGTGGAAGTTCCGGCCAGCGTCGGTGATAATCCAGTCCGGGAGCCCCAGGTAGACGTCAGTCTAATAGAGCCTGAAGACTTCCCACGTGTGCTTAGCGGTCATGTTATTGAGGAACTTCGCCGCCTGGAAGCCGGTGGCTACGTCGACGACGTGCAGAACCGGATACTTGACGCCTTTACGGTTCTCGAGATATATCATATCTATGATGACCTCGTAGTTGAAGTTGCACTCGTCGCGTAGGGTGAACTTGAACCTGGTTGGAGCTTGGCTGTTCAACTGGCATTGTTGACATGCCTTTGTGATGTGCTCGAGGGCTACTTTCTCCACCTCGTTACCTGACTGCCGAAGCACCTTTAGCAGACGCGGGACCGATAGATGTCTAAAGCGTCGGTGTAGACGGCGTAATTCGTTCTCCGTAAGGTAATGGACTATTGCCCTCTCGTCGTCAAGAAGTAATAGCTATGGATGACCCTACTTGCGAACGACTGGAGTAGTGATATCTCCCTTCACTATAAGGTTGGTGATATTGTTAAAGTGGACGTCCATCTTATCCGTGTCCGCCAGACAAAGTAAGAAAGGGGTGTTACTTAGTAAGATATAAAATGCGATGTAGGCGAAGGGGGTAGAGATAGTGGTTGAGCTAATTGATTTAATACCGACGTTATTACTAAATCGGATAGTAACGGTGCTAGCAGTAGTGGTATTAAGTGTGATATTACGGAACTTCTATAGCATAAGGAATTATTGGTAGCCGGTAGTGGAAAACTTAGCGGCGCCGGTGTCGGGTATAATACCCTGGAACCCTCTTGAGTTATACCTTCCTTCTAACGAGAAGGAGGCGGCGGGCTCGGTGGGCTCGGCGAACTCGTCTATTGCCGTCGTTCGGGTCAATCCGTGTTCAACTGCCTGGGACGTGAGAATCTCAGTGAGGGCCTTGCTGCTCGCAGTGGCTTTGCCGAAGTAGGTGGTTAAGATGTGGAAGGTATCATTATCGTCGTCCTCGTGGTCGAAGTCGAGCTCGTCGAAGTATCGAATCAGCGCCTCAGTGTCGCTCTCGTCGTTGGCTGCGGTGTTGTGAGTGGAAGACTCGACGGAAGGCTCAATGCCCTTGTAGAAATTGAGGAATTGAAAGTAGGTGCGGTTGTTGGTATCTTGATTGTCGCGATTGCTCCTTATTGATTTGAACTTCTCGTACGCCTTGTGGCGGTCTTCCTCGGAATGCTTGGTCGATTAATAGCCGGGCTTGTGATAGACGTAGTACTTCTTATTACGCTGAGGACTACGTCCAGGGCGACCTCGAGATCTAAATTGCGCTTCCTTCCCTTGACTACGGTATATTCGGTCGGTCTAGAACGACTTGGGGGTGTTGTTGTTATTGTTGACGGAAGGACCGTATAGGTACTGCTGAGGCTTTTCGCGTTTGCGTTCGTGCTTAATGCTATAGATTGAAGCGTTTAACTATCGGATTATACCCTGGAAGGACTCTTTAGGTGCGAGCAAGACGTGGCGGTACTCTGGAATGCCTTTATAATAGTTAAGTAGTTGATCTCGTATGTTGAAGCTAGAACCGAATGGGGTAAGAGCGTCGTGTAGGA